GGTGATACCCAGACAAAGCCATTATGCCTTGTTTATGCTCTATTGTTTGAGTACTTTGATTTGATGATAGATTCGGGAGGCGTTGTTTAGTTAGATTTCAACATCCCATGTATTTTGGGGAATAATTGATTGGGATCCACGGCGACTAAGTCACATATTGAGTGAATACCGATGGGCGTACCTGTAGATATGCACCCCGCAAGCGCAAGGGACGGACGGCTACCGTACTTTGTTGGTTGAACGTGGGGCGGGCTTAGAAAACCTTCCCGCACCCACTACTTCTTGTCTGTTTGCGGTCTCCGACCCGACCATCGAACTTCCACGTGTTTCAACCGCGCCAGCTGCCATGTCGGACTCCAAGGATAAGAAGGGCAAAGCCGCCAAGGCGTCCAATAATGAGGTCAGTTCTCTTTTTGTTCCTAGCTAATCTGCCGTCTCCAAAACTCACGCGGATTGTCTTAGGATGCGGCGAAACAGAAGTTGACCCCCAAAGCGGCCGAGGCGCTGCTGGAGAATAACCCCGCCCTGAAGAACGAGCTGGCCGGACTCGACAAGGATAAGGCCGCGGAGGCCCTGCGCAAGATGGATATCTCCGAGCTCTTGACTGGTCTGGCTGTTGGAGGCAAGAACCAAAAAGATATGGCCTCGTACAAGTTCTGGCAGACCCAGCCTGTGCCTCGTTTCGATGAGGCCGCCGCCGCTGCCAACGATGTCGGTGGGCCGATTAAGATGATCGATCCCGAGAAAGTGTCGAAGACTCCCGATCCGCTCATCGAAGGCTTCGAGTGGGCGACACTGGATCTCACAAAGGAGGAAGAGCTCCAGGAGCTGTGGGATCTGCTCACCTACCACTATGTTGAGGACGACAACGCTATGTTCCGCTTCAGATACTCGAAATCATTCCTACACTGGTTCGTGCACTGCCCAGGCCACGATTGGATATCTTGATACCGGGGCTGACAATATATTCTATCCAGGGCGCTGATGGCTCCGGGCTGGAAGAAGGAATGGCACGTCGGAGTTCGCGCTACCAAGTCGCGGAAGCTTGTCGCCGCTATCTCCGGTATTCCTACCGAGTTGCGCGTTCGCGAGCAGAAGATCAAGGTCACCGAGATCAACTTCCTCTGCATTCACAAGAAGTTACGATCCAAGCGTCTTGCACCGGTCCTCATTAAAGAGATCACTCGCCGTTGTTATCTCGAGGGGATCTTCCAGGCCATTTATACCGCAGGTGTGGTCCTCCCGACTCCCGTCAGCTCATGTCGGTACTACCACCGTCCCTTGGACTGGCTGAAGCTGTATGAGGTCGGTTTCTCGCATCTGCCAAAGGGCTCTACCAAGGCCCGACAGATTAGCAAGAACCACCTTCCGAGTGCCACGTCAACTCCTAACCTCCGCCCCATGGAAGTCAAGGATATTGATGCTGTCCTCGAGCTTTTGGAACGCTATCTGAAGCGGTTTGACTTGAACCAGGCCTTCTCCCGCGAGGAGATAGAACACTGGCTCGTGCACAAAGGAGGGGAGGCCGACCGGGAACAGGTGGTTTGGTCGTACGTGGTGGAGGACCCGGAAACCCACAAGATTACCGACTTCTTCTCCTTCTACAACCTTGAATCCACCATCATTCAGCACCCCAAGCATGATTGCCTGCGCGTAGCTTACCTTTACTATTATGCCACCGAGACGGCTTTCACCGGTGATATGAAGGCTCTCAAGGAACGACTACTGATGTTGATGAATGATGCTCTGATCCTGGCGAAGAAGGTATGTCGAGTTGCTGCGTGCACGATATTCTTTCCAAGACTAATATTCTCTACGGCAGGCTCGTTTTGATGTGTTCAATGCTCTGACCCTCCACGACAACCCTCTCTTCCTGGAGCAGCTCAAGTTCGGCGCGGGCGACGGCCAGCTTCACTACTACCTCTATAATTACCGGACGGCCCCCATCCCCGGTGGTGTCAACGACAAGAACCTGCCGGATGAGAAGAGAATGGGAGGTGTCGGTGTCGTCATGTTGTAGAGTCCGGCACTCTCACATGATCTGCTCGGTTCGAAGTACAGTACCAAATCAATTGATGTTCTGTGGCCGGATAAGCGGCTAGTCAAAGTCAAAGTCACTTGTGACCCGACGAATGTGAATACTATTAGCCCAGATTGAGATATATGCTCTAGTGGGAGTACAAGCTTGATTCTTGAAGTAAAAATGCATGCCAAGTACTGCAGTGTACATACAGTAGGTACAGTAGTAGTACGGGAGTGGTGAACCCAAAATGGCAAGAACCCCTGCTGGCTGAGGGGCCGAGGCCCTTCAAGTTACTCTGCTTTAGCCCGCATGCGGAAACATCCTTAATTAACATTCCCCATCAACCGGTACTTACTCCGTACCTCGCACTCTCCCCTCTCCCCTCTCCCTTTCATCTTTCATCATCAACATCAACACCACACTTGATCATGACCCTGCTCATGACATAGCATCTTACAGACAATTCAAGTCTTTCTTTTTTCTACACATCAGTATTGAGTCAATCTCTACTTCCCCGTTCTTAGACCCGCAGATGACAGCGATCGTCACCCCGACTCATCGCGGTGGGTTCACGTCGTCATCACTGCGGAGTGTCCCGAACTCATACTATCAGTGCTAATGCGACAGCTGTCTCTTAATTATCTTGCCCACTCCTGCAACCCTGGTACATTTTTTGACACATGACAAACCCAACCCTTTTTCTTTTGTGCATATCTCAAAGGCAAAGAAGAACCAATAACCTGTGCGTTATTACTCTTCAAGATGGGTGTATATCAATCCACTGAGTCTGCGGGTCATAAGTCATCTCCAGGTCAGTGGTAAACTATATTTCCCTGCCCACCCTTTATTAGTCGACAAATGGATCTAATATCATCCAGAGGAGCTGAGTTACGTGCTTGCCGAGCGCTTCGCCACTAAATGCTTCACCCCTCTGGAGCTCACCCACTTCAAAGACAACTTCTACAGCCGCGCAATCGAACAAGGCGGAGTTAAGTATTGGAATGAGAAGATACTCTCCGACTTCCTTGGAGTTCCGGATAGCAGCGACTCCCACTGCCCCCTCGATGCGGGCCCGGTGATCTTCCGCATGGTTTCGTACCTGGGCGCTTTCCCGTTTCAGAACACGCTGGCGCCGAGTCTACTCACATTCGATGCTATGGTGAAGGTCGTTGTTCTGCTCACTGAAAGATATGGGAAGGTGCTCAGAAAAGCACGCAGAGACCGCATTAGGCTATTGTTTGGGAGCTTAGCAGATGTTGGGAGAAGAGGTGAGGAAAAGTCGGCAAATAGCGATGTGTCCCACGGGGACAACACACCGGACGAGACTGCAACAAAGTCCCATGCTCCCGGTTTCGCCATAGATGCTCCTGCCAACGACGGGTACGAGGATGAAGAGGATGATGACTTGGCTCTGGCTGCCTTGGAATCGCTCGACGCGATCGAGGTCTTCAAACATGATTCTCGCGTAGAGAGAGCGGTCTATGAAGCTCGAATCTCCGACAATACTTTTCGGCGCCTGCTTATGCTGCTGATTGTGATATCTGACCTGAAGACCGCTGAGTCTGCAGCAGTCTACACCTCGAATCTGAGCGGGTCTCGCATGGATTCAATCCGAAAACAAACAGACAGCATTATGGCAGCCTTTCAACAGGACTCATCGGGAGGGATCAGGTACAAGTCTTTCGCAGAAAGCGTGGCCTCCTCATTACCGTACTTGTTTGACCCCTTAACACCATTGTTTGAGCACTTCTTGTTCAGCAAGAACTTGGACCTTTCCCAGAAGCGCGATACGCCGGATTTGACAGAGTCTAAATCTGATAAACCCGCGTTGAACGAGTTGCAGTCCTCGCCCTCGATTATGCTCGAGGGAAGTTTTGAATCAGTGATATTGAACACGAGCATCATCTCACACCTCTCGTTCTTCCTTCCCTCTACATCTGAGGACCTTAACTTTCTTCGCGGCCATACGCGCTTACACCCTGTCTTTTCGACGGCCGCGCATGGGTCCTCACTCACATCCTTTTCGCACAACGTCCTCACCTGGTCATCGGGTACCCTACTTCTCCTTGAGGGTGTGTCCGAGACAAACGGCCCGATAATTCTCGGCGCATATTTACCACAGCCGTGGAAGTCACCGTCATCAAGTACCTCTTCTTCCAAATTCTCCAACTCCGTCCTCCCTTGCCTTTTCCAACTCTCCCCAGTACACATGCTTCTGCAAGGAAACTCTTCCCCGTCTGCACAAAATTCAAACACTCCCGCCGCCTATTTCTCTACGAGCTCGGGAATATCTATAGGGTGTCGTATCCCGCCCTCGTCGCGAAGCAACCACAAGCCTCCCACTCCCCTCGGGGCAGGCAGTCTGACCATTGATGCCAATCTCGAGACAGCAACCTTTTACGTCTCCCCTGTCGGTCACGACGGATCGTTTCTTCCTCCAGTGCTGAGCACAGGAACCGAAACCACGTACAAAACGAACATAGACATCTATAACCTGGAAATCTGGGGCCTTGTCCCCGACCCGACCATCAGCGTCTCCGAAGACGGGAAAAGCGCCGTCGAGCTACAACAGGCGAAGTGGGCCTTCGAAGCGCGCGAGGCGGAGCGGCGACGGAATCTGAACCTCAAGGCCGGGGCGGGTGACTCGGCGGCCGAAAGTGCTCGCTGGCTGTTGGAGACCGCCGGCATCATTGGGGATGATAGTCGACGAGGCGGCGCACGTGTGGTCTGATTGGAGACGATCGTAACACGTTCGCGGTTATTTGAGATTGTATATGATGCTTGCCTAGAGAAAGTCTCCTCAGACCCAAGTTTGATTTGGTCAAGCATATTGCACATAGCTTTATCTGTAGGCGCATATTGGGGGTCTTGATACGATTGTTGTTGCTTTGTTGATACCAGAAACGAGAATCAATTGGACATGCTACTAGGAGTTGGGGCATTGTTTACGACGGACGCACTGCACCGCGTAGTCATTGATGAATGGGGAATTATATAAAGCTTGCATCTGATCTCTAGTATACCTCGACGGCGCAGCAACAGTGCCCAACGGGGAAAGCTGAGCTGAATCTTCAAGCCCCCAAAGGCGGAAGGCCCGTAGGCGGCCCATAGAAGTCCAACAACTCCTCTTCCTCCTCTTCCTCCTCCCCCTCCACCTGATCCTCCTCACCCTGCTGCTCACTAAGCTCAACATCCGAGTCAACCTTATTATTCCCGCGCGAGCTAAACCGACTCCGCTGGCCCGGCGGCACAGGCGTGCCCCCGGTCTTCCGGCCACCACCAGCAACAATAGGATCATCCGCCTCCTTGCTTCCGTTATTTACCGAAGCATCCTCCTGCTCCTCGCGCGGCAGACGATAGGCCAGGAACCCGTCGGGGGCGCGCTCGGCGCGGTCCATGATCTCGTTCATGTACTTGCGCACCTCGTCGGGGGGCTTGACGACCCGGTTCAGCGGCTCGAGGACCTTGGGGTTGCTGCTGAAGATCCGGAACGTGACGGGTTGGTAGTACTCCTTCAGGTTGGTGTCGTCTTTTTCCTTGGGGGTGTTGTCCTTCGTGGTGGCCGCGGCGGCGGCGGCGGCGGAGGGGGGCTCTTTCGCCGTGGCGTCCTTGTCCTTTGTGCTGGTGGTGGTGGTGGTGGACGCAGCGGCAGCGGCTTTTGTGTCCGGGGGTTGCTGCTCGCCGGCTGCTGGTTTGTCGCCGTTGCCGCCGCCGCCGCCCTCCGTTGGGGTGGGGTTCGGGGTTGCGGGTTTACTGTCTCCTGCAGCAGGAGGAGCGGCGGGCGTTGGTTCTGTGGAAGAAGCGGGTTTCTCTTCCGCCTTCTCCTTGGCTGGCTCTTTGTCCTTCTCCTTCTCTCCGTCCTTTGATTTCTTCTCTGGTTGAGAGGGTGCCGCCGCAGGTGTCTTGTTCTTGTCGGCTGCTGCTGCTGCCGCCGCCTTCTTGGACTTGGATTTAGAGCCGGATTTGCCTTTGGCCCTTGACGGTGGTTCGCTGCCGGTTTCGATGGGAAATGGCGTGTTGGGGTCCACTTTACGCACGAGAAGGAAGGAGGCGAGTACGGTGGTTCCTCCGGGGAGCCATTCCAGGATCGTGTACTCGGGGAATAGATAGCGATCGCCCGAGCCTGCGTGGCCGGAGGTACTGCTACCGTAAGGGGTCAGTGGGGAGGTGAACTCGAAGACGACAGACTTGTAGTTGAGCCTTGGAGGTGGTGGCGGGGGTGGCGGGGTAGGGCGATAGTATGGAGTGGGTGATCCATATTGCGGCGGGCGTGACTGGATTGCAGGGGGGTGGCCTTGATACGGAGGCTGCTGCTGGTATTGCGGGTGAGAAGGCCCTGAGCGTGGTCCCGGCGTCTGAGCTTGTTGCGGTTGATGTTGTGGTTGCTGCTGCGGCTGCAGCGGCTGGTGCAGCGGAGGCGCGGGACGTCCTCCTGGAGTGGGTTGCTTGGTTATTTCCGCAACTGGCGCTGGTCCCGGTACGACATGCGGGTGAGGAGCCTGTGGTGTAGCCGGCTGGATTTGCGCGACTGGCCCAGGCTCCTGTTTGATTTGCTGTGCCTTGGCAATTTGTGGTGTTGGGGTCTGCGGGGGTTGTAATGGCGCGCCAGGTTGCGCTGGTGCTGGACCTACAGTTGGTGATGATTTGACCTGGACTTCGCCACGCGGGTGTGGTTGGGGTTGAGGCTGTGTCTGCGGGGTTGGATGCACTGGCTGCTGCGGAGGTCGTTGTTGGGGAGGCGGGTGTTGTGGTGTCTGTTGCGGCGTCTGTGGTTGGTGGGGAGGTTGTTGTGTTCTGGGAGCGGCTTGCGGATGAGCAGGAGTAAGTGGTAGTGGTTGTCTCTGTTGTAGCTGTTGTTGCTGCAGCTGCTGGCGTTGTTGCTGTTGCTGCTGCAGCTGTCTTTGTTGCTGCTGCTCCCTTGCTCTGATTATAGCGTTAAGTTCATCTATGTGAGCCTGAAAAGCACGCAATTGCTCCTGAGACGCCTTGCTAGAAGCTACCACCCGCATCAGGGCTTTGAGGTCCGGGTCGGAGGCGGCTCGAGTTGCGAGCATTTGAATCACTGGGTCTGGGCTGGGTTTCGGCGGTTGTAGCGGCTGCTGCTGCGGCTGAGGATGCTGTGCCGGAGACGGTCGCTGCGCTGCTTGAGGCCCGGGAGTCCGGTGAGGAGTTTGGCTAGGTGTTCGAGCGGGATGCGGTGGAGGTGGATGGCTGGCAGGAGGATAAGCCGGCTGAGGTGTGCCTGGAGTAGCTTGTGGTCCATGAGAAGGGTGCTGCTGTTGCTGCTGCTTTGTCTGCTTTGGCTGCTTTGGCTGCGGCGGTTGCTGCTGCTGCTGGCGTGACTGCTGTGAAGGAGTAGGACCCTGCGGATACGGATGATATTGTTGAAAGTTGTTGGGATGGCCGTAATGTACCATTGGGCGCTGGGGTGGTGTATACTGAATCGGCGGCGGCGCATTGGGATCTTTCACCGTATACAGCATAGCATCGAACAGGTGCGGGCCAACCACAATGTTGCAAGCTCCAACCTTGGTCATGCTTTCCTTAGGTGGGTTTTTGCCCTCAATCTGCTCTCTCTTCGTTTTCTTGGGCTTGGTCCAGTACCGTTCGAGAATGCCATCGCTTAGCCATTTCTTCTTCGATCGTTCTAGGGAGGCTAGGAGTATCGCGCTACACAAGACCAGTCAGTTTAAATGCTCACTGACAGGAATGTATCCTGCAACAGCAGCCTGGGGAAGAATTCGCACCTTTCCGCGATGGACTGATACTCCGACGAGAGGTCGTCCGGCTGCGGAGCGGGCAAGGTGGGGAGAGCTTCTCCATCCTTGATTTTGGTAGGCAGAGGATTTTCGATCTTTTCTGGCTGTGGAGAAGGGGGTGCCGGAGCAACAACAGGCGTTGAAGCCTTTCGTTTAGAGGATTGTTGAGGTTGAGGAGAAGATCGAGGCGCGGCTTCGGACACCCGTCGCTTCGCCGCAGGTTCGCGGCGTTCGCGGGCGGAAAGTCTCCGTTTCTCGGCCATCGGGAGGCTATTAGCAGGATAGCGAATTGGACGAGGTTATAGTCTTATGATTTTAGATGGACTCCCCGTGCGATACATGGGGAGCATTGCGCAGAGAGCCGATGTGGGCGATAAAAAGAAGTGGTTTGTAAGAAGGGGGAGAGTTGCGGAGGAGAGACAGAAAAATGGCGGGAGGGAAACTGACCGAATGGGGCAAACGAGCCTCAGCTCCATCGGAACTCCGCCGTGTCTCCTACTACATACTATGTATGCATGTAATCTCCACCTCGATTGCTTGCATGAACTAATATCTACTCCGTTTGAAATCATTCTTCAAAATATGGTTGAGCTTCAGTCCATCTTTCGAAAAGCTTACTGGTCGCTAGCGGCCGGTGGCCTGTTCTATGTGCTTGTCGTCTATGCGCTCACATATCCGGTAGTCCAACGCTTGTATGATTCTGAGATAAAGCAACTTAGACCTCCCCAGCTGACCAATTGCTCTTCCTCTCCTGCCCTGCCAGTGCACTTTATGTTCACAAAGTGAATCCTACCCGATGGCAGGACATCAACCTTGTTGAGTCTTTCGGTTTCCTGAGTATGTTTTCAAACCTCGATCCTTTCTGAATCAATAACCATGTATTGACACGGGGACAGAAACGCAAGTCCAACCATTCAACCTGGTAACTCCCGACAACGAGACCTTGTACGCATGGCATCTGCTTCCCCTGCCACTGTGCAAGGAACACGAAGATGACCTGCATGAGAACGAACGATACGGCCCAGCGGAGGACTATACCAAGACCTCTGCATTCAAGCTACTCGCTAACGACCCCAATGCGAGAGTCGTTGTCAACTGTGAGTCCCACCACACCCAACACAAACACCATAAACCACACCCCTCACATCTTCGACCCAAAGTCCACGGCAATGCCGCCCACCTCGCCTCCGCCCAGCGACCAGACATCTACCGGCAACTTCTCGGACTATCGACCCCGTCCCATCCCGTGCATGTCTTCGCCCTGGACTACCGGGGCTTCGGCCTCTCGACCGGCTCTCCCACCGAAGAGGGCCTCATCACCGACGGCGTAGCGCTCCTCAACTACCTCACCGCCGGCCCGCTGCGAATCCCGCCGTCGCGCATCGTCATCATGGGCCAGAGCCTGGGGACCGCCGTGACCGCCGCCGTGGCCGAACGCTTCGCGTTCGGGTCCTCCGACCCAACGGCCATTCAGCCCGCCCTCAAGAACCCGGAGCCCTTCGCCGGCGTGATCCTCCTTGCCTCCTTCAGCAACGTCCCGAGCCTCATTGACTCCTACAGCGTGAAGGGCATCACCCCGCCCATGCTCGCGCCCCTCTCCGCCTACCCCGGCATCAAGGACTACGCGAAGCGCCAGATCGTCGACCGCTGGGATACCGCTGCCCGGGTTGCGCGGTTGTCGGGCGTCAACAGCAACAGCAGCAGCGGCAGCAGCAGCAGCAGCACCGGAAAACCGGCCCCAGCGTATGCCGAGCAAGGGCTGAATCTGTTCATCGTGCATGCAGCCAACGATGTCGAGATTCCCTGGCAAGAAGGCCGGCGCGTCTGGGCCGCGGCCACGGGAGAAGCCGTCGAGAACAGCCCCGGAGAGATTGTGGTGTCGAACAAGGACGACTCCGGTGGACCTAATGAGGTCCAGATCTGGGAGAGCAGTTCGGCTAAGCACTCTGCCGTGGTCAAGAGGGTTCGATGGGAACGTGTTGCGTATGGAGGTAAGTGACACTGCCGGTCCCGGTTCGAGCTTGAGGAGGGCTGGTTTGACGATTCACGCTCTCTACCAGGTCATAATCGCGTCGCGACGTTCTCGGTCGCCGCCTTGGCTGTCCTGAGAGCCTTCGATGGCTGAGATTTAGTCTCCGGTAGACTTAGCTGCACCAGAGCACAAGGAGATGGGCCACTGGGATTTGCAGTGAACCTCCCGCAGTAAACGCCAAGACTCGCAATATCCCGTCCTCTGAATGAGGGCACGATCAGATTTCGCACGAAGAAGGCAGGGTTACCGCGTTGAAGCCTTAGCCAGGTGTTAGGTTCTGAAACATCAGCTTGAGAGGCGGCATATCTGGCCCGAGATAGATATAGACATGGATGGATTTGGCGTAACTCACAACTCGCGAGGTATTAGCCATGGGTTTGTTCTTCTTATAGTCCTTAACTATATTTAGACCAATTTTGTATGTCTTCTAACTTCTTCGTTCAGGAGAGGAGATTTATCATAACCCAACTATCAAAAACTTATGTACAATCTGTGTTAAATGCATCCATGGCTCGAAGCCCGGGGCGTTGCATGCCCACACAACAGCCTTGGGGGCGGCCTCTGGTCTAAACGCGCAGAAGGGTTATCTATTTTGCTTGGTAAATAATACATGAGCCCGAGGTATTTGGACAAAGATGAGATGAGAAAAAAAGAAACACATCATTTTCATATTCAAAAACACGCCGGACCGGTTTTGGAAGGAGTCAGTTATACAGGAGAAAGAGGAGCCGGAGTGTAGTTCATTGGTCTCGGAAGCCCTCGTAGGTGATTATATGAGGAGTGGGATCGAGCAAATATGGCCTGAGACTCGCGCGATGCATGAGAGGGTTTTGCCCCTGCAGTCGAGTTAATGCGGTCGAAAAGCGATTTCGCCGCTTATTTCTTGTGGCGGTCGGCCTGGGCCTTCAGATACTTGGCAATGAGCTCTTTCCTGGAAGATTGGGAACGATGTTAGCATGCTTGACTCCTTCAATTGCGACATGCAACAATTCTATGGGTTAGGCAAACTTACTGAAGGTGACCAGGAGCCTTCTCGTAGTGACTGAACTCCATGGTGTACTCACCCTTACCTTGGGTGGCGGCACGGAGGTTGCTACTGAAGCCGAACATACCGTTCAAGCTGCAGTCGGCTTGAACGGTGAACTCATCGACACCAACTTCGGAGTCGTTGATGGTAGCGCCACGCTTGTTCAGGAGGGAAATAACATCACCCTGGAACTCAGAAGGAGCAGTGACAACGGTCTTCATCATAGGCTCGAGGATAGAGGGGTTGGCCTCATTGAAGGCCTTGCGGAACGCCTGCTGGGTGGCGTTCTTGAAAGACATTTCAGAGGAATCGGTCATGTGAGTAGCACCATCGTTGATGACCATCTTGGTACCCAGGACCTTGTGTCCAATGAGAGGACCCTTGTCACAAGCCAAGTGGAATCCCTTCTCACAGGCGAACACGAACTTCTCGGAGATACTGCCACCAACAATTTGTTCCTCGAAAACATTCTCCGTCAGACTGCCAGTAGGCTCCATCCAACCCACAACGCGGGCGAAGTCACCAGGACCACCGGTCTGCTTCCTGAGCAGATGATCGAATTCAACGCGGTGGCCAATGGTTTCACGGTACGCAACTTGAGGAGGACCGGTCTCGCAGTCTACCCGGTACTCACGGCGCATGCGCTCAACGTAGATGTCCAAGTGCAATTCACCCATACCGGAGATGATGGTCTGTTCACTCTCGTTATCGAAGTGCACACGGAAGGTAGGATCCTCTCTCTGGAAACGAGCCATGGCCTTGGAGAAGTTGGCACCATCCTTGGCGTTCTTGGGCTTGATGGAAAGAGAGATGACGGGCTCAGGGACGAACATAGACGACATGGTGTAACCAAGCTGGCCATCAGTGAAAGTATCGCCAGAAGCACAATCCACACCGAACACAGCGCAGATTTCACCCGCGCCGACCTCAGTAACATCCTCCATCTCATTGGAGTGCATGCGCACGATGCGAGGAATCTTGACCTTCTTGTCCGTGCGTGCGTTGAAGACGTTAGCACTCTTACGCAGGGTACCTTGGTAAACACGAATGTAGGTCAACTGTCCGAAGTTGCTCTCTTCCAGCTTGAAAGCGAGACCGACGAACGGCAGTGAGTTGTATGGAACAAGCTTCACCGAAGCCTCGTCACGCTTCTTATCGAGAGCGAGGTTTTCAACCTCGGAAGGGTTGGGAAGGTAATCGATGACACCATCAAGCATGGGCTGCACAGACTTGTTGGCAAGAGCCGAACCCATGAAGACAGGGGTGAACTTGAGACCAATGGTCGCGCGGCGGATAGCCTGTCTTAGTTGATCCTCGGTGGGCTCGATCTCGCTGAGGAAGAGTTCCGCAATCTCGTCGTCCACGTCAGCGAGAGTCTCAACAAGCATGCGCTTCCGCTCCTCCACGACATCCTTGACCTTCTCTGGGATCTCATCCTTGACTACAAGGTCTTCACCGTTGGGGCCGTGGTTGTAAATAGCCTTCATCTGAAGGAGGTCGACCACACCCTCGAATTCGTCCTCGGCACCAATCGGCACCTGGACAGCAGCAGCAGGAATCTTGAGCTTGGTGTTGATCTGATCAACGGCCTTGAAGGGGTTGGCACCCATCCGATCCATCTTGTTGACGAACGAGATTCTGGGGACATTGTAACGTCTCATTTGACGATCGACAGTGATGGTCTGGGACTGAACACCGGAGACAGCGCACAGAATCATGACCGCACCATCAAGAACACGCAGCGCTCTCTCGACTTCAATGGTGAAATCAATGTGACCCGGGGTATCGATCAAGTTGAGGTGGTACTTCTGCTCCTGACCTTGCTTGTCCTTCTTCACCCAGTCACAGTACGTGGCAGCAGACTGAATGGTGATACCCTTCTCACGCTCCAAGTCCATGGAGTCCATCTTCGCTCCTACACTGTCACGGCCACGGACCTCGTGGATGGCCTTGATACGGCCAGTGTAGAAAAGAACTCGCTCGGTACATGTCGTCTTACCACTGTCGATGTGTGCCTAATGATTCGAGAAAGCATGTTAGGCACTTTTAAAAAAGCCGACCCGGAGAGCGTAACTGGAGATCTTACAGCAATACCAATGTTGCGGACTGTAGACAGGCGTGCAGCTTCAACAGGGTCGAGGTTCTCAATGATAGCTTCCTGGGACAGAGCATCGGGAGTGGCGGCGGCGGCCTCGAGGCTAGAGAAATGCAATACACGAGTCAGTAAGCGTGTTTAATGGATACTGTGGACTGACAGAACGATAGACAATTAGAGCCAGAAGATACTCACACAGCATTGGCAGTGGCGGAGGCATTCCTCCGTTGCTGGTTCTGTTTGCTGAGGACGGACTGATAAGCCGGAGCAACAGTGGCTGAACGGAGGACAGCGGTGGATGCGCATCTCCGCGAAAGAAGGGTCTGAGCCTGAAGGCGAACGGGAGTCCTGGTCAAGCCAGAGACGGCACGGTATGGCAACCGTGAAAGAGTAGGACACCTCATGACTGTGACCGACGACACCGAGAACGTTGAATGAGCGCTGGTGCTCTTTTAGGACAGCCGGGAACCGCGACCTGATTTCTTTTCTGCGGCCCCGAAAAAAAGTTCGGGGAAGCCAGGCACATGGTCACGTGTTTCCCATCGGCTGATCCTCGCCCTTTGTTGACCTGTTTACTCGACCATTGAACTCCCATTGCATTGTGCTACTTATCGATAAGCCAGTAACTACATGTACTGTACGTCCGGTGCTTAGGCCGATCATGTTGGAGTCATACTTGCCAATTGTATCCTCTACATTAGAATAGTAGACCCCAGCTAGCACATACTCCGAGCTCGGACCGGGTCTCAGGGTCTGAAGTTTGTGAACCTGGAAGAATGTGACTGACGGATTCGCATGTTTAGGAACTCGCCTTAGGCTCTCATCCTCTTTATAGCAAGATAACATGTTGTGTTAGTCGAATGCAAAGATTTAAGTGGTCAACAAGAGGAAACCCAGGTGAGGTACACCTAAGTATGTACCGTCAATTAAGACTGTTGTTTCGTAGTTTGGTTAAACAATACAATCACGGGGGAAAAGAATGTATCAGAAATACCGGATGTCTAGTAACATTTCATACGAATACACACGAGCTTGCTGACCGCCTTGCCTTCCGCCACTCTGCCGAAGGATAACCTGCGGGCGATAATTACTAGGTAACATATTGTCGGGGTCACATCAAGACATACTAGAATTTCTGGGTGACCCTACTGTCACAGGGAATAAACACGGGCATAAAGCACCTAGCAACAATGCGGACTTCATTACGGCTTCTGGCATCAATCTCTCACAACCAGTCGTCCAAGCTTAAGAAGCCGACTATTGGTCTTGACCATGTCAGCAGATCCATCAACATGCTAATGGAAACCCGGATCGCTAACATCTCGTATTAGTTCATTCAAAGACAGCGGGTTCTTGCTTTATGGCGCGAGATAGTAAGAGCCTTGAATTGTTCGTCCGACACTCTCATTTTGCGATTTGGTGCCTTGTGCTAATATTGCTAAAGCAATCCCTAATTCACCAACTCGCGATGAGCTGCGAAATTATGCCCGCAATGAGTTCGAACGCCATCGAGAAGTGACAGATCTGGTAAGTGCTGAGCATATATACAGGCTGAATGTGCTACTGACGGTTGATAGCAACATATTCGATACTTGCTTTCAGTACGTCAACATAACATTATCAAAAGTTGATTATTTATGTTGCTAATAGCATCCAGACTGGCAAAGCGGAGTTCGAAACAATGAGGAGATACATTGACGAGCAGATTGCCGGTTGAGCTGGCCAACCGAGATTAAGCAGGTAGGGACGAGTAGCAAGCGGAGAGTGTGCATTTTCCTTCAAAACAGTGAGAATGTATGTATGTACAATTAGATATGATACCCAGACGGATTGGCGAGAATCGATCAAAAAACGTCCCCCCTGGCGACTTTACTTCTGCCGCGACAAAAGCTCCATAACAGCACTCAGAACACCGATGGGCTTCTCCTCGGAGGGCTCGAGGGCCGAACGAGCAGCATCTTGCTCCGCAGTCGCCTTTCTCTTGCCCGCATCCTTGGCGGCAGCCTCGATGGCGGCATGGCGCTCCCGCCAATCCTTGTCCTCCTGGTCGCGGATCTCCAGTTCCCGCAGCCAAGCATCCCGCTTCTCCTGACTCTTGCGTGCCTCCACAACCTGCTCGAATTCCTTGCGTTGCTGTCGCTCGGTCTTGTAGTACATGCCTCCAGCAACCACCGCGATCAGGGTGAAGAACTGGGCGTAGATACGGGCACGGAACATTTTGTTCATTTCAAGGGAATCGCCCGCCTTCATGGATCGGTAGGCCCGGTAGAGGGCGTAGCAGGTAGCCGCACATCCTGCCAAACAACCCACCCAGTCAGTACAATTCCAAAACAGTTATTGCCGAGGACAGGTCGGTGCGAGGGAGAGTGACGTACCGAGCGGAATCAGCGGCTCTTGCTTAAGCCGCCTGCGGAACTTCTGCAGCGAAGTCTCTTCTTGGAACTGACTACAGACACGGAAGGCCATTAGCATCTGACTTGACGGCTGCAGCTGTAAGCATCATATCATGAGAAACTGTGCACATACGGATTGTCATCGAAAGAGGAAGGTAGTGGCTCGCTCATCTTGATAGTAGGACTTAAGAAGTGGGAGCTGATTGATTGTGGCGATCTGCGTGGGTGAGCGCAAGATGTGTGACTGAGTCAAGGCGGCGCCGTCCAGAAAGACTATCCTTCAGAAACAAGCGAATAGGTTCAACCTGAGAATGACTTTCTGAATCCTCGCGTCACTTTTGCCCCTCTGACGATATGGCGCAAGTAAATGAGATACGGACGAACAATGCCGAAAGTGACATGACGTCGCAACGAACCTTGAGATAATTTGCGTATCGTAACTTACGCGGTAGTACGACGGGATCCGGTAAGATTACAGTAAGCTGCCTGACGCCTTCATTTCCTGGACTCCAATCATGCCATAACTACATTTTGCGGAGCCAGATAACTCGACATCGAGTGAATCTTGAAAAGAATATACTGGTAATATCAGAAATGAGACATTGACAGTATCAAGAAGCAAACACAAACAAAACATAGTGCCAATTGGCCTCAGCGTAGTACGATCTGAGCTCACCACATATTCTTCGTCACTAAGAATCTCGTGCAACGACCCTAGCGATAACTTGAGCAATGTAAATTGCTGTTAGTTATCAGTAGGGCGCCAGTAGGGCGCAATGGAAAAAGCAGCTGTCCGTTGACCAGTTAAGTAAAACCTTGATTGTGCTGGTTATAGAAGCGCAAGATGATTGGCCACCTTACTCGATTTTGACTGTTGTGCTAGCGATCGATTGGGATCCACTGGCCATCCATGGCTTTGTATGGGGGGGCAACTGCCCGAGCACATAGATCAGAATCACCTATTGCCGCAAGGAGAATCATATGGCAAATGGGACAGAACTTGAAAACGAGGAGTACACAGGCCAATTGCTTGGATGAATGGAGTAATACCCAGGCGATAAATAAGCATCAAATCTCTCTTTCCTCCAGATCGATGAATAAATCCCATTGTTTAGGGCTGGAAGAGAGGGTTTGATGACATAAGCTTTTCCGCTCCGATCACGGAATTTTCGCCCTTCTCCCCGCGGAATAGAAAGGGTGACTTATCCATCATAGTTAGTCAGTGCCACCGCGGCTTTTTTTCTCGGTCTCGACTCCCACTTGGTGCTGGCGCTTCGTTTTTACCTTCCTTTTGTCCCCAAACGTTCATTCTCTTCATATTATCCATATAAAGCCCTTGAATATGCCCAGCGAAGTATCTGACGACGGCGTTGCGACTCCGGTCTCCGCCAAGGTGAGTAACCTCACCTTGACTGAGTCCGCGCTTGCAACTCCCACTTCGGAAAAAGGGGAGGACTCGACTGCCTATGACTGGGGCATCCCCGACGACTATCTTCTTCCCAACGGTTACCCAGATGTAAGCGCCCTGTGGTCCTGATTTCCTTTTAACCGGGCGTGTTGCTCATACGATTGTCATTTACAGTACCTCCGGTTGATCTTAACTTCCCGTGTCTACGACATTATCGACGAAACCCCTCTCCATCATGCCGTCAACCTGAGCAACCGCCTGGAGTGCCGTGTGCTGCTCAAGCGGGAAGATTTGCTTCCTGTTTTCAGTTTTAAGCTGCGCGGTGCCTACAACAAGATGGCTCACTTGACTCACGAGCAACGGTGGAAGGGTGTCATTGCATGCTCTGCCGGTGAGAAACCCTCCCTACTTTGACAGGCAATACATGGAGCATCAAAGTTAACGGAGAATTGGCGCAGGAAACCATGCGCAGGGTGTTGCCTACTCTGCCCGCCATCTCAAGATTCCCGCCACTATTGTTATGCCCTCGGGCACCCCCGCGATCAAGCACCTTAACGTCGCTCGCCTGGGCGGAAGCGTCGTTCTCCACGGCAATGACTTTGATGCGGCCAAAGACGAAGCTCACCGCCTGCAGCAACAGCACGGGCTCACCAACATTCCTCCCTTCGATGACCCTTACGTGATTGCCGGCCAAGGAACCATTGGTATGGAACTCCTGCGCCAGGCCAACCTGCAGAAACTCGAAGCTGTGTTCTGCGCCGTCGGTGGAGGAGGCCTGATTGCTGGCATTGGAGTGTATATGAAGCGCATCGCGCCTCACGTCAAGATCATTGGTGTCGAGGCCCACGATGCCAACGCCATGCATCAGTCTCTAGACTCTGGATCGCGCGTGTTCTTGAAGGAAGTGGGACTGTTCGCCGACGGCGCGGCGGTCAAGTCCGTCGGGGAGGAGAACTACCGGCTGGCCCGTGAAGTTATCGATGAAGTCATCCAGGTATCGACCGACGAGACATGTGCTGCTATCAAGGATGCTTTTGAGGATACCCGTTCCATCATTGAACCGGCGGGTGCACTGGCTTTGGCCGGCCTCAAGAAGTATGTTAGCATGTATCCCAGCCCCGACACTAACCGGGAGCTGTGTGCTATCACTTCTGGTGCGAACATGGACTTTGATCGTCTGCGTTTCGTCGCTGAGCGTGCCGCTCTGGGTGAGCGGAAGGAGGCTCTTCTGAGTGTCAATATCCCCGAGAAGCCGGGCGCATTCGCCAAGCTCATTGAAGTCATTCTTCCCCATGCGGTCACTGCCTTCAGCTACCGGTATGCCCACGATGCCTCTGCCGACGTCCTGATGGGTATCTCCCTGTCTGCGTTGACCGGCCAAGACGATTTGGCCAAGATCATGACCCATCTCACCAAGGAAGGTATGAGTGTCAAGGACTTGAGCGACGACGAACTTGTCAAGCGGCACGTTCGTTTCTTGGTCGGTGGACGCAGCAGCGTCCAAAGTGAGCGATTGTTCATGTTCGAGTTCCCTGAGCGCCCCGGTGCTTTAGCCAAATTCTTGACCACTCTTCGCCCCAACCAGAACATCTCGTTGTTCCACTACCGCAACTACGGCGGAGATGTTGGAAAGGTGCTTGCCGGTATCCAATGCCCCGATACTGAGAAGGAGGAGCTTGAGTCTTTCCTGAGAGACTTGGGATATCCCTTCAGCGAGCACACCGACTCTCCCACTTACCAAACTTTCCTTCGTGCGTAAAACATTCAGCAACCTTCTTGAGTCATTCGCGTTTGTTTGGGGGAGAGCTTAAAGAGTTTTTTTTGATTCCCTTCTTGTTAATTCATATGGGCGTTCTTGTTGGGCATAGTGTCGATAGAGCTTGGGCTGTTTCTTTTTAGTGTGAGAGTGCTAGGCATCATTCCGTACATAGAATCCGAAATACTATAATGTTGCATCTCAAGCGTTCATCCGATTGTTTCGCCTGGTACATTAATCAAACACCAGACCTTCAGGCTTAAGTTCATGTCGATGTAGATGCGTGTGCGCTGATTGGCTGTGAAACTGTCCAATCACAACGCGGTATACTCAACCGCTGTCGGAGCGCGGCGATACAGTAACCCCGGCCAAAATGCTCCGAAGGAATTCCGGAGCATGAGTTGACGGCCGCACCTTGGTAGTTGTAAAGTCCCGATTTCTCTGCTGCAGCCCGTTGTCTCGCCTCGAATATATAGCGGAATCAGAGTCGTCTGTCTATCTCCTCCATCGACCACCATGATGTCCGTCCGCTCTCTCCTCGGTGCCTCGACCGGCGCCCTCCGCCAGCTCCTCCCCTCCCTCTCCCGCAAACCCGCCGGTCTCCTTTCGCGGTCGTTCTCGCAATTGGCCAAGCTTCCCTTCAGCAATGGTCTTCGTCTGCTGCGCTCCGGACAGCAGACCGGTGTGGCCAGCGCGTCTCTGCGACAGGTCGAGCAGGTCCGCGGCATGAAGACGCGGTCTTCGGTCAAGCGCCTGTGTGATGGATGCAAGGTAAGACTACTTCGCGCCCCGCGGGGGGAGGGGATATCATACGCCGGAATCTGCAGTTGCACTGCCTTTTCGTGGAAAGGATCGGTCATGTTTCGTGTGTGGTCTAGCGGCTAACATTATCTATCTCAATCGCAGCCTGTCCGGAGAAAGAACCGTGTCTATATCATCTGGTAAGCGCCATCAACCGATACCACCTCAATATCAGGATTCTGACATGTATACTCAACCCACAGCTCGAAGAACCCCAAGCACAAGCAACGTCAAGGCAAATAAGCGGGACGCGCGAAGTCATCTGTACTCAGAAGCTTGACAGCACCCGGTGGACAAACTGTCTTCTCGAACCGATCTTCTCCTGGGTTCTGACACGACGGCGGCGGAAAGGGTGCACGGGCAATTGCATTGTACGGTATGAGGGTCTCAACCGGAAGCGAAAATGGCGGGGTGCGAGATTTGTTGTGGATAACAGGCTATCAGGGGTCTTGTTGATATTGGCAAGAACCGTGCATATTCATCATGGGATACGACCAACTGGTTGGTTTAGGCGCTTTTTTCTTCGTTGCATTTTCTGCATGTACATTAATTGGGATTATACACTTCATTTCCTATTTCCTCTTCCTATTCAGGCGGAACTTGTGGAAGTATGTGGATGGTTGGGAATCTCCAGTACATCAGTCTTGTTCTGGTGTAGGTACCTTTTCTCCCGATCCCTTCCTTGGCTTTTCTGTGCAACCTAATGTGTGGATTCTGGTCCTGCATGAACTTACCGCAAAGTACATACATAAAAAGCATTGTTGGGGATTCATTCAAGATTCCATTGAGTTTGAACCAGGGTGTGCAAGGGATGATATCATTGTCCAGGAACCAGGAGGACTAACTACTGTACTGTACACTACACCGTCTTGGGCCTCCTTCGCCTGAGCACCAAAGTATACCAGCCCCTTTCCATTTTGGCTTGTTTCCTGACTGAAACCCGCGCCTATCCCTAGCCAGTCACGGCCGGCTGGCTGCCTGTCTGTCTCCTCACGCCCGCAATCCTTGTTGCATGAGCTCATCAGTCTGGAATGCGATCCACATGAAGCGAGGCAAGACCTTCCACGAACACCGAACAACCATTGCCAGAATCACTTTCTCCCTAATTGCGCACTATTCCCCGTGAAGTCTCCATTCGCAACCATTCGCAACTCCCCGACAGCATGAAACCCGGGATGTTCGCCCCCTCAATCCCCTACTACCTCTTCCTAATCCCAGCAGCAACCGCCGCCACATTCCCGGCCTTCCACATCGCGCAACAAGTCGTCGACGGCGACAACTTCCTCAAATACGATGGCATCCGCGGGCCCTACGTCGACCGCAAATCCTACGGCATCAGCCGCGACCCGCCGCCGCAATGCGCCGTCGACCAGGTGATCATGGTCAAACGCCACGGCGAGCGATACCCTGCCTCCGGGGAGGGCCCTGCGATCGAGGCTGTCTTGCAGAAAGTCAACAGCACCGTACAGGCGTCGAACAGCAGCATTGCGCGGGGCGACCTCGACTTCCTCCGCGGCAACTGGACCTACTACGTGCCGTCGGACTGCTACGAAGCCGAGACCTTCACGGGGCCCTACGCGGGACTGGCGGAGGCATATACCCACGGGCAGCAGTACCGAGCACGCTATGGCCATCTCTGGGATGGTAGCAGTGGCAGCAGCAGTAGCACGCAAACGACGCTGCCGCTCTTCGCGGCAGAGTTCCAGCGCATCATCGACACGGCCCGGCGGTTCGGGGAAGGGTTCTTGGGTATGCAGAACTATTCGACCCTCGCGGCCCTGAACCTCATCTCAGAGTCTAGCAGTCGCGGCGCGGACAGTCTGACGCCCTCGTGCCATCAGGACGATGGCCCGGCGCGGGACAAGTGCGATGCGTATCCGTACCATCTCCCGCAGTTCGATGCCGCGGCGGAGCGGTTGAACGCGCAGTATAAGGGTCTTAATTTGAGCTGGGAGGATGTAGTGACGCTGATGAGTGAGTATGCCTTGTTTTTTCAGTTGAGCCTTTGCTCTATCTATTGTACTACATCACAGTCGGGCTAGACTAACCCACGAGTGCGGCGCAGCAATGACAGCGTATGAGCTCAACACGCGCAGCGAGTCCGAATGGATCGACGTCTTCACGACGGACGAATGGGTCAGTTTCTCGTATATCTGGGATGTAAACTTCTATTATTGCGCTGGGTGAGTTCGTTAGCTACTAAGCTCCGCTGCCCGACCCCGGTCGAACTATACTAAATGCACCCCCGGCCAGCCCAGGGAACAAATACATGCGCGCCGTCGGCGCGAATTACCTCAACGCCTCGCTCGCCCTTCTCCAGCAGGGTCCCTCATCAGCCGGACCCTTGTTCTTCAACTTGTAAGCCTGCTCCTTCCCCCCTTCGTCCCTCTCCTCTCCTCCACTTCCCTCCCAGCTCTGCTACCCCCTCGTAAGCCCCACTAACCCAAGCCCACAGCGCCCACGACAGCAACATCAGCCCCATAATCGCGGCTCTGGACATCGCGACCCCCCCGCAGCCCCTCCCCACCGACCGCGTCGCCTTCGACCTCCAGCAACACTGGCGCATCACCGACATCATCCCCATGGGCGGCCGGCTGACCATCGAGCGGTTGAACTGCAGCGGCAGCGGCAGCGCAGCGCTCGGTCCCGCGGGCATCTACCTGCGGTTGGTGCTGAATGAGGCGGTCGTGCCCCTGCGCACCTGCCAGGATGGACCGGGGTATTCGTGTTCGTTGGACCGGTATGCCGAGTTCGTGGGCGGGTTGCCCGTCTTTGCGACGGAGTGTGCGGTCCCTGCCGACGAGCCGCAGTTTCTTGGGTTTTGGTGGAATTATACCACTTCGACGGGGGAGAATTGGCATCGCGGGGAGAGGTGTAATGGGCTTGCTTGAGGGGGATTGTTTTGGCTGGGGGGTCGGTGGGGGGTTGGTAGGGGATGTTGTGGTGGAGGTTGTAGATCTTGGTGTTTATTTGTAGGGTTGGGGGTTCGGGTATGGTATTTGAGACTAGCATCACTGAGTGGATGTGCCATCGCCCAGCATGGTGGGTTAAGACTCTAGAATGCCCATTTCACACAAATGCGGTGGCTGTTATCTTCAGGCAAGCGCTGTGTCCTTCTCCGTTATTCGTAGCATTGGCAACAGATCGCGTATCATCATCACATTCGATACACATACGATACACATATCACCTCCGGAGATCACCCCTCGTTGGCATTGTCCTTCCTCCTAGAAGCCTGAGCAGCCGACGACGAATTTCTCGCAAAGACCGGAGGCTGATACCCCGGGTGCATGGTCTTCAGATGCTGATTCAGGTTCCACGTTCGGGAGAACCCATTATAATGCCGATCACAGTTCCTGATAGGGCACACCAGATCGGACTTCCGGTGCTCGCCTTTTCCTCTGGGACGCGGCGTGTCGTCGGCAGATGCAGTCGTCGCGCGGGATCTCGAGCCACCCTTGAGGGATGTCGCCCGCGAGCGAGGTTTCCTGGACGACGCTCGTGATGACAATGGAATTGCCTCGGGCTGGGGCACACACTCAGACTCAGGCTCCAGATCAGCCTCAGGCTCGGACTCACTCTCCACGTAGTGCCACGGGCCTAGACCACTACCAGCTTCCGGCAGGTCCTGTCGCACCTGTCCTTCGTGGAACGTTCGAAACGCCATATCCTCGCCGAACAAATCCGCACAGCGGCGGGAGGCCCGCATCACCGCCGCGGCTGGGAACCCTGTCATGGATGCAATCCCCAGAACCTCGCTCCAGTCCCGGAGCCCCTGGCGGACCCGGCTGGCGGACCGTCGGCCATCGCTGCTGCGTGACCTGCCGCGGGACCGTGAAGACCCCCGCGAGAGCGAGCGCTGACTCGAGGGTGCTTGGGAAGATGTGCGCGCGCTGGATGGACAGCTACTCGAGACACGGGTACCTTGCGAACGAGAAGGTCCGCTGGACTCGGACCGGATTGAGGACCGTCGTGTGCGCTTTCTCCCTCGCGAGAGGCTCCGCTCCTTCTCCGCGGCGCTGCCTTTCCGTTTCTGCTGCTGCTGCCCGGAGGACGAGCCTGAGACCGCGCTTGCGGTATCAGTCTGCCATTCGCTGGCGGAGCTATCGTCGTCGCGTGCGAGGTCACCCTGCCGCGCGCGATGGAGACCCATGAGCAGCGTATCGAATTGCGTGAGGATGTTTCGTGTCAGCGGTCGTAGTTGCACGCGAGACCTCTCATCGTCCGCCTGCACCACGGGCCGTAGAGCCACCGGTTTCATTCCGGCCACCGTCGCCTGTTCCTCGTCCTCCTCACTCTCCCAATCACCAGCACTCTCCTCCTGGGTCCCGGCCTGCGACATGGAGGACTTCCTCTTCCCGCGCGGCGTCGACGCACCGGTTGCCGTCTTCGTCTCCCACTCTCTGGCATTAAACCGCTCCTTGGCAGTCTTCATCATGACAGCCATCAGCGATTCCTCCAACTCGGCACTCGGCCGCGGGTCCGGCTGCCGGCGCAGCGTCCAGGCATCATCGACTGCCCGACGCACCAGTTCCTCCGGCCGCGGCACATCCGCCGCAGGCATCGGCCACGCCGTCCACCTCTTCGGCGGCGCAAAGACCTCTTCCTCCTCCTCCTCCTCCTCCTCCTCCTCCTTCCTTGGAACACTACCACCAGCCGTCATCCGCCTCGCAATCTCCCTCGCCCGCACCCGCAACGCATATGCATTATACAAATGCGCCGCCAGGTCCCGCGCGCGGAGATCGACCAACGCCTGCGCATTCTGCCGATCCTCGGCCGTGAGATTCCGCCAGGTCGACTCCGGGCCTCGGAAGCGGTTGGGCCGGTACTGGTACTCGGACTCGTCTGCATCGGGCGACGAGGACGGCTGATGACGACGCGAGTCAACAACATCCCCTCGCTCATTCCCCACGGTCCTTGCACCACCCTTCCCCCTCTTGCGTCGGACATCCCCCTCCGCCGATTCCTCCCCCCCGCTCTCCGCCAGATACGTCGAATCCGAATCCGAATCCGAATCGTCCGAAAGCCCCTCGTCGAGAGGCGAGTCCCCTTCCTCCATGATCGTGTCCAGAAAATCCACGTTTCCGTTGCCGTCAGCGACAAGTTCATCCGGATAGGGCTCGAGATCCGAACCCCCGGCGTCCTGGCTGCTATCGCCACCGCCGAAGATGGATTGATATGGTTGCGGTTGCGCGGATGGGGGAGGCGCGAACCGCGGCGAGCTGGGGTAGTAGTTTGAGGAGGACATCGTGCTTGTGCTCAGCTGGGCTGCTTGGCCTGCTCTTTGCCTTTTTTTTTTTTTTTTCTTTTTCTTTTTTTCCCCCCTCGGTGTGTTATGTTTGTGTAACACGCACCCCTAAACTCAGGCTGTGTTGCTGGATTGGTGTTTCAGGTTCAAATTCAGGCTAGTCGCTGCTGTGGTGGTGGTGGTGGTGGTGTGTGCCTGCGTGTGTGTTTATGGGTATGCGAGTCAACAATCTAGACCTCGTAGCGGTAATGCATGCATGCAGATCGGGTTTGAGGCACTTCGGCGGGATGGATGAGGGCATTGGGGCCGACACAATTTCCTGGGCCCAGTGTTGGGGGGAAAGTGGTCTATATATACGGGTATATTACTCCATGACTTGGTCATCACTATCGTTAACACGTGCGGTTGATGGTTCTGTAGAAGTCGAGGATGTGGAAAATGCAATGCCGGCCGTCGGTGGAAAATGTTCGCAGTCACGTGATTTTGTACATGGGTCGTGGGATTGTTGCGGAGAGTACGGAGTAGCCAGCGGATATATTGGGAATAAATGGGATGATGAGTGTGGACAGTGCTTGTAGCTCAGATATTCGGTGCTGAAGAGTGTGTTGTGGTGCAATTCAAGAAAGCAGTGATAGACCTGCTCAAGGGACTCTAGATGCTGAGTGAGACGCCTTAGGATTTCACCAACTACGAGTAGCCTCCCACGGACAGCGCAATCTCTATTACAACTTGAAATCAATTCCGATCAATAAAAATACTATGCAAGACGCCAAAAAAAAAATAGAGTCAATGGTCTCCAATACCCCGCAAGGATATCATTCTAATATCACACAGGAACAAAACACTTTTTGATGCACCACGACCGTCTATTTCTGGCCCGCCTTCTCCAGCTTTCTCCGCTTGGAGCGCAGCTTGGCCGCTTCCTCGTCCTTCTTCTTGTTCGAGTACATCATCTTCTCCAGCAACTTGCGCTTCTTCCGGCTCATCATCATCTTCTGTCGCTCCAGCTCCTCCTCCTCCTTGCGCTTCTTGGACGCGATCTTCTTGGTCTGCGACTTCTTCTTCGCCTCGCCGGTCGCGCCCGACGTGAAGGGGAGACCCGCCGCCTCGGCCTCCAGCTCCTTCTGGTGCTGCGAGCGGGCGGCTTCCTCCTCGTCCTCGGACTCGGAGGCCGCCTCGTTGTCGTCGAATCCGCCGAAGTCCTCATCCTCCGCCTCCTCCTCCTCGTCGCTCTCGCTCTCGTCGTCGGTGCCGGCGACGTCCATGCCACCGTTGATGTCGGACTCCTCGTCGCTCTCGACCTCGGATTCCTGTTGCTCCGCCTCGGCGGCCTGCTCGTCACCGGCCTCCTCCATCTCCTCGTCGCTGTCCTCTTCCTCGGCAGCGGCGGCTTCGCCTTCCTCCTCCTGCTCGGCCAGGGAGGCGCGAGGGTCGTACGCACCCTTGGTGGGCTTGACCCACGGGCTCAGGTGAGGGGGGAGGGTCTCGCCAGGGGCGTACAGATCAGGACGGAGGAGCTTGCCCTCGTTGATGCAATCCCAGACCCACTGGGGCTGGACATAGGTTCTACCGGGGATACGAGTACCCGGTCTGACCTTCTGGACGGCGCCCTCGGCGGAGGCGGCGGGAACGGCGGGAAGTGATTCTTGGGGGAGAGAAGGACGGTCGACGATCTGGTGAGTGATTCTCGTGTCGGTCTCGTCGTGTGTGAAGGCACCGTCACCGAGCACAGCGTCCCAACCGATACGGGTGCAACCGAACGAGCGGAGGATGAACTCCAGGGGTGCCTTGGGCGCCTCTCTGGAGATGTAGAAGACGAAGGGCGCAAACAGAGAGCCGGCCTCCTCGCCGCTCAGGTCGGGTTGGGGAAGGGTGTCGGCCTCGGGGGCGGCGGGCTCGAACTTGTCGATGGCGTCGGTCGCCTCTTCGGTCGCCTCGGCGGGTTGCTCCTCCGTGGTTTGGTCCAGACCGGCGCTCTTGATGACCTTGTCCACCTTGGCCTGCACGTCACCGGAAGCCTCCTGGTTGGAAGACTTGCCGGCCTGCTTGCTGGCTTCGATAGCCTTAGGGGCTCCGACCGAGCGTCCTTCGAGGGTGAAAGCCGCCAACTCGGCGCCGTTCTCGTCACTGCGGGTGTCGAACTTGGGAGGGTATCTGAGACCGAGAGTGGAGTACAGGCGGTAGTTCACGAATCCTAGCAGGGTGGTGTAGAACTCGACGAAAGTGGCCATGATACGGTAATCGACATCACCGTTGACGCGCTGGACGAAGCGGTAGGGCACCAGCCACATGATATCCTGTCCCTGGATGGTAGCCTGGTAATAGATACCCTTGATCGAGAGGAAGGACTTCCGCAGGGAGTTGGTGGTGATGAGGTAGTGCTGGAACTCATGGCAGAGGCGCTGGCAAAGAGCGATGGTCTTAGGAGGAACGTGGGCGGAAGAGGGAAGGTTGGCGAAGAGGAAGAGCAAGGAAAGAGCATCGTCGAGATCTCTCAGGGCATCGATGAATGTCGGGTAGCGCTCCTTGATGACATGGTCGAGGGTAAGTTTCGGCGCATGGTTCTTCTCCAGACGAGAAGCATCACCGACTTCTCCACGGCCAAGGGAGCGGGCGATCTTCTTGGCAAGGGCCTTCTGTTCACGGAACTTGCGGAGAAGGGGTTCGTGCAGCAGATACTGGATATCCTTGGTGTAGTAGAACGTGGTGTTGGGGGTCGAAGTCCGCGAGGCCTTCTTCTTGCTGCGAGGCTCACGGGGATAGATACCTGTCAAACGATGAAGTGGCAACGGTCAGCATGTGAGATATCATAAGATAGAAATAGATCGAGATGATCCGTGTAGTATGATCCGGAGAGAAGTCATACCCTTGAAGATACATAGTCGACGGAAGTCAGGCAGAGAGATCTGAAGTTTGCGCACTGCCTGCGTTCTGGTGATGTAGTTTTTGGCCTGGCCAGAGGTTCCTGCGTCTCAAGTCAGCGAGATCTCAATCGCATGAAGAGAGAGGATATGCGAACCCTTCTTCTTAATCTTAGCCATTTTTGCAATGGGGGATTGGGTCAAAATTCGAGGGGTGAGTGACTTGAAAGGAAGATCCGATAACCAGAAAAATCGTTGATAAGTTTTTTTTTTTCTTTTCTTTTTTGGAGCCGCGGCGCGGACGTGGTCCGTGCACGGCGGAAAAGGGAAAGCGGAGGATTTCCTTCCTTCCCTGAAGGAACATAACTTACTCCGCTTGGCACGTGAAGCCAACAACAACTAACACCACCTCCAATCTCACTCCCCGCGCTGTTGTTGTTCAATTGCATGCCACTTCCGGCATGCTCTAATTTTTTCTTCTGATACAAAAACCATGGGGGTTGATCGCAGAAAAGCCGCCGTTTTTGGTGGTGCTTTGGCTCTGCGACTTCTGCTACTGGTGTTGTTCCCTTCGCTCCCCGACTTGTTGACTGGCCGAGTTGAGGTCTCAACCCCGGTCACCAGCTTCAAACGACGTAAGTCTCTTGTACTGGAGCGGACTGCGCTGTGTGCTGGAGAGCTAACCCTTGGCAGTACAAGAAGGTCTCTTTCTCTATACTCGCAATGTTTCCCCCTATGATGGAGGCGTCTTCCATCAGGTACGGACGGCACTTAATCAGACCAAGGCGGATGAGATCGGGCTGACAATGTGAAGGCGCCACTTCTTCTTCCAATTTTCTCGCTGCTTCCTAGCTCCCAAGGCTTCCCCTTCCCGACGGTCGTACTATATTCCTTGATCGATTTGATAAACGCAAACGCCCTGATCACAATTGCGGAGTCGGGGTGGGCAGTCTCGGGGCGATCGTACTCGGCGATACGGAAGCATATCAGATGGGACGGGGTGACGATCGCAGCATGGTACGGAAACCGCTAGGCGAACGAGGTCATCTTGTGGGACATCACCATTGACTCTGCTAGGTTTTTGTTTAACCCCTTCACCATCGCAACATGTCTGGGCCGGTCCACCGCAGTCTTCACCTCGACCGGAATCCTATACGCGCTTGCTAGTGCCGTCACGGGAAAGACCTTCAACTCGATGCTCGCACTAGGCTTTGCCTCGTATCTGTCGATCTATCCGGCGTTACTCTATATCCCACTCATGCTCCTGTGCTATGATCAGCGTGCGCAGACAGCCAAGACCTGCCCCAGCACGACCGTTTTCGCTCTGCAGCACCTGGCAATTTTCGTCCTCAGTATTGCCGGCTTGCTTGGGATATCAGCTCTACTGATTGGGGACTTCAAAGCATTTGTGTCCGCCACATATGGGTTCCAATTGCTTGTCCCGGACCTCACCCCCAATGTTGGTCTTTGGTGGTACTTCTTCATAGAGATCTTCGACTCCTTTCGCGAATTCTTCCTCGGAGTCTTTTGGCTCCACTTGGCCTCCTACATGGGCGGTCTTTCGATACGGTTAAGAAGACAACCTCTGTTCGTGCTGAGCTCCCTACTGGGAATCTTTGCTGTCTTCAAGCCCTATCCCAGCATATCTGACGCCTCGCTGTACTTTGCACTTCTCCCGCTGTACCGGCATCTGTTCCCTTGTGAGTACCTGCTCATCCGCCGCGTTGCTTGGTTCCACAACTAACTGCAACCAGTAATGCGCTATACCTTCTTCGCCGTCTCGGCGTTGCTCTACGCCACGCTCCTGGGACCGGCGTTCTATCACCTATGGATCTACGCCGGCTCGGGCAACGCCAACTTCTTCTACGCCATCACTCTCGTGTGGAGCTTGGGGCTTTCCATCCTGCTGGCCGACACGATCTTCGCCGCCCTCCGCGACGAATGGGAGTACGACAACCCCGAAGTACGGGGCAAGGACGTGAAGCAAGTGTAAATTATTTTATCCGTTTCTTATATACAGCACAGTAGAAAAGCCACTCCTTTACTCTGTGGTCCCTCACTCTCTCGCATAAGCCCTCGAGAGAATCCGATAATCAGGATCCTTGACCGTCCCATTCCTCAACCGCCGGGGCCGAGGTGAACTCTCGTCGACCCCGAACCCCAGCCGCTCGTAGAACCGGATCGCCGCCTCATTCGCCCGGAAGACTGTCAACATAGACTTCGCCATCCCCAGCTGCTCCCCGATCCGCAGAAACACCCGCATCAGCCGCGCCCCCAGCCCCTGCCGCTGCGCCGCCGCTGCCAGGTGCACCTCGTAGCAGTAGACCACCTCGAACCCGTCCTCGTACGTGACCATGAACGAGAGGAAGCCGAGCACCTCCTCCTCCTCCTCCTCCTCCTCCTCCTCTATGGGGGGGGCAACCTCCGCATCGGGCAATGCTGCCTCTTGGGGGTCTGCGCGCCGGAGAATCAGATACTTCATGTCCGGTAATTGCATCTCCTTACGCTTCTTGGACGGCGACCAGCCGATCGACGAGGCGCGGTATGCCTCCGCCGAGGTGGTCTCAATTAGCTGGAAGCATTGCGTGAAGATGCCTGGGGGCAGGGTTGCGGCCGTGTAGATGGTGATTGCATAGTGCTGTTGCTGTTGTTGCTGCTCCTCAGCGTTGGCCGGATTGATGATGTGAAGGTCATCCTCGGGGGCGTAGAGGTTGATGAATTCCGAGAGGGGGAGGGCGTTGGTGCGTTCGACTAGTGGCTGTGTTTGGCTTTGGGGTTGGGTTATGGGGGCTGGGGATGTGGGTTAGTTATTTGCCGGCTTCTGGGGATGCGGGGGAGCTTACTGGGCTGTTCCTGGGGTCGGTGTTCAAGGTGGGATTGTACGGTTGGTGATGATGTTGGCTGGGTTGATTTGCGGGATGCGCGTCGGACTCCCCGCTTGGTGGGTGGTTTGGTTATTCGGTGGGAGGAGGTGGAGGTGGGCATTGTTTTCTGAGTTCAGTGGTGTGCTGGTTATTTACAGGTTCATTCTGAGGAGTTGAAGTTCAAGGGGAATTGTTCTAAATTGTTTGGGATAATGCTTCTCCAAATATGGGGGTGTGGAGGCGGGATGAAGGGGATTTTTGTTTGGGTGCGCTTCGGATGTGTCTGCTCTTGCCTGGGGTGGTTTGGTTCCGCTCGCATTTGCATGCATGGATACATTTTGCTGCACGTCCAACCTTTTATCTATCTTGGGGACAACTCATCTGTTGAGAAGCGGAGTGAGGGTGAATTGAGTTGTTACACGTAGATTCGTCTCTTGATAAATATGTGCCATCATGAGCTATGGGCCACTACATATATCACACATCTCCACGCACAAAACCTGGGGGTGACGCTCATGACTGCTGTCGTTGCTTCGCAGCAAACTCCTCCGCTCGCCTCTCGGTCTCCTCTGCACCCGCCTCCTTGAAGACATCCAAACCCCACTGGAACGGAAATCCGTACCGCAGGTGGCGATCCAGTCTGTTTAGAGTCTCGAAGATGTGATCGGGAAGGATGACATCTGGAAGCCCGGTCAGTCACGCGCTGCATGGAATGCGATGGAGATTTCGCTTGTAATATAGTAAGTGTGTACAGTACCTTGGAAGTTGCTCTCAATCCGAGATGGTGTCACGCTCTTAGATAGCACGGCTGTTCCACGTTGCACGGCCCAAGAGATCAGCAATGTGGCGGGGTCTTGGTTCAGCGACCTGGCTAGCTCTTTGATGAAAGGGTCATCGATGACACTGTTTCTGGTCAGTGGATAAGCGAAATAGTATTAAGGCATGGCATAAATACCGCGGGAGACCAGCAAGGTTGTTGCCAAGAGGGCTATATGCGATAGGTAGGATATTCTGCATCCGATCAGCATTGCTCAAGATCCACACACCAACAAAAAGTTTGAGACCGTCTACCTTGTCCTTGAGATACTGAATCAATTCCGGCTGTAAAAGATAGGGATGCGCCTCGATCTGGTTGGCAGCGGGCGGGATCTCCGCGGTCTGGAGGAGCTCCTCGAGATGTTCCTGGGTGAAGTTGCTCACTCCGATACTGCGGACCTTGCCTGACTGGACAAGCTTCTCCATGGCCTTCCAAGTATCTCCGATAGGGACGTTGGCCAACTTGAACCGTTTGGTAACCGGATCCACAGGCTTCAGCTCTTCCCCCGCATACTCGAAAGCCACTGGCCAATGGATCTATTATCTCTCAGCAACGGTGCTAATGTTCAAGCGAGGGGCTATCGCACTAGGTAGAGATCCAGATAATCGGTTTGGAGGTCTTGCAGGGTCTTGTCGAGTTGCGCCTCCACATGCTCGGGGCGATGATGCGTGTTCCAGAGCTTGCTAGTCAACTGCTCGTCAAGGGGATCAATAAGAGTCAGATGCAAGCGCAGCTGGTTTGGAGACTGACGAAGATCTGCTCTCGAGGCACGCCCGATTTCTTCCAGCCCCTCCCGACCTCATTCTCATTCCGGTAGACAGGGGCACCGTCGATATGGCGGTATCCTGTTCGCAGAGCCACTTCGACTGCGTTTTCGACCTCATGAGGTTTGGACAGCTTGCATTTGTTAGTAAGATTCACCTTGCGACCCTGAAGCTCGCAGCACGTACCCAGGTACCCAGTCCCACGGCGGGGATCTCGTAGCCGGAGTTGAGCTTGAAGGTACGCCCGAGAGACATTTTGTTGGTGCGGAAGATGTGTATTGGGTCTATGTAAAGTGTCTAGTTTGTGCGTGGGGAAAAAGGTGCAATTATAGATTTATCTCGAGTCTGGAGCGGACGAGAAGGAAAGAAGCGGGCTAGAATGCTTACAGTTAAGGCAGTTGACTACCCCTCCATCCTTTCCGACAAGTGCTTACTCCCTTATGAGACACTACTACTTTACTATGGTTTTCAGTTGTCGATCCATCCCTTCTCTATACGACGATGGCGCAATTCTCATGGGGGAAACCGTTTATTGTGGACAATGATTTCTCAATAATTGGTATGATATGGAAAACATCCTGCCAGTTCCGCATATTCATCACAAGGGTGGGTTCTCGCTGTGAGGGGACTGTGTCTTGACTCTCTTGAGACTCAAAGATAATTCTCTCCATCAACAGTCCAGAAGTCCTCGTCTCCTCCACGGAGAACAACAGCAATGACTATCACCTCGGACGATTGGAATACCCAGCTCAATCAACCTGGGCACGGTTGACCCACCAACCATGGCATAGGCAGCTGTTTACATGTTGCCCCGCCTGGTTGAACCAAGGCCAGAAGATGGCATACAATCAGCAAATACTATGCATCAATCCTGAACAGAGATCATGACCAATCACAAACACCAATGCTTGCCTCCCATGCATGGAACAAGCCCTCTGCGTGGATGTCTGATTGATGGTTCCCGGGTGAAAGGTGAAAGGGAAGATGGGGAAGGGCGGAGTGGGGCAGAGATTCTTCAGCAGATTCACAACTGCCGGCTGCATCCCACCCACTCAATATACTCCTTTATTGTCCTCGGGCGCTGGAGCTTTGCTCAACGGCTAGGAAGGTCCTTGCTTCAAGCTGCTTATCGTCTGGAGCCTGAAAGCCTCAGGATGCATTTACAGTCAACATCCAGCCCAGCTGGCTGGCAGTGTCGGCCCAGCTCGGCATTCTAGAATAACCGGCGAAGCAGAACCATCCCCACTCTCCCGCGGTGTCTTGCAACCTCTGCCCCAAGGTCTCTGCATGTTTATCAGCATGGAGAACCGCCTCGAAGAAGCTCTGAAGTCACTGATTCGTCCGATGCATTGAATGTCTCCGTCTCGGACGGTTATCGGACCGTTCTCGAATGTCAATACTTCAATTATGACTTATTAATCATACGGTTTGAGTTGTGGTGGAGCTCGACCTCTTACGTCAATCATCCATAGCTGTGTCTCCATATAACAACTCCCCCACCAACATATTTTCGCCAGTCTCGGTGGAAACCAAAGCACTTTCTTTTTACAATCGACGTTGCTTGCTCAGCTCACTAGGCTCCCATCAGACAACATGGCCCCCTCGACTCACAAGCAGTGGACCGTCCAGAACAAGGAGGATGGTTTCAATGCCCTCAAATTCGCTGAAGCGCCTGTCCCCAAGGCCGGTGAGAATGAGGTCTTGGTGAAGTTTCACGCTGCCTCGCTCAATTACCGCGACCTGATTATTCCCCAGGTATGCCATCATGATACGGGAATGGTTACTGCTTGATTGCTATAGTACCTTCAACTAACGGTCTGGACTGCTGCAGGGATCCTACCCCTTCGCGCTCAGCTTCCCAGTTGTGCCTGGCTCCGACGGTGCCGGTGAGGTGGTCGAAACTGGTTCCAAGGTCTCCCAGTTCAAGAAAGGAGACAAGGTGGTCACTCTCTTCAACCAGCTGCACCAGTACGATCCCATCGACTCCAGAGGCACCAGCTCCGGCCTTGGTGGAGTGATTGACGGCACTCTCCGTGAATATGGAGTCTTCAACGAGAATGGCCTTGTCCGAGCCCCCAGAAACTTGAACTACATCGAATCCAGCACGCTTTCTTGCGCAGCGCTCACGAGCTGGAACGCTCTGTATGGTCTTAGACCTCTGGTGCCTGGACAAACCGTGTTGGTACAGGGAACTGGCGGTGTCAGCATGTTCGCATTGCAGGTAGGTTGTTCAGCTCGTGCATGACATCTCCCAGCAAACTAATCCCGGGAAATCTAGTTTGCCAAAGCTGCTGGTGCCACGGTTATTGCCACCACCTCCTCGGACGAGAAGGCCAAGAAGCTGAAGCAGCTGGGCGCCGACCACATCATCAACTACAAGACCCAGCCCAACTGGGGTGAGGTTGCACGCAGCCTTACTCCCGATAACGCTGGTGTCGATCACGTCATTGAGGTTGGCGGTAGCGGTACCCTGGAGCAGAGCTTCAAGTGCATCAAGTTCGAGGGTGTAATCAGCATCATTGGGTTCGTGGGAGGTGTCGATCCTAAATCGCAGCCCCCGGTTCTCGCTACTTTGAGCAACATCTGCACGGTGCGGGGTATCTATGTTGGCAGCAAGGCCATGATGAACGATATGGTGAAGGCGATCGAGGCCAACGACATCCATCCGGTGGTCGACGAGCAGGTCTTCACCCTCGAGAAGACCAAGGAGGCTTATGAGTACATGGTAAGTCGATTCTCGATTGATCTGGCTGTGGTGGAATAGCCGCTAATAAGAGGAACAGTGGGCCCAGAAGCACTTCGGCAAGTTGGCGATCAAGATTGAGTAAATCAACTATAATTTAATAGGAAACGAGTATACGAGTATCAACGTACATAGGCAATGACATTTATCGTGTAATCCATTGATAATAAAATTGTTGGCAATGAGATGCATTGATACCTTACTTGCTAGCCTAGTAGAATAAAGTGGGAGGAGCAGCTTGAAGCCTATTGGGAGGGGAAAGGATTCCCCTCACCCGCGCGTGGCCACCTCATCATTACATCCAAGGACTTTCTTTCTCCACCTCCACTGCCTCCGCATTCCACTCCCAACTCACTCACTCTGTTTCCTTTCATGGATCCGAGATTGTAATTCTTTGGACTCACTGGAGACATCCATGCTTGGTTCCATTCTTAACTACTGCCATCATCCTTACTCCTTCAGTCTTCATAGTACCCGATGCAGTCTGATACCAGATATAGTTCGACTCTTCCTATCTGTGGACCCGACCCCAAATATATCAAGAGGTCTCAGGTTAAATTCACCCGGCCAGCACAGATGAGTCTGTTCGCTCGAGTAACAAGCCATCCCCCCTTAGGGCAGTTAACTTGTCTTAAGGGTGCTGAGCCGGTGAGCCCCTACTGGGAATCTGATCACTGTCCTAGACATTAATGGAAGATAGCTTCGCTTCACGGTGGTTCTCGAGTCGAGCACTACATTCCCTATTCAACCATGGGAGGTGCACGTGTGGCACAATATCACTGAGAGCTCCGAATGGACTGCACTGCCGCTCCAGAAATGCGACTCCTCCGTGGCACCGCTCATCAACAGCAATGCAGAGGAGTATCACTACTTCCGTAACGTCTTCTCCGGGGAAATTGGTCCGTCTGAAAACCTGGGTCATGCTCGATTCACCGTAAGGTACCGGGTCAACCCCGATGCAGAATGGCAATGGGCCAACCAGCAGCAACACATCAGCGACGGGGAGCTTCTTTTCCCCACCCAGACGCCGCCAACTTTTGACTCAGAAGAGCCGGCGCCGGCGACGGATTTCGCCAAGTACTTCAAGAGTCTTTCTTCCTATGTTGCCATTCAACCGCGCAGGAGCGAAGCGCCCGGTTCAAACCTCTGGCATGTCACGGGGCCGGTCACTGCCGCGCGCGAGGGACAGTCGGGCCTCACGAACCTGTCGCTCGGGGTGCCCGCTTCCGTGGCGCGGTATTTTGCCCTGGTGCGGATCTGGAGCCCGTGGCTGGGACCGCGGCATGGGAAGGGGAGCTTTGCGCTGAGCGAAGATGCGATGCTGTGTTCGTTCCTGCGGGAAGATGGGGTACATCTGGTTCTCTTGGCCGTCTCGGGGGTGGACGATGTCCTGACATTGTTTGGATCCGGGGAGGACGGAGCGGTGGTGGTCAAGGCTAAGAATGATAGCACACAAGCAGCCAGGTTCCAGATCCTGGCTGCAGCTGCGCATGATTTCGAGGTGGCGATGAGTGCCGTGATCTACGAGGCTCGCAAGTTGACCCGGCCGTATGCTGAGCAGGCTGAGTCCAACCGGGTGCCAACTCCAGTGTCTCCACCGGGGGATGATATTGTGGTGGTCGAGAAGGATAAGGATGTCAAAGCCCAGTGGCTTGCGGAATGGTACGATGGTCTGACGTACTGTACCTGGAACGGCCTAGGACAGGACCTGACGGAGGAGAAGATCCTCCGTGGGTTGGATTCGTTGAAATCGCACGGCATCAAGATAGCCAATCTGATCATCGACGATAACTGGCAGACATTAGACGAAGGCGACTCTCAATTCACCCGAGGTTGGAAACAGTTTGAAGGGAACCCGGATGCATTCCCCAAGGGCTTCAAGCAGACCATCCAGAAGATTCGGACCACCCATCCTAACGTCCATCATATCGCAGTGTGGCATGCCATGCTGGGATACTGGGGCGGCATCTCGCCCGATGGGGAACTGGCGAAATTGTACAAGACCAAGAGAATAGAGATCACAGATCCAGCAGCGGGAGGTCCGATTGCGCACGCCTTCGAGCGGGGATCGCTACTAGCAATCGACCCCGACGATATCCAAAGATTCTTTGACGACTTCTACAACTACCTCGCATCGGTGGGTGTCGACTCAGTCAAGGCAGACGCGCAATTCTTCCTCGACCTGATCAAAGACCCCGCCGACCGCAAGCGGTTCATGAACTCGTATCTCGATGCATGGTCCATCTCGACTCTGAAACACTTCAGCACTCGGGCGATCTCGTGCATGTCGATGATACCCCAGGCAATCTTCCACTCCCAGCTGCCGACCAACAAACCGACGATCCCGCTCCGCAACTCGGACGACTTCTTCCCCAACATCGAATCCTCCCACCCGTGGCACGTCTTCTGCAACGCCCACAACGCCCTGCTGACGCGGTACCTGAACGTCGTGCCGGACTGGGACATGTTCCAGACCAGCCACCCCTACGCGGGCTTCCACGCCGCCGCGCGCTGCGTCTCCGGCGGCCCGATTTACATAACCGACGAGCCGGGCAAGCACAACCTCGCCCTCATCGACCAGATGACCGCACCGACCATCCACGGCGCGACCGTCATCCTCCGGCCGGGGCTGATCGGCCGCACGCTGGACGTCTACCACGACTACAACGAAGGCCACGTGCTGCGCGTCGGCACATACACAGGCTGGGCCCGCACCGGCAGCGGCATTTTGGGTCTGTTCAACATCTCCAGCGCAGATCGAACCTCCATCATCCACCTCCGCGACTTCCCCGGCATCCATCCCGACTCGACGGGCGAATATATCGTCCGCGCCCACACCAGCGGCAAGATTGCCGAGACTCTGCAGGTCTCCGACGCGAAAGCCTTAGTTTCTGTCGAAGTTAAGCACCGGGGCTGGGAGATCCTCACCGCGTACCCGACACACGCTTTCTCCCTGACCCCTAGGAGCCCATCCACAACAACCACGGCAAACCCAACGACAACGAAAGTGGCCGTCCTCGGCCTCCTCGGCAAAATGACCGGCGCCGCCGCGCTCTCCAACTCGGACATCTACGTCGAAAACAACGGCCGGCTCCGCGCGGACATCAGTCTCAAGGCACTGGGCACCCTGGGCGTGTATTTTTCGGATTTGCCAAGGTGGAATATCAATGGGAACTTCATGGTGACTATCCTGGGGAAGCCGGTGCCGCGGAAGACGGTGTGGAAGGTGGAGGCTGCGGAGGAGGAGGGTGAAGGTGGCGGGAAGGATGGTGCTAGGGTTTTGGCGGTGGATGTGTTGGCCGCTTATAAGGAGATGGGGTTGAGGCCGGGTTGGAGTAATGAGGTCTTGGTGGAGATCTTTGTGCGGTGATTACGGTCATAAGCTCAGCCATAAGCTCAGGGGAGGCTGGCAGTTATCGTACTTAAATGCTCAAAGGGAGTGTGGTTCTTGATCTGATGGAGTGGCTGCATGTGTGGAAGTAGGGTTAGCTTTGAGGCAGCTCAGAGATGATTCAGATGAGTGTTTATGAAGTTCAAGCGGTTGCAGTAGTTGGAGAATGAGAGATTATTTCCATAGCATTCTGACGCAGTCTCGTAGCAAAATCGTAGTCATCATCACTAGAGCGCCCACTGGGCCTGCAAAGCAGAGCAGAAATCACCACCAAGTATCGAACCGCAACCCGAGAAAATGAAAATACCACCACAACAAATCCAGCATCCCACCGCTGCGAACCAAGACAGGCTCGCCCAGGATACCTCAATAATCACCCGTCGGAATCCCCCCCGCCAACGGAACATGCTGCCCATGGAACCCAAACGCCACCGGCCCGTCGACCCTCGCCTTCCCCAGCACGGACAGATCCCTGGCATCCAAACACAGCAGATAGCTCTTGCCGGAATGCCCATCCAACACCACACTCAACAACACCCCGTCATCCTCGCCCGTGCCCTGCGGATCCGCCACGAAGATCGGTTCCCCGGGGGAATGCGCGTGCTGGGCCCAGATCTGCGGGGTCTCGGGGTGGTCGTTGTCGAGCTTCATGATACAGTCGAAGAAGGTGGACTCGCCGCGGGCGCCGATGGAGTAGGTGTAGCGGTTCTTGCGGGTGACGTAGCTGGGGTTGAGGGTGGGGAGTTCGGGGGAGATGGGTTTGCAGACGGTGCGTTCGAGGATTGCTTTCTGCGACTGAGGGCTGGGAGAGGCGGAAGCGGGGATGAGCGGGAGGCGGAAGCGGGCAACGGTGGAGCGGGTGCTGTCGGTGCGGCCGTTCGCGAGGCGGGCGTTCGCGGGGCTGGTGTTGGAGAGCAGATTCTCGTAGTAGAGGGAGAAGAGGAAGTCGAGGTTGTCGAACATGACGAGGTCGGCGACGATGTCGATGTCTTCTCCGCTGTTGCTGTTGGGGGACGGCTCCTGCCAGGCGTTGATGCTGTGGAAGCAGAAGAATGGCGGGCCGGTGTAGGTGCCCACCAGGCCCTGGCTGGCCTTGCGGTCGATGACATACCACATCGAGGGTTTGGTGGGGTCGAAGGGTTCCATCGCGTCGAGCACGCTGTGGACGGGGGTGTCGAAGACCGAGACGTCGAGGTGCGCGTTCCACACGCAGATAACTACGTAGTCTGCGGTGAGGAAGAGGGAGTGCAGGTAGGCGGGCGTGGCCGGGAAGCTGGCCAGGATCGTGGTCTCGCCGGTGGATGCTGAGACGCGGAAGACCCGATACGTCGGTTCCGGGCTGTGTGTGAGGTTGTAGTTGAAGACGTCGCCGGTTTTGGGGTCGGAGCGCGCGTGCGCGGCGGCCCCTTCGCCTGTGAGGTCGGGATGGAGGTTCTGCTGCCGGGCGAGACCGAGGGGCTCGAGGGTGACAGGGTCCAGCTGCTTGAAGAGGTTGTGGTCGGTCTTGGCCCACAGGGTCTTGATGCCCGTGGATGTGTCCCAGCGGTCACTGGTTTCGGTCCCCAGGCCGGGCATGTTGACCGATAGGGTGACTCCCACGTTCACGGCGGCGGGGTGAGGGGGAGGTGGCTTGCTGGCTGGCTCGTATTCCGTCTGGACTCTGTCATAGACGGCTTTGCAGGGATCACGTTTCTGACCGAAAGTTATTGGTTTCGGACTCCCTGACTTGCGGACTCCCTCGATCAATAGGTCGGTGGAGAAGCGAGAGTTGTAGTAGACCCGAAGGGGGTGGTCGGCGACAGGGGCGACGAGCTGAAAGCGATGGGTTTGACTGTATCCGTCGAACCAGTGACTGAGTTCGAGCGTCTCGCCCTGCTCGGTGTCGACTTTGTAACTTCCTGGCCCGGTGCGGTACAGCGTGCCAGCCGTGTAGGCTGGAATGGTACCCTCCACGGGGAGTTCGACGGGGTCTTTGACTTCGTAATTGGCATCGAACTGGAGTATCATTAGTCCCAAGCCTGGAGTCATAATGGAGGATGCTCACGCCTTGGACGTTAGGCCAGTTGTTGAAGTGGTCGTCAGTCTGAGTGTTGTGGTTGGTGGTCATGTTTGCTTAATGATTGCTTGGATACTTGTGGTATGAAAGCTGGCAGTGTTGAGGACCAAGTAAGCAGCATCTCTACCAAGGGAGATGGATCTTTATATATGCTTGGTGACGACGAAAAGGTGGAGGAATTCCGCCTGGAGCCTTGGGTGGAGGAATCCCGGTATAGTTCCAAGTGTTAGTTAACTCAAGTTATAAGTTTACTTGCTTACATTACCTCTCTTTGTATGAGTAGTTTGTTTGCATGGATCGGGGATCCGACCCCGGCGGGATTCCCCCACATCTTCCCTTTCCGCCTTCCCCCCGCCACTGCTGACGCCGACATTTCCAACTCTCTTTCACCCATCACTACACTTGCTATCTTGACTACCTTTGCCAAGTAAGGTACCAAGAAGTCTTGCCTAGTTCAGTCAAGTTGAAACGCCAGCCTGTCGATCTGTGGAGCGCAGCATGACCACACGATCTATATCAGCAGAGACACAAGATCCACCCACCACATCCACATGGAGCTGCGCCTCCTGCGATGCAACTTTCCACCGAATTGACCACTACAAGCGCCACATCACTTCCCGTACGGGACTCTCTAGCTTCAAATTAGCGAAATATAGCCCGTTGCTGACCAAGCACAGATAGCGCGGAAAAGCCGTACCAATGCGCCTTCTGTGCCTCTCGCTACAAACGAGGGTGAGTCCCGCTTTCTCTCTTATGAGCTATCAACCCACCCCCCACTCGTGCTCCGTATTAATGACTGTAGGGACGTCCTTCGTCGACACTGGAAATCCTGTCCTGCGCGCCACCAAGCTGGGCATGCGATCCCAGAGCCCCGAACAGGCGGCAAAGAACGGCATGCATGCGATGCTTGCGCACAACTGAAGAAATCATGTGATGGAAGTAAGCCGTGCTCGGAGTGTGGGATCAAGGGGAGAGAGTGCACATATCGGCGAGTTGATGAAGGTAATGAAGGGACGGTTGTGCAGAGCGAACGACTTCCAGAAACGCAGCTGGGCTCTGAGTCCGGAGAGGATCCCGCCGCCCTGCCGTGGAGTTTAGGACCGGGGAGCTTTTACTCGCTACATGCTGCGAAAGAAAGTACCTATAGGTACCTGAAGGGTACTTAAAGTGACGATTGGGGATCGTTGACTATCACGTTCGCCGCAACGGGCCGAGCACCAGTATGCAAGACACGCATCGCGGAATGCGCACAGCCATGATCCCTAAGGCGGGCTATTATAGGGAACGAGAGCTTGCTTCCTTACCCAAGCGAATTCATGTCTCTTCTGATGGTTCTAGCCTGCCAGTCCGGGTTGGCTGACCGACTCTGACTGCGAGGAGTCAATCGACTAGGCCATTGCTGCCAATAAGAAGGGGTTTAAGAAGCAATGCCAGAAGAGCCCGGATGAGGAGAATCAAACCAAAGGCCAAGATACCAGTGATTAACGAGGGATCCTTCGTACGACACATCAAGTCAGCATACTATTCATATTCCAAATCATACTCGGGGAGTGCATGCAGCCTACTTCCATCCAAGGCTGAGCCTTATCGATGACCAAGCACCCCTTGCTCCGTCTGCGTTTGTATATTATCCCTTCACTATCGTCCTTAGAATTGGGAAAGTACTAACCCTTGACAGCGGATCAGATCGATGGGTTCCTTACTCGAGCATATTGACATGTTGCGGTTCTTTCATGGATTATGAACGGGTAGTCTCTACTCTCGCCGTTTCCAGGAGCAAAAATGCGTGTATGCATAACTCCATTCCAATGGCCGGCGGAATGTCACACTGCACAAACTTTCAAATATCACACCCGGGTGTCAAAGTCTTAAGTTAACGTGGGAGATTTCTGTGCAGCGAAGTACTGGTACCTGCGTACCTGCCTGGTTGGCTCTCAGTCATACTCGCAGGATAATCAGGATAGGCACTTTCAGACCACCAAAGACCTCCCGTGTCAGGACCAGACAGTGCGATGCAACTTTCCTTAGTTACGTACGATACTTGAGAAGTAGGGCATGAGACAGTAGGGCATGAGAAAGTAGGGCATGAGAAAGTAGAGGGCAGGGATTTCAAAGACATGGCACTAAGTAATCGGATATTGCGAATTGCCATCCCAGGCTTGAATGGAGTCTCCAAAATTTTCGGTGTCCAAAGCAGCTAACCCGGTTCTTACTGGAGACCAGAAACGGCTTTTGTACCTTCTTTCCGCAGCCTTCCCTGCAATTTCAAGGGTAACAACCATAGGAGCTTAGTATGTCTAAGTCCCGGCGTGGTGTTCGACAAGTGCCCTTCTGACATTGGCTAAATGTAGAACGGGTGAATTGGGAAGACACCAATTTGTAGCCCCGGTCTGTACCCTTCAGGACATGTGCTAGGTGTATCGTCATCATCCACGATCCACACACTGTCCATCCGGACTGGATGGGAGACTTTATTGCCGCACCATGGCTTGCTTGAGCCTTTTCCGGTTATAAGTTACAAGTTGACGTATTCGGTGTTGGGAGTAGATTGAACTATTGTCAGTTGTGATGAAAAGACAGAGCAGGTTGCATCGGACGCAAACCCTGAAACGAGGCTGTTTCTCTGACGTCAAATAGTATGTGCAAAACGGAGGGATATTACCCGCGTCTTCAAGGAAAATACTTCATTCCACTCTTCGACTACTGCTAACAGAACTCAAAGCAAACTAACTACACGACATAAAGCAATTGGTCTGCCCCTGCGTCCCCAACGAGTCCAGATACGGATCCGGCCGCCGCAGGTAGTCCGCCAGGAAGTTGGCGCAGTGGGCCACATGGCCCGAATCCGCCAGCATGGTATCTACCCGATCCCCCCGTTTGTAAACGTCATGACCGCGCCGAAGCAAATAGAGACAGTGCACCAGATGCTCGCGGGTCACCGTGAAATAGTACCCCTGCTCGTTGTTCCCCACCTCCGTGTAGTCCTTCATCGGGTGCTGCATCTCATGGTCGTAGTAGTACTTGAAGGGCTTGCCGTCGTTGAAGGTCGCAAAGTCCTCGGAGTAGTCGTGGGGGCAGTCCTTGTGCAGCCAGCATGCCGACAAAGGATCGTATGAGCAGCCCATCGCCGTGGCCTCGGTGGTGGAGTTGCCACAGGCGAGCGTGGTGTGGCGGTTCGTGGAGAAGCACTGGCGCTGGCCGTTGATGGTCGGCGAGGATGACGAGAGCTTCACCACGAGCACCTGGCGGAACGGCTCGATGGTGATGGCGGCAATGACGGCGAGCACGAGCAGAACCAGGACCAAAATCAGGCCCGAGATCGTGATGGCCGTCAGATTCCGCTTGAGGAATTGTTGGACGGAGTAACGGCGGCGCGAGCCGTGATTGATGATGGTAGTGGTGCCATCGCCGCTGTTCTCCGTGTTGGGAACGGGCTCGTAGCTGTGGTGGTGAGGGAAGATCTTGTCCGTCGCCATTGATCTCGCGCTGCTACTTGAAGTACAGCATCTCACGGCTTTCTACCTTTGCGGTCATTCAGGCCAGGGCTTTCTTTGGGGGGTAACGGCATTGCGTATCTATTTGTATGTGAGAGGGGCATGGGGAGAATGGCGAAGACAGGCCTCAATAAGCATCGATGAGACTGAGAATGGTGGTCAATAAAGAGTATGAAGACAAAGAGCATGTGTCTTGGTAGCAGGAACTGGTTGGGCTTAGTACGGAGTACCGAGATCGGACTGGAGACTGGCACGCCTGCCTATTCGAGGTCAAACAAAGACACCCACGCGGGAATTCCCGCAGTCGATTAGCCTACTGCATTCTCTCTACTTTCTCCGACAACCACTGCTAAGTCTTCATTAAACACTATCTCGGACTTCTGACATCCATTATCTAGCAGCCATATTATGAGGCTGTTAACGCTCCATCTTTTCACACTCATGGGTTGTTACCCGTCACGGCACCCCAGATATACGCAGCCCAACTGCCCAGCGTGAGCAGCAACAGAGCTGTGAAACACACGATCGAGATGCGTTTGCTCCGCTCGTAATGCTCGACAAGATGGTGCTGCTGTAGCATCGCGAAGAACTCCGCGCCCAAAGCATGACGCTTCTTCCGAGACCATTGCAAGGGCGCCAGATCTCTACCCACGTAGCATCCGATCAGGAGAACAATCGAGACGATGGCACAGCAGATAGCCAGGAAGAGATAGACCCGCACTGCGCGATGGTACGAATCGTTATCTGCATCCTGGAGGGCACCAGTGATGATACCAATGATAATGGTCATGCTGGAAAAGGGTCAGAGAACATTCTGCTTGGGAGAGTCTCGAGAAACGTACGCATTGTTCATCGTCACTTTCAGGGAGTAGGCAGAACCAAACACTGACTGATGCCAGAGCGTGGTACGGATACCGTCGATGATGGAGGTCGGTCCTAACGACACGGCCACCGCATAAATACCGAACGCTGCAGCGGTCCCCTCCTTCGCTGAGGCATAGTTGACTAGGATCATGCTGATGAACATTCCGAGACCGCACACGCACACTATTATATGTATTAGTGGAGATTCCATGGCTGGATTCTGGAAGGGCTTGACTCACAGACTGAGGCTCGGTGACCGAGGATATCAATGAAAACGCCCAGGCAGGGAACAAGGAAGAAGCCTAAGTCATATTAGCGTATGCTCTCTCTCAACAAAGTCAAATACATACCAGCATATTGAGCCAGAGCGCTGTACCAGCCCGCTTTGATGGCGTCGACATTGAATCTCTTTTCGGCCAACTCTGTCGCATTGGAGCTGAAGACACTGGCGGTACTGGTTTGGAACATCGAAAAGGCCATGACGGCCCAGAACATCCAAGGCAGCTGGAACATCTTCCGGATCTCGAACTTCTTATTCTTCTCCACCAATTCTTCCTGAGTCGCTTTGTCTTCGCGGCCACGATAGTGCTTCTCGCAGTAGCGGTTGAAAATCCAGAAAAAGACGGTTGCTGCGTTCGTGAAGAGATTCATGAAGACAGAGGTCCAGAAGACCCAGGCAAAGTTGCCAGTATTCTGCTGACGATTAGTTCCATGGAGCTCCACCAATCGCAGGGCACATACCTTGGCAATCACGTTCGCGGTGGACTTGCCGACAAATCCTCCAATCTAGTCAAAGTTAGCTTTGGCGAATCCAACGTGGCGTTGGGGCATAAAAGAGTACCTTTCCAATGGCGAGCTCAAATCCAAGCGTAGAAGCAAATCCGTTGCTGGGCGGAAACCACGAGGAGAACATTTTGTATTGAGCCGTCTGGGTCGCAATGTCGCCAAGTGCGAGGACGATTCTTCCACCGACCATGAATCTAAATGAACGCACTGTGGTAGCAGCAGCCACCAGAATTGAGCCAACGGTGTACACGGCATTTCCATAAACGATCATCCCTGGTATGCAAGTTAGGGTCGTTGCGTCATTTTTGGGGATCATCAAACATACGAGCACCACCAACTCGATCCGTGACAATGCCGCCTGCGAGAAGCAGAAGGGTGGCCATGAAGTTCTCACTGGCTTCGAGAAGGGAGAACTGGGTGTTGGTCACATGCATTTGCTTTACAGTCTGTCAGTAAAACAATAAGCGAACCTGACTCAGAGGCGACAGACCTTCTTGATTGTGCTCTTCATGGCACCGGTGACACCAGTGCTCCAATGGGAGCCAAAGCTGATGCAAGAGATAACAATCACGGCAATCAGCTTCGCGGCTAGAGGTGGCGGCCGCTTTCCGTCAACATCATTTGTACGAGGGCTCTTGGACGACTGCAGGGATGAGGTAGTCTCCGGCTCCTCAGAGACAACGTGAGGGGTGTCCTTTTCGACTCCCATATTGCGAACAGACAAACTGTATTTTGGATGAGAAAATGAACGTTAGTGTGAGAAGATCAGCGCGGTCGAAGGTGCGGGCAGACCCTGGTCGTGAGCCCATCTTTATATGGCATGAGACGTCAAGACCGTTTTTGTCCTGGAAGCTCCCGGTATTTCGCCGATTGCGACCCATTCAGCCAAGACACGGTTAATCAGATTAGATTTTCTGGCAACCATCCGATTCTCGGGCCATGCTTCCCAGGGAGGAGAGCGTCCACGCTTTTTTGTTGTTTGGTGTCTTGGCTCTGCCATCGTTGTCGTATAGTCCCCGCTGAGGAAGATGCTGATTGGGTAAGACTCGGATCTTGGCATTGATTGATAAGATTGATAGAACCCACTCACGGACAGTGTCCGAGAAGGTTGAGCAGGTTCATCACTGTTCGAGAAGATCCTTCACCTGTTGGTCTGGGTTTGTTTCACTTATTGGAGGTCGGAGAACTTAGGGCTTGGACGTCCGCACCACGGACACATACTATCCACAAAAGCTTTCACCGGGAATCGACATTCCATGCTTGAGCAGACATGGTCACTTCTGTTCCGGAAAACAGCCTTGTTATAGGGCTCGCCATCCGGTCGATTATACATTGCTCGGCGAAAGAAGCATACAAGGGTGGTGTGTCAGAGCCAGGTCATCGGAAGCTCATACACAATGGACCCTTGCGTGCACGAATAGCACCGACCTACAAATCTAAGGGCACCAACTCCACCCTATTATCAAGGCCCACGTCAAGCACTTATCCCAATTTCTGGATGGCACCCCTGTTCGCCTCCAAGCCTACTTGGCTTGGGCTGATCAAACAACCAGTCTCTACGCCTAATCTGTGGCTTCACCGTAGCACAAACTTGCGGCATCTTTTCACTTATCGTAGGAGGGATACGTACGCCGTCTGAATTACCTTTGAAGAAATGCTTGGCTCGGAGACTTTGAGCCCGATCCAGAACCCTTAAGCTCCACGTCGGACAGATGACTCCGATCTGTTCCGTTAACATTCCCGCAACGTGCAAATTCGGGTTGCTGCCCATTCCCCCATTTCCACGTGTTCAGAGGGACGCTGCCGTAATACGGGCCAGCTCCACCGCTGGAATTCGAGTTTTCCATGATAGCACGCTCCTCCGCTGCTATATGGGTGGGTATCGTCAAGCTTCCGCGCAGATTCTTTGAAGCATTTGTGCCTCCGCGGAGCTCTCGGAGAGAGACTTGAGGTGACACCACGCTGCTGGAAAAAGATATTCTGAGCTGACCTCGCAATTTATGGCAGGGAGAGGATTAGAATTGATGAATCCTGGCTTCGTTATATACATGTGCTAGTAGGTGCAGAGAAGACATATCCGCAAAGAAGCTCTGCCATCCATCATTCGATTCTGGATAGACGTCACTGGAATGCTTCAGCCAGAGATGAAGAAGTGGCAGTCGACTCTCTCAAGTGGAGGTGGCTGGTCCACCAACCCGTGTTTCACATTCCAGGGATGACCGGACTTCCAGCTACTGTAGCTTCTGATACGAAGCTATGCGATAAGCTTATCGGACTTTCGCTACAGCTAGTAGGTTGGCAGGATCTTGAGCCTACACACCTCCTCTCATAGTATTTTTATTGTCTAGGCTGAGCCTATGCAACAAGCTACCATACTTACACGAATATTCGGGCCTAAGATTGGAAGGATTCGTGAAGACATGAGGTGGGGAGCAAGGGGGTAACGTTTCCCATCAGCGTTTGCCATCCCATCGGCCCCTAAATCTCGCAAAGTGCCCATGAAAATAGTATAGCGGGCGGAGTCCACCAGTGGATGCAGGTGGGCCATATTCAGTAGGAGGAAAAAGTGGATTAGGGAATTTCTGAATGAGGCTTAACTTCCACTTTAGCCAAGAGCTAGAGGTTAACGTAGAAAAATGATTGCATCAATCGATTCAAGGTTAGAGATGAGTAGATAGGTTAGCATTTATCTTAATAGCTTAATGCAGGGTAACGTTTGGGTCGCTATGCTAGTATGCATACCAGCATAGCTATTCTGTTGCGTTCAAGCAGCTGACAGGCTATCGGGTATCCCAGTGGCACGGAAATTGTTGAGTAGATGTAAGTTCTTCGAATATCGTAGAATAGCAGCATGGTGTACCAGCTGCTAAACACCCTGGACCCTTCTCCAAGTTCAAACTAACCTGTCTTCCCAACCCAGCAAGAAGCTTGGGTATATATCACCTCCCCATCCACCCCCCATCCACCACCACGACGCTCCCGGAAACATAACCACTCGCCCGCCCCGCCGCCAGGAAAACCGTGACCCCCTTGAAATCTTCAGGAGAAGCCCATCGTCCCGCCGGAATCCTGTCCAAAATACTCTTCGCTCGCGCCTCATCATTCAACAAGGCCGTATTCATCTCCGTGGCCACATACCCCGGCGCCACCGCGTTGACGCGCACCCCGCGCGCCGCCCACTCATTGCTCAGCGCCTTGGTGAGCTGCGCCACCCCGCCCTTGGCCGCCGCGTAGGCCGGCACCGTCAGCCCGCCCTGGAACGAGACCAGCGAGGCGACGTTGATGATGGCGCCGCGCTGGCCGTGCATTTCTGGTGGGCGCGTCAGCATGTACCGGCCCACGTCGCGGCACAATGTGAAGATCGTGGTTAGGTTCGTCTGCAGAACGGCATCCCAGTCGGCGTCCGGGAAGAGGTGGCTCGGGTGTCGGCGTTGGATGCCGGCGCAGTTGACTAGGATGTTGATGTCGTGGCCGTCGGCCAGGATGCGCGGGATTAGGGTGGTCACTGAGGCGCGGGAGGAGAGGTCGGCCGTGTAGATTGTTGCTTTGCGGTTGAAGGATTCGATTGCGTTTTTGGTGATGAGGTTCGTGGGATCTCTCTTTGGGGATTGGGGGTTAGATGAGTGGAGACGGGGGAGGGGGTTCAGGGATCGGGGATTGGGGATTGGGGATGGCTAACCTGGATGAGGATTATGTCGCTGCCGACTTCGGCGAGGGCGATGGCCATTTGTTGGCCGATGCCTCGGGTGCCGCCTGTTACGAGGGCGGTGCTGTTGCTTAGAGAGAAGAGGTCCATCGTTGAGGAGGAATTGTATAGAAAGAGGGATGGTGGAGCCTTGAGAGCGGGACCGGGACGAAGTAAATATTCCTACTATGTAGAAGACAATGCGGGGGAACCCCCACGTCTTCTTTCCCCCCCACTCCGATACTAGGATTACTACTGCTACTACTATTCAGCTGTACACTAATCTGCACACTCACCACTCGCGGATCCCTCCATCAGGGCCATAGAATTCTTTTGGCAACCACGGCTCAGTTGCCTGACTGATCTTCCGGACCAACTCCTCGTTGATCTCAATCCCCAGCCCTGGCCCCTTGGGCACCGCCACGTATCCTCCCTCGATATCAAATACCGACGCGTCCACCAGATAGCTAGTCAAGTCAATATCCCCTGCTTCGATGTTATAATGCATCCCAAGGGACATCTCCTGAATCACAAAGTTGGGAATAGAAGTGGCGACCTGCATTGACGCCGCCAGGGCAATTGGACCTGCGTAAAACCACGAGTTAGTGCGTGCTCCCAGATTATCTCATCAGAGGCAACTCACCCAAAGGACAATGCGGCGCAATCGCCACATCATACGTCTCCGCCATCGTCGCAATGCGCTTCGTCTCCGAAATGCCCCCCGCGTGCGCAATATCCGGCTGCAGGATGTCGACTGACGCATCCTCCAGAAACCTCTTGGCGTCCCACCGCGTGTACAGGCGCTCACCGAGCGCGATGGGGATGCTGGTCTGTTGGGAAAGCTGCTTGATGGCCTCCGGGTGCTCCACCAGCAGGGGCTCTTCGATGAACAAGGGGCGGTATGGCTCGAGGGCTTTGGCCAGCTGCTTGGCCATGGGACGGTGCAGACGGCCGTGGAAGTCCAGCCCTGCGTCCAGGCCTAGGGCCTTCACCTGCTTGAGGCGCTCGATGCAGGAGTCCAGGATGGCCGGCGAGTCCAGCCAGTTGATGTCCTCGGTGGCGTTCATTTTGACGCATTTGAGGCCCTGCTCGATACGCGCCTTTCTGCCGGTTGTTAGGTGATAACACAGGAGCTTGGGCTTGAGGGGGGAGAAGGGTTGACGCACGCTGCAATCTCCACGTCACTGGGTCGGTCGCCTCCGATCCAGGCGTAGACCTGGATTTTGTTGCGGACTTTGCCGCCTAGCAGCTGGTACACAGGCACGCCTAGTCGACGGCCTTTCAGATCCCACAGGGCGATGTCGATTCCGGACAGCGCGGACATGAACACGGGACCACCGCGGTAGAACCCTAGTCGCCAGATGGTCTGCCATATATGCTCAATGTCGCTGGGAATGATGAGCTTGGTTCAATTCGGGAAGTTGGCAAACATACTCTGCCTCATAGCCAATCACTCGTGCGATGATCTCGTCCAGGGCGCCTTCCACAGCCAGTGTGTGTCCTTCGAGTGTGGCTTCGCCCCATCCGAACTGACCTTCATCGTCGGTGATCTTCACAAACAACCAACGGGGTTTGACTCGGAAGTATTCAATGGACTTGATGCGCGCCATTTTGGTGTGTATAGTACAGTATTAGCAGGTGAATTGGCAAGGGTCTCCTGTTGCATTCTACATACTCATTTATATATGCAGCATGACGAGCTACTGTCACGACCATTGTCTTCCCCACGCCCACCCCTGCGTGGGGGTGGACGGCTATATAGTCTGGGGTATTCATAACATGCACTATCACACCCGCACCTATTGGCGGAGGCCGAGCGCTGGTCCTTGACCCCCACTTCCGCATATGCACCTTCCCCTCACCCCGCTCTTCGGTCCCCCATTCCATCCTCAGTACACGTACCGGAAATTCAAGTTCTGCTTATCCGTGAGGTCACTGAAAGCCGTCTGATCACGGTCCCATACCGTGGGTTCCCCGTGCTGCTGCGCTGCATCCCGTCGACGATTTTCCCACGCCAGCATGATCCGCAAAATCACTACTAGTGCAATTTCAATCAAATTGGACACGATCATCGACCAAATACCCAGCTGGTAGCGTGGTGCTTGGTCAGACTTGTAGAAGAACGGACCGGCGATGTTCCCCGCACACACTCCGAGAAAGATCATCGCGTTGGTGACGACCTTCTTCGTGTGACCGGCGATGTTGGCAGTTAGGATGGAGAGAATGAGAACAAAAGAGGCATTGTACGACCCTGTCAAATAGTAGCAGATCAATCGACCAACGCGGTTATCTTCAGCAAGGAAGCAGAGTCCGAATGCTCCTGCAACGTTGGGAAGGAGGAAAAGGATGGTCACGATGCAACGGTTGTTGGGCGGCAGGCGATCGTTGATGTACACGCTGAGGAGGATCATGAGGGCTATAAATACGCCGTAGGGGATTTGCATCAGGGTCGTCACCACTGCAATTGTCAGACTCATGCCTTTTCTTATATAGCAGGCCACCAAGCTCACAGGTCGAGAAGCCGAATCCCGAAATAATCAAGGTCCCGAAATTCGAGATTCCGCCATTGGGGATATTGCCAGAGAGCCCCAACAGCAGGAACGTCCACACTTTCCAGTCGAGTAGCGCCTCCAGAACCTGTGCCGGCTTGAGGACTTTGTTCTCCACGCCTGTCTGGTTGTCTCGGAGCCTCTCCACCGCCAACCGCCTTTCCCGTGGGGAGAAATTGCGCGCGGTAACTGGGGAGTCGGGCAGCAGGACCAAGATGACGATGCCCCAGGCGGTGCACAGCGCGCCGATAATGAGGAACTCGTACTTCCACGAGGGCAGCGCCCCTTGGATGTGCCCGATGCCGTACCCCAGCAATCCTCCGAGGGCAATGCCGAGCCCGTTGGCAGTATACCACAGACCGATGCGGATGGGCTGCTGGCGTCTCGTGTAGAACATGCTCGTGATCAACATGAAGGCAGGATCACTACCATGATGTTAGGCGCAGCACGACGAGTTTGGGAATGTTGGTATTACCTGCATGCCTCGGCCGCCCCTGAGATAACCCGCAACACAACGAGCTGTGTGAAGCTTTTTGCTGCAGCTAGAAGAGCGAGCATAAGTAGAGACCTTGATTTGGTGGACTAGAATTGTTCTCCCACGGACCTTGTAGCATGAGGAAGACCCCCCATAGAATGATATTCACGCCGAGATATTTGGCCACGGGGAACTTTTGGAGCAGAAAGTTGGTAGGGATGGCCCAAACGAGAAAGCCGAAGTAGAAGACCGAGGACAGCCAGGAGTATTGCTGGCCGGACAGGTGGAGATCTTCCTTGATGCCGAAGATGGCCGCATAGGAGAGGGTGGTCTTGTCTATCTGTTGTAGTTTTAGTGAGTATTAGTGAAGATATTCCTCGCGTTTATGCTATGAGCGATATTGCACGGGGTCCGCACATAGTAGAAGGCATAGCAGACGGCCAGACAAGGCAGGATTGCCCAGTCAATCTTCCTCTCCAACCGCCTTAATTCCTCTGCGTCGACAGATTGCAGTTCATCGCCCGTGGTGAACAGTGCGAGGGCTGTATCGCCATGTTGTATGTTGCTGATCTTGCCGTCATCTTGGTTATCCTCGATGTGGAGGGATGAGGGTTTCGGAGCAGCGTTGGGCGTCGAGATTTCCGCAGCCATGGTGGTCTGGATCTGTAGCTAGCCACAATCGAGTCAGGAGTATCATGAATATCCTGTTGCAGGTCCAGAGTCTGTTCCCCCCAGGTCATGATGTATTTCGAAACAGTCCCCCACACCCCCAGACAATAGCCGTTAGCGTGGGGGAAATGCATGATTGTGTGTGTTGTTGACGCCGGGGATTTTTCTCCGCGTTTGCCTCGGCGCGAAATCCGAGTTTCCTGCTACGCATCTCCCTGCAGTGGTTACTTTTCTACTTCTTGATCTCCATGACCTGTCTTCACTGCTTCACAAGATCAATGAACCACAATTACATGCAATGGCATTCCTTACACAAGAAGAAATCCAGAAACATGCATCGCGCCAGTCATGCTGGGTTGCCATCCATGGCTCTGTTTACGATGTGACCGGTGAGCCATGAGCCTGATCACACTGCTCAGCAGTCAAGAAGTCAACAGTAACTCACACTTACCGTCACAGACTTCATCGACGAACACCCCGGCGGTCCACAGGTAATCCTCCGCCGTGCCGGCCAGGACGCAACAGCAGACTTCGACTCCGTCCACGACCAATCCCTCCTCACCGAGACCCTTGCACCATCATGCCTGAAAGGCAGGATCCAACCCGGTACACTCTCAGCCCTCTCCTCCTCCTCATCATCATCATCAGCAACATCCTCAACGCCCAACCCCCTCCCCAAAATACTAACCACCACAACCACAACCACAACCCCCGCCCCTCCCCTCACCACCCTAATCAACCTCCACGACTTCGAAAAAGTCGCCCACCAACACCTCCCCCCCCACGCATGGGCCTACTACGCCTCCGGCGCCGACGACGAGCTCAGCACGCACAACAACGCGAAAGCCTACCGCAGAGTCTCCCTGCGCCCGCGCATCCTCCGCAGCATCCGGGCCGTGGACACCAGCACGACGATCTTGGGGAGGCAAGTCTCGCTGCCGGTGTACATGAGTCCCACAGGCATCGCCAAGCTGGCGCACCCGGACGCCGAATGTGCCCTGGCGAGGGCGGCGGGCCACGAGGGGCTGGCCCAGGTGCTGGCTAACGGGGCGAGCATGCCCATTGAGCGGGTGCGCGCGGCGCGCACGAACCCCCAGCAGCCGCTGTTTGCGCAGCTGTATGTGAATAAAGACATACGGAAGTCGGTGGAGACGGTCCGGCGGGCGGTGGAGGCTGGGGCCTGTGGGATTTGGGTGACGGTTGATTCGCCGGTTGTGGGGAAGAGGGAGATGGATGAGAGGTTGAATTTGGAGGTTCAGGTATGTCTCTACTTGTTACGACCTTTTGCTCTTTTGCTGGAATTTGTGCCGGGGGAAGGGACAGCTGGAAAGATGCTCACAATGGGGGTGTAACAGGCACGAGACTCGTCCGCCCGCGGCCAGGGCGTCGCGAAGACCATGGCCAGTTCCATCTCCCCGTTCATCGACTGGGAGATCCTGACCTGGCTGCGCGACCTCACCGACTTACCGATTGTGATCAAGGGGATCCAGTGCGTCGAGGATGCGGTGTTGGCGTACCAGCAGGGGGTGCAGGGGATCGTTCTCTCGAATCATGGGGGCAGGTCGCAGGATACGTGAGTGTCTCTCTCTCCTCGCTTCTCGCTTCTTCCTGCAGCTACAGATCCAGAATCACTGATGATGAAGCGGTTAGCGCCCAACCCCCGCTCGTCACCTTGCTGGAGATCCGCAGACACGCGCCCTATTTGATCGGAAGCCGCATGCAGATCTTCGTGGATGGCGGGATCCGTCGCGGCACCGATGTCCTCAAGGCGCTGGCGCTGGGCGCGTCGGCTGTTGGGCTCGGCCGGCCGTTCCTCTACGGTCTCGCGGCGGGTTACGGCGAGGAGGGGGTGCGCCGCGTGATCGCGATCCTGCGGCAGGAGATCGAGGCGAATATGGTGTTCTTGGGGGTGACGACACTGTCGGAGTTGGGGCCGCATCTGCTGAATGCGACGCGGTTGGAGAGGGATGTGGTGGGGGAGGTGAAGTTGTAGTTTGGTATAGAGGGGGAGATATGGTAAGTACCGGGATGGATTTATCGGTCTATTGTCACCAGAAATTCTCTGAATTGCTGAATGGAGCAATATTATCTCACACGAGCAGTAGCACAAGAACTACCCACAGAAACATGGCCCCCTGGTACTGTACCTCCGCAGGGGGAGGATCATCAAGCATTAAGTTACTGTTGACTTCCCGCAGAGGCTGTGTGTCCGAGACTCTCGGGGACCTAATGGGACCCGATCCACAATCATCAAGTGCATAAGTGTAAGCAGTGCAGATGATCTCTCAGTCGGCTTTTCTTTCTCTTGTTCGCGTGCAAGGCACTCTCCGATCGAGGAGTTCTTTACTAGGAGGTTATCAAAAAGCACTGAGCGGAGACAAAGCATACGCATACGATCGGCGACCACCGCCTCCAACCCAGCAACCAGACTCAAGAACCCCATGAGAAAGGAACCCATTTCCGGCACATCCGGCTCTCCTTTCCTTTATGCCGTACGTACTAACTGCAATTGCCACGCCATGCGGAGATCTGAACCGCGGGTGAGGTCCGAACGATGGATCAACAATAGGGTTCGGGGACCATTTCCATGCTTATGCAGCAGCGGGTGACTTGGGTTCTTGTAGGTAGGGCCCTCCGAGTTTGATTGCTGGTCCCCGAAAGGCATGGCAGATCAAACCCGCAAACCCACTCTATCGCCGTCTTTCGGTTTTGTTTTTTTTTTTTTTTTTACCTTTTGTTTTTTCTTGTCGAATGGTGTGCTGTACCTCTCTTGAGAGAAGAGGAGGGTTCGGGGACTTTGAGGGGCGAGGGTTGGTTGTACTTCTACTTTATGGGTGGTATTTCTACATTCATGGACATTGAGCATGCTTGTCTACGCTGATTTGGACTCAATACCTCGGAAGGTTGATATGGTTTCCTAAGACGGCAGATTGTCGGCCTTATATTTGGATTACGACTGTGAGAGGGACACCGTTTTGCTTATTCCTTCATCTCTCCTCGTTGATCTTTGATCTTTTTGTCTTACGGTGAAAAGACCCCCAGGTCATGTTCACACCAGTCCATACCTCGCTGGGCGCCTTGCTCCTCTATCAAGGCTCCTCGGGACTCCTCTTGCACAATGGCGCGGTCTTTGGCATCTCGTCCCTGCTGTCGGGCAGTCTGTTGCGGCCCAGCTGGGAGAATGTGCCTGTCCTCGCCGGCCTGGTGTCCAGTCTGCTGCCCGTAGCGCTCTGCATGCCCTCGTTGATCCCCGCGTACCCCACAGTCCCGAACTCGTGGATCTCGCTGGCGTCGACGCTGGCGATGGGGTTCCTGCTGGGTTGGGGGACTAAGGTACAGTTCAAATCCTCTCGCGTTGACTTTGTGTAGACCACCAGCTAAACTACCGCGATGCTTAGAACGGTCGAGGCTGTACTTCCGGCCACATGCTCTGCGGCGTATCCCGTCTATCCCCGCGCTCCATCATCGCCACAGCCATCTTTTTCACGACCGCTGTGCTCACGGCCAACTTCCTCCCCGGCCGGCAAGATCTCCCGGCATGCACGGACGGTCGCCCCTGTTATCTGCCCATCTATCCCACCGCCGCAGAGGGCGGATTCATGGCGGCCACGACTTTGCTAGCCTTCGCGACGAATTGGTATGCCGTGCCACGCGTCCTCAGCCGATCCGAGAACTCGCGCACGGTTTTTGCGTACCTCGCCGGGTTGCAGTTCGGCACGGGGTTGTTGTTCACGGGGATGGCGGATCCGGAGAAGGTGCTGCGGTTTCTCGTCGGCCTCACGGACCCGGCGCGCTTTGACCCCTCGTTGGCGCTGGTCATTGTCTTTGGGATCGTGCCGTCCATGGTGACTTATCTGTCACGCAAGCCAGGACAAGATGGTCAGAGAAGGGGAGGGTCGTTTAAGCCGACGCTGGCGGAGACTTGGAGGTTGCCGACTGCCACGGTAGCGGATATCGACTGGCGCTTTGTGGCGGGAGCGGTGGTCTTCGGCGTCGCCTGGGGGTTGCGTGGCGTCTGTCCGGGCCCGGCTATTCTGCGGTCCGTGGTGCAGCCGACTTGGGGACTGGCGGAGATGGCGGGCTATATGCTCGGAAACTTAGTGTAGGCTCTTTTGTGGAGGAGACCAAGCCGTGTGTATATAAATATATATAGATATATCATCCTGACACCCGCAGGATTGTTCCCGCAAAATATGCTGAGTAGCGGAAAATGACGGTTCAGAGGTTTAGTTAGAGGCTATGTGATGCACAAAATATCAGCACGACTCCAAGGAGATGCAGATGCAGATGCAGATGCAGTCTAAGGCTGGGACCAGCCCAGGCACTGATGCAGTATTAAATTCAGACAAGGCTTACAATTCCGTCTTAGCCCAGCTGTTAGTAGAGCGCTTGTGGCCCGGGGTCGCACCAGACATAAAGCCTTCCAGCTCCATCCACTCGGCCGCGAACGCAGTGAACAGTACGCTCCAGTCCTCCACGGTGTCTATATCCAGATGTTCGCCGTCATCCTTGATCGTATGCCAGACCGTGGGAAAGCCTCGATCGCCGGCATCAATGATATGCAGGACCTCCACGCCTCGTCTCAGGAACGGGATGTGGTCGTCTTCGATGTGCATGTACATCGGGATCTCATTTTCGCTCTTCGAAAAGTGAGGGAACCAGGACCGTCCGGGATCCGCGGATCGGAACTGCTTCAAGTCTCGCAGCCGCCGCTCCAGCGTGGCCAGCTTCTTGTACGCCCAGTGCGTGGTCGGGAAGAACGACTGGATCGTGGGGTCCTTCGCGCCAAGTAGATCTAGTAGCACGAATAGGGAGATCGAGTCGAGCGGCGACCGGTACACGGACATGGCCGGGTGGACCTCGGCGTCCCACTGCTCCGCCAGGGAGCGCGCGCCGTACAGCGAGTCGGTGGCCGTCCAGTCCTTGAATGCCTCCTCCCCGTCCATGAAAATCACCTGGATGCCCTGTTGTTCCTCCAGCAGATTCAGCTGCCCCTGGGCGCGCAGGTCCTCCCACTTCTTCGTCAGGGCGCCGTCGATGGTCCGCATGGCGTGCAGCATGATCGCGCACGGCGCGGCACTATCGATCGCCCCGATGAAGCCTTCCGGTTCGTACTTGCTGTCGTAATGCGCGACCAGGGTCAGGCGTCCGACGTCGCCGGGGCTGGTGCCGGGCGGATCCCGGGAGGCGATGAGGTTGACGAAGGGAATTTTCTTCCCCTTGGAGACGGGGGTCTTCGATGTTGAGTTCTGGAATTGCAGGGTCCACTCCGGGAGCGAGGTGCGGAAGAACTCCGCCAGGTGGTTCAGGACGGCGGTGTTGCCCGCGGTCCCGGAGACACGGGGCACCAGGATCGGCGCGAGGAGTGCACCATCGTGGATATCAAAGTCTTTCCCGGGTCGCGGGAGGGATCGCAGGGTCTCGTCCGAGACGGTTTCGTAGGCTGTCCCTGACGCGAGAAGGAGAAAAAGGGCTAGGCAGGTGGACAATAAGGGGCGCAGAAGGCCACGGTACGGCAGCAGCGGAATCATGGCGTTGGGGATGGAAGAGTGATAAGGGTCAGCACAAGCTCATGGCACGAGACGATGACTGTTCCTGACTGCCACAATTTAGTTGAAGACGAAGAGGCCTGCAGAAGGAGGATGACAGGAATCAGTTCTCTGTCAGGGAGAAGGCCAAAGTTGAGTCTTTGTTTCACAAGCCAAGCAGCCATGGATTTGACAGGCTTGACCGCCTTTGAGCTACTATCGATAAGTTCTTATCCGAACTGCCTCAACTTTCTCCGATTTCCCGGCGCTGAGAACCACCTCCGCTTGAATTTCTCCATTCTGTGACAATATGAGGCCGCTCATCCTGCTGCATCCGCAATTGCGAGCCGCACTTCCGCGAAGTGTCCGGCGGAGTCTCAACAGCAAGCTGTTTGCTCGGCTGAAGACCACCGAGAACGCGGCTCGCAGCCCGAAGAATGACCCTTTCATCAAAAGACCAGCGCACCCCGAGAGTATGTTCTATAACAAGGAGCCCGACCCGGCCAGTTACGCATATGGAAAGCTCTTTGCGCGAAAAGGTATTACTGTGAAATCGTTTGCATTGCCGCATAGAACCGAGCGCTGATCTCATTCCGGTAGGACCGCCCGAGGTGATTCTCATCTACAATGGTGGTGTTCATAAAGCCATGTTCCTGGCGGCATTGAAGATTACTGGCATCCTCCTGTACGGAGTGACAATTGCTTTCATCTTACCAGAGTTCATGAGTGGGGAGTATCCTGACTGGTATGCCCCAGCAGGTAAGTTTGGAACCCTCGACTGTTGCTCATCGCGGAGGGGAGTTAGCGTCTAATCTCGGAGAACAGCTCTTACTCTTGGTGCGGTCCCGATGCTCTTCATGGCTTACAATGGGGCTACCTTTGTTTGCTATATTCACCTGTTTTTGCCAATGGCTGCTCGGCAGTCTCGCCAGGCGGCTGAGGATTATGCAAGAAATCTTCCGCCGACGGCTCGGCTGTTCATCACGACCATGGCGTTCTCAGCTAGACCTATAAAGAGGGAGGTGCATCTCAAAAACCTTGTCCCCGAAACTACGCTCAGGCGTCCCGTGAGCTTCAAGGATGTGGGTCCCGAATCCAAGAAAGGATACTGGACTCGGGGGTTGACGGAATTCTGGGCGGCGCCCAAGAGCCACCGCGGGAAACAGTCGACAGCCTTCTATCCTCACCTGTGGCCGGCAGTGAGAGAGCAGATTGAGCGGAGGGCGCCGTGAGGGAACGTTTGATTTCTTTGGCGTTAGGGGAGTACAATGTGAGAGGATTGGCATGGAGCTTTCTTATATTAGTGAAACAGGAGACTCGAATTTAGCTCAACATCTTTTACCCCGGATTTGAAAACCAGCGATACTCTTTATCTCATCTCTTTTGGGCCAAACGACCCATAGCACTTCACTTGACTTTCATTTCCAGCCTGTGTTATGCCTTAGCGTGCCTTCGTGCTCTCCCAACAACACTTTGCTAGTGACCATTCACTCACCACAGCTGACATTTTATCCATATACCTCTTATTTCCGACCTTTCCCACTTTTACTTGGTTCTGTTCACATAAACCAAACCGCCGCTTTGTCCTTCCATCATCCAATTTTCTCCTGATACCAACTCCTTCCACCTACACATCCATCCTCAACTCATACTCTCCACCTCGCTTTACTCGCAAAACAAATCTCACTGAACACTCTCACGTTCATGTTACCCTCACCTCATCAGAAACGCCGGCTCGAACAACTACATCATCCTTTTATGCAACTCACGCTATAAGAGAATCCAGCAAAAACACCAGTCATGGCAGCTAGAGGCGCTCCTAAGCCAGAGGGCTGGTTCGGCTTGACCTCAAACGAAGCCAGGCTCATTGTCCTCGGCCAGATGTGCTGTGATTCCACTGGCAAAGTAAGCAAACTTGACCTCCAGACATCGAGTGAGAATGAATGCTGACATCCAAGAGAAGGTCGATTACGAAAAGGTAGCTGTCAGAGGCGGTTACAAAAATGCAGCGTCTGCTATGACTGTCTACCGCAACGCCAAACGCCGACTTGCCGAACTTTCAACTGGTTGCCCCGAAGATTCAGCTGATGCTGTAAACAACTCGACCACAGCGACCCCGCTCAAGACTCCTACGAAGCGTAAGAGAGGCAAGGCAGCGGATGCCACGCCTGACGATATGCTTGCCACCCCCAGTGGTACTGTCGAGGCCGAATCAGCCGTGACCCCAAAGCCCAAGCGCGTCAGGAAGACCCCGGCCAAAAAAGCAACCGCTCCCAAGGTTGTCATTCCTAAGGTTGAAGAAGGTGATAGGTAGGCGCCACCCCTCTGGCGATGGTCCTCAACTCAAACTATGCTAACCGAAAACTCAGCGACGGGGAAGCTAGTCTGCAACTCGAATCCTCTCCTCTCGCGCAGGCCAGTGCTGAAAACGACGAGGGCGGCGATTCGTACAAACGAGTCAAACAAGAGCAGTCGACTTTGGCTGACATGGAGGAGGAAACTATGGTTGGTATGCTGAAAGAGCATATCACCGCGTCCGACGAGGAGAGAGCCATGGCCGAAATTGATGTGGCCGCCGAGATGGACGCGATGGACTCAGTCACGGTCCCAGTGAAGGCTGAGGAATGAGTCTGCATATACCTCAAAAGCTGTAATTTGATGAACGGATCGATCTAGCATGCTCCATCGCATTTCTGTTATTGCGAACAGCGCCCTCTAGGGTGTTCCTTATGGGAACGTGTGTACTTAAGTGATGGTTTTCAATCAAATCAGCAACGATGCAGTCATCGCACTGCGCAGATCTATCTTCATGCCTTGTAGAACTTCAGCGGTTGAGCCCATGTAATCCTCCCCACCCAAGACATGTACATTTCCGCGTGACAGTAACCACATTCTTACTGTTTCCATCTCATTTCCGGTAGAGGGTCATTAGGTGGAACTTGGCTATTTCTAAGGATTGTACACTATCCGTCTGATCAGTAGAGATCAAGTTTGCGCCGACAGTGTTAGAACTAAACAGTCCACTCGGTAGATCAAGTCCGAGTCAAGGTAAAGACCTGGTGAATGTTGTATTGCTCCTTATCTCCAGTAAATACCTGGGACAACTTGCTAGGTTTGCATAGTTTGCATGCTTTGCATACGGCAGCTTCTTCGACCCACCTGCATCAACAATTATCCGTCCGACAAGCAATCGGCTGGTTTCTTATCGGAGAAAGGCAAAACACGCTATCGAGAAATCCCTAGGATACAATTGCCTGTCGCTTTTTTCCAGTTAATCGCCCCATCTGATTCTCCTCCCTCTCGGAACCCATGAGAATTCATTCGGGGTCGCTGCCCCAGCGGGCACGCCTACATGTTCCTCGAATGCCGTCCCTCCCCCACCAAACCGTATGCGGCGTGCACAACTATGCGCGGACGGCCGCGGTGCTGCGGGCGAACTCCGCAGTGACCACCGGACCTCGACCAATGTTGAACCGAACGACAATCCCATCCATGACCGAGCAGAAGCGGTGGATCAGTCAACGGTACTTGCAACGGCTCGAAGACGCCCGACAGGAATGGGCCCATTTCTCCCGGCAGATCAAGGAAGGAAAACGGAAGAATTTTGCACAGCATCTTGAAGACAGAGGATTGTTGCACGATGTCGTCGGGTGAGTATCCGTGTGGAGGAACGCAATGGATTGCTTGAGGATTCGGCTAACGGGGTCTGAATGTCAGGGAACGGGAACTTCTGCACCGCGTATTTACCGAGAAGAGGGCTGGTATGTATGCCGGCGTCGATCCTACGGCTCCTTCTCTGCATGTTGGACATATGTTGCCATTTATGGTTCTGGCATGGGGCTATGTCTGGGGTTTGCCTGTTCACTTCATCGTGAGTCACACTGTCCACTGGCGAAATGAGCAAGACAGTTTGGCTGACATCGAGGACAGCTTGGTGGTTCAACGAGCCGCATCGGTGATCCTACTGGGCGACTAGCGGGGCGAGAACAGGTCAAGGCATCGGTTCGGAAGGCAAACATGGCTTCGATGCACATTCAGCTGAAGAGGCTCGGCAAGAGCATCGAGGCTTACGGCCGAAGACATGGTTACGAGAAGGAATGGTCCTGGAGGCGGAGTATCACCAACAACAATACGTGGTGGACTAGTGTTACATTCATGGAGCTTGTCAGAGATCTGGGCTCCTTTATGCGTCTGGGCCCCATGCTTGGGAGGGATACGTGAGTTCTTTCTCTCGCCGCCGGCCATTGTCGTGGGTACTGACCAGCTGCAGTGTCAAGAACCGCTTAGAGAAAGGAGACGGAATGTCGGTTGCCGAATTCATGTATCCTCTGATGCAGGCCTGGGACTGGTGGTATCTGTTCCGGAGGGGCGTGCAGGTCCAAGTTGGCGGCGCCGATCAGTACGGAAACATTCTATTCGGCATGGAAGCCGTCAAGACGGCTAGCAGAAACACCGCCAACGAGCAGGAGCGGAATCCGTTGACAGATGAAATCGACAGGCCCATCGGGATGACAACGCCCCTGCTCACGACTTCTTCAGGGGAGAAATTCGGCAAGTCGGCTGGCAATGCGATCTGGCTTGACAAGGAGATGACCTCCACCTTTGAGCTGTATCAGGTATGAAAGAGCGTTTTGCATCTTATCTTTAAATTGACTAACACCCATCACAGTTCTTTGTCCGTACGCCCGACGACGTCGTCGAGAAATACCTCAAAATGTTTACTTTCTTGCCCTTGCCGCAAATCGAGAAGATCATGGCCGAGCAGACTCTGGACCCGTCCAAGCGTGTGGCCCAGCATGCTTTGGCCGCGGAGTTTGTGGAACTCATTCACGGCAAACAGGAAGCGGACGCAGTCGCCCTCCAACATCGCCAACTCTTCCGCCCAAGATCTTCCACCGCCGAACCCACTCCTCTCCCTGGCCAGCCCAAGCCCCACCCCATCCCTCAGTCGCCGTACGCAAAGGATGCCAATATGGCGTCCGGCAACATCTACGCCCCTCAGACGAATTTCAGCAACATGCCCGCCCACCGAATTGAGCTCCCCCGGTCTCTGGTTGAACAGCAACCTTTGCACAAGCTTCTCTGGAGTTCAGGTCTGGTGAATTCCAAGAGCGAGGGCCACCGTCTCGCTGCGAACGGTGGGGCGTATGTCGGAAGCCGCCCCGGCGCAAGCGGGCCTATGTCCGACAGCCTGGAATACACGCCCATCAGGGTCTGGCTTCCGGAGAGGACCAAAGAGTTTGTCGTCGACGGAGAGCTTCTGTTCCTCCGGGTAGGCAAGTGGAAGTTCAAGATCATCCAGATCATCAGCGATGAAGAATTCGCCAAGAAGGGACTGACTTGCCCGGGATGGGAGCCCGAGGGCGAGGGCGCGGAGTCCAAGCCCTGAGCTTGAGAAATAGGGATGGTGATTCGCCACTCCGTGTATAACAGAGACCTGTACATATATCGCATACCAAAACCAATATACTGTGTATCAATAGACTCTGAGTCACCAACAGTGGACATACCCTGTAGTGTGGTAGTGTGGTAGTATGACAGCCAAGGCGGTGAGCGATGGCACAAAAGACCCAAGACCCCAAGACCCCCCAAAAAAAAGCACTCAACGCGTCCGACGCGCGACGGCCCGCCGATGCCGATGACCAGAGACACGTCTGTCTCTCCCGCTACATCCTTATCGCCCATCCGTCCCCAGGACAGGGCCGCCCTTTCGATCCTCCCCCCCCAAAATATCTCATTCCCCCGGTTGGAATTGATCTTTCTTCCTCTAATTGCATCTCCAAAAAAATATCAGATTCATCTGAAAATCCGGCCCCCCCGTTCCAGAATGGCCAAAGGAGCCCCCGCCGCATCCTCCCCTCCGACCGCGACGCCTCCCTCCTCCCGGGCGCTGAAACGAACCACGTCCAGCACGCAGAACATGAAGAGCCAGAAATCCATCCTCGGGTTCTTCCAGAAGTCCTCGCCCTCGACCCCGTCAACGGCTCGCAGGGTCGGCGTCGAGCCCGCCTCCTCCCCCGCCGAACGGGTTTCCATCCAGCGCGCGGGAGCCAATACCACCAGTACCACCAAGCAGCGCGTACCCCATTTCAAGCAGGACTTAACGCCGGTGCCTAGTAGTGATCTCGTGATTCCTGACGAGGAGGAGGATGAGGGTGCAGTGCAGGTATGGTGTGCTAGCTTCAAGCTGGAAATTGGGTGATAGTTGTTTTGGTGTGACTGACTTTGGTGGAGATGCAGGCTGGTGGTGTCGATGAGCAGCAGACGCTCGCGTCTCCGTCGCGTCGGGTAAGAGATTCTTATCATTCGGTACATTGGATGTGCAGATGTGCTGACGGATGTGATATTGCTACAGGCTAGGAAGAAGGTCAACTATCTTGAATCGGATTCCGAGGGCGAGGAGGACGACGAGAAGATCTTCCGTCCCGGCCGCAGTAACCGCAACAAACGTCAAAAGGTGGCTGTAGAGAGCGAGGATGAATTTCAGGAGGCTGCAGGCGACGCGGGCTATTCTGATGATGGTTAGTCTGAAGGTTTACGTCGTACTGTCCACCATCGCTGACATTGCCCAGAAATGGACGACTTCATCGTCGCCGATGATTCGGACGAGGAAGCAAAGCCGGTCAAGAGGCGCACGAAACCGGCCGCTCGACCCAAGACCAAGTCATCCCCAGTGCCATTGCAGACGCCTGACGACGATGGAGATCTCGATTTGGACATCCCCGAAGCGACTGGCGGCACGGCGATGAAATGGACGTACGACCCGGAACACTCCGAACCCCGGCAACAGCGGACGGCACCTATGACGCCCAAGCGTCCCAGCAATGGCAAGCAGAAAGCACATGTTACCGAGCCGGAGCAGCGATATGCGTGGCTGGCAAATCTTAGAGACATCGATGGCCATCCCATCGGTCATCCGGAGTATGATCCTCGGACACTATATATTCCCCCTTTGGCTTGGTCGAAATTTTCGCCGTTCGAGAAGCAGTACTGGGAGATCAAGCAGAAGTTCTGGGACACGGTGGTGTTCTTCAAGAAGGGCAAGTTCTACGAGCTCTACGAGAATGACGCCACCATTGGCCACCAGCTCTTTGACCTGAAGCTGACCGATCGCGTGAACATGCGCATGGTGGGTGTCCCGGAGATGAGTTTGGACCACTGGGCCAATCAGTTCGTTGCCAAGGGCTTCAAGATCGCTCGCGTGGACCAGATCGAGTCGGCGTTGGGCAAGGAGATGCGCGAAAGAGACGGGAAAGATGGCAAGAAGAAGGCGGGTAAGGAGGACAAAGTGATCAGGCGAGAGTTGGCGTGCGTCTTGACTGCGGGTACACTCGTTGAAGGCTCCATGCTTCAGGACGATATGTCTACGTACTGCGTCGCCATCAAGGAGGCACTTATTGAGGATCGTCCCGCCTTTGGGCTGGCCTTCGTCGACACTGCGACTGGCCAATTCTTCTTGTCGGAGTTTGTGGATGACGCCGATATGACCAGATTCGAGACCTTCGTGGCGCAAACGCGTCCCCAGGAACTGTTGCTCGAGAAATCCACTGTCTCCACCAAAGCACTCCGCATCCTGAAGAACAATACTGGCCCGACGACCATCTGGAATTACTTGAAACCCAGGAAAGAGTTTTGGGAAGGTGATATCACCGTCCGCGAACTTGATGCGAGCGACTACTTCGTCAGTGAAGATGGGAACAACCTGCAGGCATGGCCGGAGGCTCTGCGCGAGGCCCGGGACAAAGAGCTGGTCATGTCTGCTTTCGGTGCGCTGGTGCAGTATCTCCGGATCCTCAAGCTCGACCGGGATCTCATCACCATTGGCAACTTTTCCTCATACGACCCCATCAAGAAGGCTTCCAGCCTAGTGCTAGACGGGCAGACTCTGATCAACATGGAGATCTTTGCCAACTCTTTCGATGGAACCTCCGATGGGACCTTGTTCCAGCTCCTGAACCGCTGCATCACACCGTTCGGCAAGCGTATGTTCAAGCAGTGGGTGTGCCACCCGTTGGTGGATGCGAAGAAAATCAACGCTCGACTGGACGCGGTGGACGCGCTCAACGCCGACTCGAGTGTCCGGGACCAGTTCTCCTCTCAGTTAACCAAGATGCCTGATCTGGAGAGACTCATCTCGCGGATCCACGCAGCCAACTGCAAGGCCCAGGACTTTGTTCGTGTCCTGGAAGGCTTCGAGCAGATTGAGTACACCATGAGCCTTCTTCAAGAGAGCGGCTCTGGGGAAGGTATCATCGGACAACTCATCAATGCGATGCCGGACCTCAACAGCATGCTCGAGTACTGGAAGACCGCCTTCGACCGCACTAAAGCCCGAGAGAATGGCATCCTGGTCCCCAAGCCTGGGGTGGAAGAAGACTTCGACCGTTCTCAGGCGCACATCGAGCAGATCCACCAGCAGCTCGACAACCTCCTCAAGAAACACCGGCGCGAGCTGGGGTCGACGGCGATCTGCTACCGCGACAACGGAAAGGAGATCTACCAGCTCGAAGTGCCCGTCAAGATCAAGAACATCCCCAAGAACTGGGACCAGATGTCAGCCACCAAGCAGGTGAAACGGTACTATTTCCCCGAGCTCCGGGCGCTCATCCGCCAACTACAGGAGGCGCAGGAGACGCACAGCCAGATCGTCAAGGAGGTTGCGGGCCGGTTCTATGCCCGCTTTGACGAGAACTACACAACGTGGCTGGCGGCGGTGCGGATCGTCTCGCAGCTCGACTGCCTGATCAGCCTGGCCAAGGCATCCTCGTCGCTGGGCCATCCCAGCTGCCGCCCTACTTTTGTGAACGACGAGCGCAGCGTGCTCGAGTTCGAAGAGCTGCGCCACCCGTGCCTGTTGTCCTCGGTCGACGACTTCATTCCGAATGACGTCCGTCTCGGCGGTCCCCGGCCCAACATCGACCTCTTGACCGGTGCCAACGCGGCCGGTAAATCCACCGTTCTTCGCATGGTAAGCCCAACCCCTTCCCCTCTAGCCCTAGATCCTACAGCGCTTTTTAAAAGTCTAACTCTATGCTTCGAATCAAAACAGACCTGTATCGCGGTAATCATGGCTCAAATTGGCTGCTACCTGCCCTGCACCGCAGCCACCTTAACGCCGTGCGACCGCATCATGTCGCGCCTGGGCGCCAACGACAACATCTTCGCGGCGCAGTCGACCTTCTTCGTCGAGCTGTCCGAGACCAAGAAGATCCTGGCCGAGGCCACGCCGCGCTCGCTGGTCATCCTCGACGAGCTGGGCCGCGGCACCTCCTCGTACGACGGAGTGGCCGTCGCCCAGGCCGTCCTGCACCACGTGGCCACCCACATCGGCGCCCTGGGCTTCTTCGCGACCCACTACCACTCCCTGGCCGCCGAGTTCGAGCTCCACCCGGAGATCGCGCCCAAGCGCATGGCCATCGACGTCGACGAGGCCGCCCGCCGCGTCACCTTCCTGTACAAGCTCGAGCCGGGCGTCGCGGAGGGCAGCTTCGGTATGCACTGCGCGTCTATGTGCGGCATCCCGGGCAAGGTGATCGAGCGCGCCGAGGTGGCGGCCAAGCAGTGGGAGCATACGAGTCGGTTGACGGAGAGTCTGGAGCGGCGGAAGGGGAAGAAGGGGGATGGGGCCGCAGCGGTGGTGGGGATGGGGTGGTGGAGTGATGTTGCGTGGGCTTTGCGGGAGGATCGTGAGGCCGTCGCAGGTGAGGAAGGGGAGGGAGGGGTGAGTGAGCGGAGCTTGGAGGTGTTGCGACGCGCGATCGAGGCTTTGTAAGCCATCGATCGCAGTGCGCTTCTCTTCTAAGCTTCTCTTCTGGGGAAGAGGTTGGTTGTATGACGCGGGAATCTGTGGCTATGGTCGATGCTTATCCTGGTTTTTACACGGGGTGTGGTGCTTTTCCTTTTGGCGTTCATGGCGCGCTGTGGTCCTACTCTGGCTGGCATGTTGGCCGGAGATGAAATTTCCGAGGGAGTCAGTGGCACGAGCGTTTCGGGTTATATATTCATTAGGTAGTTGACGTTAAGAATATATCATGGTTTTTTTCTGAACAGGGGTATCGGTATCGCGACGATCATGACGAGTGTAAATGGTGGTGCAAGGGCAAGGCGCAATCGCTTAGCCAAATTACACTGTTCAATCATCAAGTCCGGCAGGTGTTCATGCTTCCACTGGCAGTTGATGTTGACAGTTTCCTCACTCAATTCTCCCTCTACACATCCGAATCTTCCCACATCCTCTGACCCTCGGTGGAAATCAGTGCTGTACCCTGGCGCCAACACCGCCAACACCGCCAACAGCTGGGCCTTCCCGATCCTGCACGCCTTCTCAACCACAGGCCACATCAATACGAACAGGAGGATCCACAGGCCCCAACAGAAATCAGTACCTACCCCCCAGAAGCCGTGAAGTGCAGTCCCTCACGAAGTCCATTGCCAGACAGCCAGACAGCCAGACGGAGAAGACCGAACCATGATCTACCGTACCGGAAGGGAGTGGCGCGAAAATGCCCCCCCAGAACAAAAGCATTGTCCCTCTCTTCCCCCTTTCGTCTCAAAACGTCATGTCACATACTTTTATTCAAGAACACCATCTCGTCATATCTCTTTCCCCAGCCACATGTCCTTTACAAAGTGGGTACTGCTCGGGGCTTAACCTCCCCAAGAAAAAGAAGCATCACCACGGCATATACAACCAGAACTCTCTACAACCTTCTTCGACTCTAAGACGGTAAGAGGCGCACAGCTTATATTCATCACACCAGATTCATCATAGTAGCTTTTGCGCATTGTCTCGGCTCTATGGAACATGACTTGTGAATGCCATCAACGTCGCCGGATCAATCCATGGCAACGACATGTCAATCAGCTCGGATGCCCCGAAGAAATCTTCAAAGTCCGGAACCGACGCCGACTCCAACGGAAGAGGCTCGAATCCTTCCCTGCTGGAACCGTCGTGCAGCAGAGGTGTCCCACGATGGCCTGTGTCATTCTCGACAGGCACTGGCCCCTCACCCTGTTTACTGTGTAAGTCAGACCCACCGAACAAGAATTTCAAAGTCGACTCTATATCGGCAACAGAAGTCCACAGACGCGGAGAGGCCATCAACTTCATGATATTCGCGAAGGCTCGTTGGTCGATCGCATGGCGCTGGTGCAGGATGTCATGGAGATATGCCAGTCGCCGCAGCACGAGCAAAGCACCATGCCGTGTCTCCGTGTATGACGACTCTAACAGCTGGATGCTGACGAGGATCAATTCTTTGGCCTGCGTGATCTCGGCTGGAGAGCGCAAATGTCCGAAACAGATCAGGTCGAGGCATAGAAAGGTGCCGGCTGTTACCGCCGAGCACGCCACGGCCCAGAATTTTTGAAAGTGAGAGCAGGGATCGTGATATCTGCGCTGCAGAATACGTTTGGCTGCTGATACAGCGCTTGCGTGGACCAAATCATTGGTAGCGTTGGGGCTACTCAGTAGCTGGGGGATCAGGGCGACGCTGAGATTGATCCGCCACGTGTCGAGGAGGTTCCACACCAAGAAGCGCTGCACATTCATCCATGATGGGACTCCTTCTAGTGGGACTCCAGACGTGTCTGTCTCATTGTAGGAGAGATGGCGTGGAAAGGAGGACGTCGCAGAGTCAATCTCTCTGACGGAAGCCTGTACGGTGCTGCCACTCCACTCCTTGATTGACCTGACCGTGTTCTGCATGGTGGCGGCTAATTGTGCCATGGCCTTGTGATACTCAAAAGGGGACGATACGTCGGAGTTACTCGAGTAGTCCGGTGTATAAGACTCATCGCTGGTCTCTAATATCGTCGTGAACGATCCAGGGTGGATAGAGATTGGACGGGACCACACAGTCATCCTAACGACAGTAAGCGTTGAGCGCGCTGCAAGAAAAGTGGGCCCACCAATCGACAATCACCAAAGTCCACCACAATCGTCGATATACGTTGATAGGCGTATGAGCCTGGGTGTCTCGCAGCAAGTGAGGTATTTCGCAGCCCGCCCCAAGACGATCCAAGCCAACCAATCTAGCCACATTCACAGCCAAGCCGTGGAGGATATACTCTCGACTCGACTGTCCGAGATTCTTGTGGACGATATTCAGGATTGCAAGGGCTTGTACAGTCAAGACACTGGGCTTACTGACGTAATCAGCGTGCTCCAACTCCTTGACCGCAGCGTCGCACCAAATGCGACACAATTGCGTGGTCATCCTGCTGAGGGACATCTCCCCTGATCTCCCCGTCAGATAGCTCTCGTGGAAGAACTGGAAGCCCTCGATCATCTCATCGTTCATGAAATATACTCCTACCTAGTTGCACGTCAGCCCCAAGCTCCAGATCTTGCATAACCGTAAGTTGCCTACAGCCAACACACTCAAATACACCGCATTCCAGCCGTGAGGCCTCGAGTTCCCGGTGTCCATCAACTGATTCCAGAACGCACGATGCTCCTCTACAAAGACCGCCGGCTCCAGGGCACAGTGAACCCACGCCAAATGCTTGAGCGAGAACTGCACGATCACCTCGCTCCAGTGCTGCGCGGGTAGAATGATCAGAACCTGATCGTCTCGCGGACGCAGAGGATCGACCCCTCCATCGTGCGACGATTCAGCCAGAAGCCCAAACGGGAGCCGTTGGAAGTCATTCAATATCTTTTCCGAAGAATGAGACCGCTCTGCAGCCGGCGCCGGCCGGAAGATCTCTGTCTCTGCCTCGGGCTTCAGCGCCTCGGGCCGTTGGAGGACGGACTCCAGTTGGCGGATGCGGGTCCTGAGACTGAGGTTCTCTTGCACCAGCCGCGAATTGAGGGTCGATTCGCTCTCATCCGAGTCGTCTTCGTCCACAGCACTACGTAACTCACTGATCAGGAAGAAGCACCTCACCAGAAAGAATGACGAAGAAATAGGTAGGGCTCACACAGTCACCTTGCCATGGACCTTGACGACTTCTCGGGCGCAGGCCGCCGATTCGCCGCGCCGGATGCATGCGTCGCAGGGGATCTTCTTCGAGCACTTGACTTTTCGGCGCGCACACTGGATGCACGTGCGAGGCACTCGCTGGGTCTCGCGCATGTGTGGGGGCATGAGGGGTGGCTCGGAATTAGGAATCGAGATTAGGATTTGACATGAATCGAGTTAGTATCGTGGTGGTACCGCTATTCGGAGGAGTGGCATGAGAGTGTAATCGAGAGTTGGGTTCAAATCCTCTACACTTCGGGTGAGCGCGGGTGAGTTTTATTACTGGCTGTAAGAGGATGGCAGCTGCCATGTGACCATCGCTGCTTCCGTTTGTGGTAAAATCCGGGGTTCTCGTTCGGCTGTGCCTTTTCCCCACAAAAGCGGGGATGTTTTTTCTATTGGTACGTATACGTCACTACGTACAAGTACTCATTTTATCATTTTTTTATATCTTATTATTTAATTGCTGCTCAGTTCGCAATCCCCCTCTTTGCAGCAAACTTCAACCTTCACCACGCCTCAGCTCACTCTTGATCAGATTTCTACGCCCTTGCCATCAACTGCATACTTCATCGTCAGCGACCTGATTTTCGGCCCGAAGATAAACACCGGCAGACCCAGGGCCGAGATCACCCCCATGATGATAGCACAGATCTCAAAGCTACCCTGGAATCCCTTCTGCGCGATGAACTTCGTGATACCAAAGGAGATTCCGAACGAGATGAATCCACGGATCGCGCAGATGAGCACCAGGATCGGCGCGGCGCGCTCCCCGTAACTATCCAGCGTGTACGTGAATCCATTCAGGATGATCCCGATGTACCCAAAATAGATGCCATTAAATGTGATGACGATGGCCCACGACGACCAGTCGGTCGGATGCGAGCCCGCGCGACCGTAGATGATGGTGGAGATCAACACGACCGCAACGGGGAGGAGGATCGGGATGAGACGCATCTCCGGCGCCACCACGCCTCCGCGGCGATGCGCAATCCACCGGTGCAGGCGGTCGCCGCCGTAGCCCAGGATCGGCACCATGAGCATTGACACCACGATCTGGCCGCCTTGGACCAGACCAAGGCTGGTGTCTGGGTAGTTGTAGGGCGGTGCGGCCAGCACCTGGGCGTATTCGGTGACGCCGATGACATAGATCCCCAGGGAGATGCTGTTCATCAGCACGACCCACAGGACCCCGGGAAACAGGATGCACTGCGCCATGTGCTTCCAGCACAGCGCCGCGGCACGCCAGTTGGCGGGGCCGTGGTAGATCTTCATGCTGTGGCGGAAGGTGCGGGCTTGGTACCGCGTGTAGTCCAGGGCTACCGGGTGCTTTGTCGTCGCGCGCAAGACGTTGAGCTCTTGCCCCTCATGGTGGATGTGCACGCGGCCTTCGAAGGCGTCGGTCGGGCGGTCGTACATGGACTCCGGCACGAAGAACAGCGCCACCAGGAACACCACGCCGCTCGCGATGGCGAAGATCCCGTACCACCACCGCCAGCCCAGGGCGATGACGAGGTAGGAGGTCGCGATCGTCAGGGCGGCGGATCCGATCGACTGGATGGCACTGAACCAGGCAAGCCTGCTACTGCGCTCGTGGACGAAGTGGATTTCCTGCGTCGAGTCATTTAGTGATTAACCAGACGGGCAGTTGTTGGTTGGCTTACCTGGATGATCAGCGGACACAAGGCCTCCGATTGACCGGCCGCCAGAGACAGAATGTCCCGTCCAGCGATGTGCGATCCCAGACTCTTACTCGCGGCGCACCAGATGGATCCCACCGTTAGAATCAGGGCCGAGGCAAGGAAGATCGGCCTTCGCCCGACGGCCATGGCCAGCGGCATGGCGATCAGGTTCCCAATCCCCATGAACAGAGTCGGATAGGTCATGAGGTCATTCGTCCGCGGATTATAATTGTAGTAGGCGTCCATCGTCGTGGTGAAGGGGCCCATTCCGGAGGTCAGAAGAACGCCCAAGACGGAGACTGCCTTCGCCGTTAGATCCAATATTCCAGTTTGGGGAATGGTAACCACAACTCACACATTCCCAGCACAAAGGTAATCACCCATTTATGCCACTGGGGCAGATTGAGCGGATCTGCACCTGCGTGTTAGCCCTCACCCTCCCGGTCATGCAGCACTCCCATACATACCTCGGGGATCCGGTGAAGGGGTGGGAATCAACACGACTTCGCCATCCTCGACCAGCTTGACCGTGCCCAGTGGCTGGAGCTGGTCTGCAGCAGCGGCCGGCTTGACCACTTCCTGATGCGTGGTGTCGATGTCTTTGGTATCCATGGTGACTGAATTCCGGATCGGTTACTCTGATGCAGGGAGAAAGTCAGTCCAGTCCAATGCATACCCATCCGCCGTTCCAGGCGATGCAATGGAGATATATCTGAGGATTCCTCTCAGTAGAAGCACTTTCGCCTCCCAGACAGTAAACTTACCCCACGGGGTACTGACTACCCTTGCACCCGGCCCTCTTTTCCCCCCTCCCTTGTCATGTAGGGTTGATAATTCCCGGGTGGTCATTGGCGTCACTGGAAGGGTGGGGACGAGTCAATTGAACGTGGAGCCGAGAGCATAATGGCGGTTATTGAGAACTGGGGGATTGTCATTATCGGGGGGGGGGAAGAGAGAAGTGAGTGGGTAAGAGAGACTTAGTGGATGGACCATCTCACCCGAGCTCGCCCGAAGCGGGTTGGGTTTGCGCTCGCTTACCATGGATGGCATCGGTTGGGATGAGAGTCTGTGCACGGCACTTGCGAACCTGGGGGTGGCCACGCGTTGGCCAGACCTGACCTGCCTTTTTGTGATCCACTTTTGATTCTAATGGTTTGGATGCTACCTCCGTCCTTGTACTTGGTATACCCCGGCATTGATGGTCGACTGTTCTGCCTACCCTGGACATTATTGTAAGGGAATAACTGAGTCCTTAGCTGGAACCACTAGTCTATATATAGCTAGAAGGTGCTTAGTACTCTAAAATAAACTGTCCGAGCAACAAGGCTGTGATTTACTAGTACTGCATAGTAGGGTTATACTATTCACCTTGATAATATAGTCATTAATTATCTACCTATAATCTATGTACTTGTTAGCTATTTCTCCAGCAAATATAGCGCTCTAACTTACCGTCATTGGAAATCAAACTGATTTGCGATATAACGAAAAGTGTAGAGGCTCAATTGTTCCATTTGGCGTTTTGCAGTTCCTCCAATGACAATCTCTTTGCGTGATCAAATTGCTCTATCTATGTGTGAGTAACTGTTTTGTTAACATCCGGATCTTATACACATACCTATATTATGACTCTCACAAACCCGTTCCAAAGTTGCAACTGAAATGAAAAACTCGATGCATTCAACTGGAATCCACCGATAAGCGACCCAGTAATTGTTGTTTGCCCACTGGAGTCCTGTGTCCCTGTTTTCGGCCCAAAGACCGACCCTACATTCCTTTGCTAGTGTTGTTGTACGGTTGAACAAGACTTTGAATGCGAGTAGCTTCGACATATTGATCACAGCTATGCTACCCCGTTGCTTATCACTATAGCCCCACCCTGCAACGATTTTCAAGATCCTCGCCGGGCTATCAGACATTGCAATAAGATCTGATGGTTGCGACCGTTCGCAGTGGACTCGTAGGACTTCCTCGCCGACCAAGCGGCTGTCACAAAGAGTACCCTCATGGTGACATGGTATTGTCAACGGTTGTTTGGAAGAGCGAAATCCAAGGTCGGGATCGTATCGACTGTGAGATGTCGGCTGAAAAGCACGATAAAAGACACTAGGAGTATCTAACTCGGGCCTGATCAAGCGATCAAAGCTTTGGCCTAGGACTTTTTTATTAAGCCGTTTAAGGATTCCGCGATCCATTGGCAAAGTTAAATCGGCATCAGCCAGTCTATTTTCAATATTTCGTTTCTTTTCTGAAAACGTAAGCCCATCGCCTGTGTTGTTGTATATATGATTGTCGCGTTGACAGTGAAGGCCCTCAACCGTATCCGGTGAGGTTAGAAAACAAGAGAGTGTCAGCAATAAAGAGCTTGTCATCGAGTCTGTTGAGAAGTTCTTGCTGTAGTTTATTGAGGTTCCTAGCCACTTCTGCTTTATGATTGGCTTCATCGTTATACTTTTTCTGTTCATCCGTGAGTGGCTTCCCGTGAAGACTGAAAAAGCGAATTGCTGGAACCGGAATTGGACGAAGGCCGTATCTTTCTGGAATATTATTTCCTAGCATGTTGATAAAGCAACAAGAGCTTGTTGCAGGGGTTTGAGGGCAGCATTAAGAATTGATCACATTTCGGTTGAGATGAGGAATCTATGACATTCTATATCTACGAGATTTCATGTAACTTACTTCTATGACGTCAACATGTGATCAAGATGGGGTAGACAATAAGAAACTTTTACTTGTACTTCGGCATTGTAGATAGTGGATCTGGGCAAATACGGTTGTTAAGTCCCCGTGACTTACCATCTCTGTAAGTCGGTCTCCCATCAAGTTTTACGGTCGGGCGGTTGGAACTTAACAAGTGGCCGAAGTGGATCAGTCGAAGTTCCCACTTTTATCGTTGCATGTATTGTAAGTCACTTTTCAATAGTTCTGGTCCAAGTTCGATGGTTGTTGCTAGGGATTGGGAACAATCTTTAAAGAGTTCGGGGGTAGGCATGGCAGTTGTGCAAGGAACTGTACCGAGGCGTTGCCCTGGAATGCTATTATACTACAGGCTTCACCAGAATTGAATATCTACGCATTAGAGCAATGGATATTAAAATCACAAACAAGATATGAGTATCATTCTTAAGATAAAAGAGCAGAAAAAAAAAAAAACACACAAAATCTAATAAGGAACCACCCCCGCCAACTTCAACAACTGCTCCGTCCGCACCGGCTTGGTGAGGGGCTCATCCCTCTCCAATGGATCAACCTGCTCCTCCCCATCCACCGTGACCGTCGCCTTGCCGTGGGTATACAGATTGGTATGGGGCCAATGGGTGGTGGTCTCGTAGTGCTCGAACAGCTCGGTCTTCTTGCGACGGTCCTCGGCGGACATCCACGCCGCGGGCGTGTAAGTCGCATACACGATGGTGCGCACGACCTCCGACTCGCCGAACTGCGCCCAGTGGACCTGCCGCGAGTCCCAGATGATGAGGTCGCCGGGCTCGGCGCACACCTTGACCAGCTCGCAGCCGCGCGCGCGGTACCACGCCAAGTTCTCCTCGGAGAAGGGGTGGAAGTCCTTGTGCTTGGCCGTGCGCCACGGCGTCGGCCCCGTCACCGGGTTCTCCTCAAAGAAGTCGTCGAACAGTGGTGCTGACCCCTTCATCACGACCAGCCCGCCATCCGCAGGGCCCGCGTGAGACAAATTTACGATCCCCTGCACGCACTGCATGCCCGACCTTTCAGGGGCTTGGTCCACGTGCGGCCACGGCTTGGAGTCGTACTCGCCCACGATGGACTGCGGGAGCGTGATGTTCACTGTGTCGAAGGAGACGACCAGCTCGTCCGTCTCCCAGAGTTTGGCAAATGGGGCGATTACCCCGGGTTCGCTGGTTGCAAGTGTCAGTCTCTGGGGCAGGAGTCATGGTTGTGGAGGAACGGAAGAGGGGATCACTGACCAACGAACGTCCCAGACGTACTTCTCGTGCGCGGCTGAGAAGTGAAGGTACATCCCGCCCTTCCAGCTCTGGGGCAAATTCTCTTTCTTCCAGGTGGATTTGTCGTTGCGGTCGAAGCCCAGGCCGAACGACTCCAGCCAGTCCAGCGCCCGGCTCTGGTATTCCTTCGCGCGCTCCGGCGTCAGGGCGCCTTTGATGACGGCGTAGCCGTTGCGGAAGAATTCGTCGCGGAAGTCACCATACTGGGTCGCCTGCGTCTGGCTCGATTGGAGCTTGGTCGGCGCAACCGGAGTAGCCTCAGGCGTATCGATGCGAGCGGGGGCCATGATGTGAGATGTGTATAGCAAGCAAGATCGGGCTATGGGTGTGGAAATCTGAGGGACGGCGAGAGAGGGTATTGATCGGCCTTTTCTATCGCCTCGCTGAGGTCATGCCATTGGGACCGGAATCCGACTTGGCACCTCCGGGTATCAGAGAGGACACGGGCGAAATGACCCTCCTCCGAAGGACTGCGACATAGTTGCTCGAACTGATGAAGTCTAGTGGCTCTGTAGAGTGTGGGGTGGTCAGCAGGACTGGGAATCTGGTGAAAGTGGAGAATCCAGAAATGGTGGAGGATCCAGATCCAGGACAATCTCACCCGAACTCGCCCGCCGGGTCATTTGTGAGTCGACTATGGAGTCAAAGTACATCCAGTACAACAAACTCGGCCGAGGTGGCGAACCATGAACCAACCATCCCCACGCTAACGACAGCCTCGGTCAACTCCAGATGTCCACAACCCGGTCGTCAGAGAGCCGGGGGAATAGCTGCAACGGTGTGAAGTTCAATTACTGGTGGGGCCCATCTAGCGTGGGGAATGACAAGATGGCAAGCATGGTCAGGACCTGCGCACCAGGAAGTGCTCAAAAGAAGGGCGGCGCCCTCGCCTGCCTGGTGCATGAGCAACAAACAGTACTAGTAGGCGACCGATTACAATGCCTTCCCCCGTTCCTGTCGCAACACGTCCGATCAACAAGCCCACCGTGGGCAGAAACAACTACCAGCCCTTTGGCTTCCGCGAGGAAACCCTCCCCCAAGGCTGGAGTCAAGATGGCTCACGGCCGCTGCCCTGCGACATTCACGCCTCCCACGACGTGGGAATCCAGGTTCGTGACGGCAGCACTCTCTACTGCGACATCTATCGCCCCGCCAACTCGGACAAGCCGGTACCGGCCATCCTGGCGTGGAGTCCCTTCGGCAAGAAGTTCAACGGCATCACATTACTGAAGTTCCTGCCATGGGGGCTGGGGATCCCGAAGGGTGTACTCAGCAGCCTGGAGAAGTTCGAAGGGCCCGATCCGGCCGAGTTCGTGCCGCGCGGGTTCGCCATCGTCAATGTAGACGCTCGTGGATCAGGCGACTCAGACGGCACGGTGGGGATCATGGGCACGCAGGAAGCCGAGGATGGCTACGATGTGATTGAGGCCATCGCCAAGATGTCCTGGTGCAACGGCAATGTCGGGCTGGCCGGCAACTCGCACCTGGCCATCGTTCAGTGGTTCATCGCGGCATTGCAGCCGCCATCCCTCAAGGCCATCGCTCCGTGGGAGGCATGCAGTGATCTTTACCGCGAGCAATTCGTCCGGGGTGGAGTCTTCGATGCGGGTCTCTTTGACTGGATCATCGACCACAACATCCAGGGTCACGGCGGCGTCGAGGACTTCCACGAGATGTACCGGCGCAATCGAACCGCGGACACCTTGTACTGGAAGGACAAACGAGCCGACTTCAGCAAGATCCAAATCCCCGCCTACATCACCGCCTCTTACACCAGTTTCGTGCACACGATGGGCTCGCTACGCGGATGGCTTCAGATCCCGTCCGCGGACAAGTGGCTGCGGCTGTGTCCCTGGCAGGAGTGGTACGACATGTGGAACTGCAAGGGCTCCGCCGATGAACTGGCGTCCTTCTTTGACCACTACCTGAATGGCGCCAGCAACGGGTGGGAGCAAACCCCGAGGGTCCGAACCACCATCTTACGCTTCAATCAAGAGCCATTGTCCGACATCGTCGAGGAGGACTATCCCATCCCACGCACCGAGTATCGCAAAATGTACTTCCACGCCGACGGCGCCCTTCGAACCGAGGCGCCCAGCGCAGTGGCATCGCTGTCATACAACTCGGAGACGTACCAGGACTGTGCGAGCTTCACCTATACCTTCCCGACCCGCACCCGGCTGGCAGGCATCCCCAAAGCGGTGGTATACATGTCCTGTCCCGATTTCCATGATCTCGATGTCTATGTGCTGGTCCGCAAGCTGGATGCACAGGGCAAGGCGCTGCTCAACTTGAATATTCCCTGGTCGTCCATCGCGGAGCACGGGGTGAGTCCGGACGACGTCGATAATCTCTCCCCACGAGAGAAGACCAACCTCATGTTCCACGTGGGCTCTTTGGGCATTCTGCGGGCGTCAAGACGCGCCATCGATCACAAGCGATCCCTGCACGAGAACTTTCCCTTCCACCCTCACGACCGGGACGAGTACATCAGCCCGGGCGAGGTGGTGAAGTTGGAGATTGGGATCTGGGCGATGGGGGTAGAGTATGAAGCAGGGGAGAGCGTGCGCGTGGAGATCCATGGAAATAGCCCGCTCCTGCGCGGAGAGTTCAAGGAAGATAACGAGTTCCAGGAGCTGGCGTCGCACGGGACGCATTTTGTTCACATTGGGGGACAGCAATCTTCGCATATCATCCTGCCGTTTGTTTAAGAGATGTAGTACTATTTTAGAGACAGATCACGATGAATGAGAGAAAACGAGACACCAGCCAGAGATCAAGTTACGAAAGCAATGGAAGATACCAGGAGTAGAAGCAAAGAAATTGATTATTAGATTATATATTGTAACTGTGCATCAACCTGACCAAGCGAAGGAGAGCCCTCTCATGCAGATACGCCCGGCGTACGATCAAGGGTCATACCCACGGGTCAGGGGGACACCACCAAGTAAAAATTTGAATCAGAGATGCCTTCATCGCGTCCGTGAATAACAAGGTATGGTGTGCCGAACGCCTTTCTCAGCCTCGCTCCATCCCAGGATTCCCAGCAGCCCTTAAACCCCGAAAGGAGAGCCAGCTGGGGCCCGAGAGGAGAGATTATCGAAAGATACACGCTAGGCTTTCATCATCTGAGGGATAAAAGGTTAGCAACTGTAGTTCTCAAGCGGTTCGGTTCAAAGGTAGCACTCACTTCAAGAAAACTTGGAAGGATGAAGAAGAGAAATAAAAGACGGGGCGGAGAATTCCTTTTTTGTAGTGGGCCGCACTGCGCTAGTATCGATGGGGAAAGCGGAAACAACAACTTCAGCCCATCTGCCGTGTCATGCCGCCTGGGAATCCGCATCTTTCGGATCGTCATCCCATCCTTTTGACTGGTGTTTGACCTCAATTGGCCTCTCTGACTTCCGTGAAGCCTTGCTGGGACTGATTGAATCTCACAATGTTCTTGGCCAGGGCGTCGCGGTATTCCCCTCAGCTCCGCGCCAGCTATGTCGAGATTTCCAACTACATCCGCGGCCGACGGCCGGCGCTGAACCGGACTTTCTATGCGCAGAGCTCCCCGTTAAGATCTTCTCATAGCGAAGAATCGCCTCGCGAGCAGCTCCCAACTACCAAGAACGCATCTGAGCTGCTTGCCAGTTTCAAGAACTCCAGTACGTAATCCCGATCACTCCGCTCTACTGTTCGCAACAATACACCATCGCTAACCACCATCATCTGCTGCAGTCGAATTTCCGTCCCCGACCCATGACTTCGAGACATTCCTCACCAAAGCTCAACCCGACCAAGAGGTCGTCCTACAAGGCTATGTCGGCAACCGCAGGGAGCTGTCCAGCAAGCTCGCGTTCGTCCGGTTGACGGACCCCACCATGAAACACAGCGTGCAACTGGTCTCGACCAAGAAGAGCGGAACCCTGGCCGCGCTCAAAGCGGTGCGCGCGCACAGCCCGGTGGTCATCAAAGGCATGGTCCAGCGCAAGCAAGCCAAGGATGCGGAAATGGCCGCGCGAGACCCGTGGGAGATCGTCCTGGGCGAGATCCAGGTCCTGAATGAGTTCCCGAACGACATCGTCATGACGGGCGACCACGTCCACCCGCCTAAGCACCGCCATCTGCAGCTGCGCTCGAGCAGCGAGCTGCGCGAGGCGCTGCACTTCCGGGCCGAGGCCCGCACCATCTGCAGACAGGAGCTGGAGCAGTCGCGCCCGGCGTTCGTCGAGATCGAGACGCCCCTGCTCTTCAAGTCCACCCCGGAGGGCGCGCGCGAGTTCCTGGTGCCCTCCCGCAAGCGTGGGTTCGCCTATGCGCTGCCCCAGAGCCCGCAGCAGTACAAGCAGATCCTCATGGCCAGTGGCATTCCGCGCTACTACCAGTTCGCCCGGTGTTTCCGCGACGAGGACCTCCGCGCCGACCGGCAGCCGGAATTCACCCAGGTACGCTCCCCTCCCCCCACCTCGCTATATTCCCCGACGGCTAATCACGCTCCCTCCAGCTGGATCTTGAGATGTCCTTCGCTACAGGCAACGATGTGATGCAGGTGGTTGAAGGCGTGATCCGCCGCCTGTGGTCCACGCTGATGCCGGAGCCCGCGCCCGCGGGCCCCTTCCGCCGCATGCCCTATCAAGAAGCGATGAGCCGGTACGGTTCCGACAAGCCCGACACGCGGTACGGGATGGAGATCTCGCGCATCGACTACCTGCTCCCGGTCGACCTCGTGCAGAAGATCACGCCGCTCACGGACCCAGTCGTCGAAGTCTTCAAGCTCGAAGGCAACGACAACGACCCGGCGGCGACGCAGGAATTCATCACCCGGTTCCTCGACTCGCCCGAAGGCGCGCCCTTCAACGAGAACCCGGACGGCGGGCCGGGCATCTTCGTCGTGGACGCGCGCAAACCGCTCAGCGGCCTGCAACCGTTCGGCTTCGAGGCCGCCGAGCACCTGGAAACCACGCTCGGCATCGAGCACGGCGACCTGGTCGTCATTCAGGCGCGCCCGCAGAACTCCCTGACGGGCGGCTCCACAGCCCTCGGCACCCTCCGCCGCGCGCTGCACGCCGCCTCCGTGGCAACGGGGTTCAAGCCCGCGATCTCCGGCTTCGAGTTCATGTGGGTGGTCGACTTCCCGCTCTTCACCCCCGTAGAGGCCGGCGACTCCGCCGAGGAACCAGGCCAAGGCGGCGCGGCGGGCTTCTCGGCGACACACCACCCGTTCACGGCGCCCAAGACGGCGGCGGACGTCGACCTGCTGCTCAGCGCGGACCCGACGCAGGCCACGGCCGACCACTACGACCTGGTGGTCAACGGCGTGGAGCTGGGCGGCGGCAGCCGCCGCATCCACGACGCCGCCGTCCAGGAGTTCGTCTTCCGCGAGGTGCTGCGTATGCCCGACCATCGCGTCGCCGACTTCGCCCACCTGCTCGGCGCCCTGCGCGCCGGCTGCCCCCCGCACGCCGGCTTCGCGCTGGGCTTCGACCGCCTCGTCGCCGTCATGCTCGGCCGCGAGTCCGTCCGCGACGTCATCGCCTTCCCCAAGATGGGCCGCGCTGGCGAGGATCCCATGGTCAAGGCGCCCAGTCCAATCAGTGAGGAGGCAGCTAGGATCTATCATCTGGCGGTCAAGGAGTAGCTTAAAGTTACTCGGTGCTCTGTAATTGTACCCTATACGCCTTCGATCGATCGAGGCGGGATGACAGGTCATCTGCCCGGGAGGTATGGTTGGTTGTTGGCTGTATTATAACCTTATCTTGTATAGAATTTAGAAAAAAGACATCTTCACTTCATACATCACGCAGATATACCCGTCAATACTGTCGATAGAGTCCTCTGGCAACGACACACACCTCCAGCTCCATCTACCGAGTCCACCACGAAACCGGAATCACAAGCACAGAAAAAATCATAGCTCCACGCGGCGGCTGTTATACAAGACAAGACACAGAAGGCCATACAAGCACAAAAAGAAGACAACGCCCGTCCCACATTCCAACCACAAAACAGGGAATCTAAAATATAACACGTAAACGAAGGAGTGGGATCAACACAACAACAAAAAGCAGATGCACTAAAGATTCACATAAAACCCCCCTAGTCATGCCAATCATTCTATATCTGGTTTCTGTTTTACACGGGTTTGGGTTTTTGTTTCTTGTCATGTAGTCTAGGCCCGAGAAGTGACCTGCGTGGGGGTGGTGGAAGCAACAACAGGAGCAGCAGCAGCAACAACTTCCTCCTCTTCGTCCACATACACATAGTCGGCCTCGTCATCCTCGAGGTCCTCGGGCTGTCCGAACGCCTGCTGCCACACGCCGTCCCAGAGACCCTTCTTGGTGACCAAGCCGCCGACCAGCAGGACGGGGAGCTGCCAGATGCTGGCCCAGAAGAGGCCGCGGGCGCTGCCCTGGCCGCCCTGGTACTTCCAGAAGCGGTAGGCCTCCTTGACGAGCCAGGCGTTGGCGAGGGAGCTGCTGACCAAAAACCCGTGGCCGACGACGCCGACCCACCACAGGCCGATGGAGATCGGGAACATCAGCACCGAGTAGCGCAGCGCGACGCGCGCGTTCATGGCCGGGTTCTTCCAGCAGAGCATCTGGTAGCCGGCGCGCTTGTACTCCTCGCGGATGGTGTGCGACAGCGCGTTGAAGTGCGGGAACTGCCACGCGAACAGGATCCCGCCTAGCAGCCAGCCGCCGATGCTGTCCTCGCTGAAGAGCATGTCGCGCCACGTGTCGTGGCCCGTCGTCGCCGTCTGGCCCGCGGCGGCCACCCAGCCCATCAGCGGCGGGATCCCGCCGACGATGGCGCCCACCCAGGTGTTGATCACGTGGATGCGCTTGAGCGGGGTGTAGATGAAGCCATAGAGGATGATGTTCCCGGCGGAGAGCGCGGTGACCGTGGGGTTGGTGCCGAAGTAGAGCAGGCCCAGTCCGGAGATCGCGGTTGCGATCGCAAAGAGCACGGCCCCGCGGCGGGAGACGAGACCGCGGACGAGCGGGCGGTTGCGGGTCCGCGACATGAGGGCGTCGTACTTGGGCTCGAGGAACATGTTGATGGTGTTGGCACAGCAGCTGGAGAGGAAGGTCCCCGCCGTCAGGTAGAGGAATGTGAGGGTGGAGGTTGAGAGGGTCGGGAGCGGGGTCATCGATGGGTCCAGGGCGAGGAGCGTCGAGATTGGGTACATGCCGTAGGCTGCACTCGCGCTCAGGACGACTAGAACGGATAACCGGGGTTTGCAGAGCGCGAGAAAGGCCGCCATCTTGCGGCGCGGGGACGTGGTGGGGAGGGCGGAGGAGAAGGCCGACAGTTGTGCGGAGGCGTCGGGGGGGATGACATGTTCGGCTTCGGCGTCGCTGGCTGCAGCTTCATCCTTTAGTCGTTTCCTTCGACGGTGAGGAAGCTCTGTCTGCGTGGATTCGGAGGTAGGTGAGACGGGGGAGGAAGAGGTAGAGGAAGAGGAAGAGGTCGGGTGGTGGTCTGATGTTGATCTGCGGGCGGGGGAGTCGGGTTGAGGGTTGCCATTGTTGGTCGACAGCGAGGAGAACAAGCTGCCCTTGTTTGCTGCAGCATCTTCGGCGCGATTGGAGGAGAAAAAGGAGCGGTGGAGAGGTGCAGGAGCGGATTGCGAGGCGGCAGTGCCGGAGTGAGAGCGGGAAGACGAGATGAAGCCGCGGAGACCAGCGGCGGAGAGACGCGATGGAGGTGAACGTCTCAGAAGGCATTGAGATGAGATCCGACCGGCATCACGAGTCGGTCCTACTGCTCGCAAGGAGCAGCGGAGGAGACTCATGGCGAAGAGGGGAGGGGAGGCAGCAGACGGCTGTGAGGAGGTCTGTCTGTCTAAATGCAGCGCACCGCAGAAGGGAATCAATCGGAAGGATTGAAGCCAAAGAGGGAAAGATGGCGGGTGCGGGCGGCGACAGTGACCAACCATGCAGTGCGGCGATCGGTGAGAATCGAATTGATTGTCATCATCCGCGGCGGATTTTCTTTTTTCTCTCACACTTCAACCTACTGAGAAAAAGGCACCCATCCTCTCATACACATCGTCAGCCTTCCTCCTCTTCATCAAACACTCCACACAACATGGACGTCCTCCAGAAATCCGTCCTGGATCCCCTCCAGCCCGTCCTGCGCCCGATCGTCTCGGCCGTACCCGAACCCGTGCACGATGCGATCATCTCGCTGATCGGCCAGTCCTGCCACAACGCCTTGGTGGTCGACCTCGACATCAGCAAGGACCCCGCCTGCACGTCGCTGGCCATCTCCAAGGCGCTGGGCATCGCCATCGTCGGCGCCAGCGCCATCGTCAAGGTGCCCCAGATCCTGAAACTGATCAACTCGCGCTCGTCCGCCGGCGTCTCGTTCGTCTCGTATGCGCTGGAGACGGCCAGTCTGCTCATCACGCTGTCGTACAGCGTGCGCAACAACTTCCCCTTCAGCACCTTCGGCGAGTCGGCCTTGATCGCCGTGCAGGACGTGGTGGTCGGGGTCTTGGTGCTGGTGTTTGCGGGCCGATCCGCGGCCGCGGCGGCGTTCGTGGCGGTCGTCGCCGCCAGTGTGTATACCTTGCTTTTCGACCAGACCCTCGTGGATGCGAAGACGATGTCCCTGCTGCAGGCCGGTGCGGGAGCGCTGGGTGTGGCCAGCAAGGCGCCGCAGATTTTTACAATTTGGAGTGAAGGTGGCACTGGCCAGCTGAGTGCATTTGCCGTAAGTCTTTTGTGATACGGGTGTCTTCTCATAGGCAATATAGCTAATTGTCTTGGTCCCAGGTCTTCAACTATCTCGCCGGTTCTCTGTCGCGCATTTTCACCACTCTGCAAGAGGTGGACGACAAGCTGATCCTGTACGGATTCATTGCTGGATTCTCGCTGAACCTGATCCTCGCGGCTCAGATGCTGTACTACTGGAACAGCCCGGCCAAGTCCCAGGTCAAGAAGAAGACCCCGGGCAAGCCTATTGCCAGCGCCAGCGCCGCGGGCGTCTCGACCCCGAAGCCAACCGCCACCAGCTCGGGCATCTCCTCGCCCAGGTCATCGGGCAAGACTCCCACCACCCGGAGACGTGGTTAAGTGGCCTCCGCCTCCTCCATCTTAGCTTCTTCAACCCCAGAAAACCTTTAATCTGCTTTTCCCCACAAATCTTCCCCCGCTCCCTGTAATCCGTGTAACGAGTAAAATCACCTCTGACTCGGCATAATCCCGACGGTCATAAACCGCAAGATCTCATCCAGCGGCACCACCGGCGCCACCACCTTCTGGTGTGCAGCATGCCCGGGGGCAGCCGGCGCAATATCGAACTCCAAGCCCTGTCCGACCCCAGGCTTCCGCCTCACGCCCACAACCTCCATCTCATCCGGCTCCCCCTCCCCTTCCTCGTCCCCACTCTCCTCCTCCTCACTGCCACTTTCGCTGTCATCATCCTCCAACACCCGCCGCAACCCAGTCGCCACATTCCCGACCCCGCGCTCCCGCTCCTCCAACGTAAAATTCCCGCCCCAGTTCCTCCGCCGCGCCTCCTGGTTCGCCTCCACTGGCGCCCAATCCCAGAGCTCGGACAGCGCGGCCAGATCATCCAGCCCTTTACCTTGGCCGCTGTCGCCCCCAGCCGCCGCTCCCACTGCGGCACCGCCGTAGCCATTCCCCGGGTTCCCCGGCCCGAACGGCGGCGAGGCAGACGCCAACGACCCACCGGCTTTCCGGCCGCGCGCCACCCAGTCCTCGACCCGGGGGTCGAGTTTCGTGCGCAGCAGCTGCTCGAGGGCGACGGTGTTGGCGGGATTGCGCGAGGGGTAGGAGGGGGCCGGGTAGGCGACGAGGGTGGCGAGGAGGGCGCGGTTGTCCGAGAGGTGGTCAGAGATGGTGAGGAGGTTGTTGCTGATGATGGTGGCTTGGGATTGCAGGGAGGTCCTATCCCATGAAGAGTCAGCATGGATCGGTGAATGCATGTTGGTATAGCGGGAATGCGGATGGGGATTGTTGGTTTCGGGAAGGTATGAGCGTAGGGAGGTAAGGGGTCAATGAAGGTTCATGCATATATGTCATGTTGCGAAAGGATGAAGAATTGCAGAGGGTAAGGTAGATGGGCAGGCAGGCAGGCAGGCAGGCAGGCGTACCACGAAGGCAGGGGATCACTCTGGTTCAGACTGTTGATCAACGAGGCCAGGGAATGCGTCAGTTGCACGAGGCGTTGACGCGATTGCTCGAGGGTTTTGATCTGATCGGGGGTGAGGGAAGACATTTTCGTTTCGTGCGGATATGTTTTGGCTGGTTATGGTCGAGGGAATGAGTCTGTCTTAGCCCGACAGAAGAGGACGAAGAGGTGGTGGTGTTGGAGGTGAGGTTCTGTACTGCTATATCACAATGCGGGCGCGATGAAGGCGGTGGTTGGCGGAGTTCGACCTGTCGGATAATGTGTCTGCCTGAGGTGTCGATCTCCGTCCCCACAAGCAATCAAGGGTTGATCCGCTTATCGCTTTCCCCATCTCCGTATTCCTCATGTTCCATACTAGTATACTAACGTGGACAAACAAAGAAACAACCAGAATCCTGGCGCCTACTTTCCCTTCGCACTCTCACCACTAAGCACCCACAGTGACCTTCCTTATCATCATAATCTCCCCTGTAGGTTTCGCTATGAAACGCACAGCTGAATCGACCGACCAGTCATGATCCTTGCACCCAGATCCCGTGTTTATTTATAGACCCCCTGGCAGGGGATTCTGCAGGCCGATTCACACACGCTCTCTCTCATCCTTCCTCCTCCCTTGCCCGCCCCGCGCTTAACGCACTGGGAAAATAAGGGCAGAGGAGGGTTATAAGCCCGTCTCCTGCTCTGTTCTGCAGCTGTCAGTTCTACACCAGAAGCGGGGATACACTATTCAGGGCCTTTTGCAACGTTTCTTCTAACTCCACTGTGGGACTCGCGCTTATTATTCTTCAGACTACAACATTCTTCAGAACACAACCCTTACTTCTCTTCATCGAATCTCCATCCATCCTATCACTTGCAATGCATTAACGAAACTATGTGCAACACTCGAAAGGAGAGGGGGGTATACAAGATATGCTGCTCCTCGCGATGATCCCATCCGATCCGCTCGTCATAAACATCATAAGAGAGGACACAATTTGCTAACAAACAATAAAGACAACACACATTATTGGCCTTGTACTTAGGCCAGTCAGTCATGAAGGCCACCTTTTCATGTCCAGGTCAACACCTGCCAGCGAGGACCTCTGGCTGCAACACCTACAGCCAGCCCAGCGCAAAAACAGACTCATGATTTGGAGTCAGACTTGACCGGGAAGAAAGTCTTCAGGCCTTTTGCCCTTCTCTTCCGGAGACACCGGAGAAATATCACTCTCCATCGCCACCCTCGTCTCTTTAACATGCTGCTTCGAGTGTCCCACTACCTGACTGCGGCCATCATTATCCACAAACTGGAAGCCCGAGCCTTCTTGCAGTTGCTGCGGCTGCGGCTGCGGCTGCTGCTGATACGCCCCCGGCGGATACATTTCCTGCGGGGAATACGCCGGACCACGCCATGGGTGCTCCGCAGCCAGGGTTTTCCATCGCTGCTGCTCCGACGCTCGCTCGCGGCGGACATATCTCCGTCGCCAGCCGAGGCAGAAAAACAAACTCATCGTGCACAGGCAGACCAAGATCACGAACCCCATCACCGGAAGCCCGACCAGCGTCGCCAGCCGGTAATTGATGGGGTCGTGTGCCGTGCTGTTCAGCAGATCCCTGTTGTAGAAGGGAAGCTGCACCTCCGAAAAGATATCTGATGGACTGATGGGGAATGCCGTATCAGTGGGCACAGGGAAATGACACTCATAACGCATCGCCTCGAGAACTGATAATTCCCACTTCCGTTAGCGGCTTTGTTGTCGGATTGACAGAAAGACCATACGCACAGTTTGCCAGATACCCCTGCGTGCTTGTCAGATTGTAGCAGTTACTACAGGTGTCGATGTGGTTGTCGGCGAATGCCCCCGTGGCGCAATAGGCCCGCAGGTTGTTCTGATTCGGGTTCAGCAGCTCAAACTCGAACGCCGGGCTCAGGCCAAGGCACGCAACCAGACAAGGCGTCGAGACTGTGTTCACATCCTTCGGGTACCCGTAGACACAGGTGTCGAATGCGAACCGGAGATTATCTGGGTACGAAACTCTATCAGCGCCTGGCCAGCTGCAAAACAACCCCAACAAAAACTTACAGAGGCCCCAGTTGAAGTCACTGATCTGGGTTTCAGCATCGGTGTAATTGCTCTGTAGCTCGCAAGAGACGCATTGCTGGAACTTCCGACCTGTCTCCGTGGTGTTGTACGACTCGTCCAGACAGACCATCTCAGAGGAGGTGGTATTAGTCGGGTTGCTACAGACGTCATAGCACGGTGATCCGTAGGTCGCATGCAATGCCCCGGCCGATGAAGCCAAGCAGGTCAGTAGCAGCAGTAGCGGTGCTGCTACCGACATGATCGTAGATCGGGAGCTCGGGCCCCGCGGTTCGAATATCATGCCGATGTTCTTAGGGCTGGAATGATTGATCGTTCCTCAAGCTCCCAGTAAGATGAATTACTGGGCTACCTTACAGCCAAACGAATGGAGGTACTGAGTGCAGGAGGTCGACCGAGCCAGCATCGAACTCACCGCACGGCAGAGGATAGAGATAGCGACAGGAAGTGGAAGACCCAAGAGATCCCAGGGGGCAAAGATGAGGGAGAACGTGCACCGGGGGCACGGATAGAGGGGAGGGAGACAGAGGGTAGAAATGGCGATGCGGATCCCACGAAATAATGCATGACAAGCTCTTCGGTTGGACGGCATGGGATCGGAGCCATGTTGGGGACTGATAGAAATGCATGCCACCGCACTGGCGAGAAGGAGAACCACACTTCCGTGCCGGATCACCAAGCATTGGAAGACACTGGTTGAACTAGCATTAACCAGGGGTTGAACCAGGGCGGGCAAAAGAAAACTCCTCCCTTGGTCAATCTGGGCGCTAGGAGCCCCTCGCCCAAGCAGGCGAAGGGCTTGTTGATCACTGTGACAGGACGATTGTGACTGTGACATGTAGTGCAGAAGCTTGCAGTCCCGGGAAAGAGCATGACTCGATGTGATTTGCTAGCACTCCTCATGCAGGAGGAGGAGAACAAAAGCACTCCCGAGTCGGCTTGCGGGGTTCGGCGCTTGCACGCAGCCTCGCATTGGACGAGGTCAACTCGCCGCAACTGCACTTCATGGGTCCTCTTCGGCTCCAACCACGGTTTGCCTGTTTGTTTGTTGATCCTCTGGGCTGTTCAGCGACGATGGTGTGATCGATAGACTTGATCAGATCGATTATTATTGTTCTCTGCCGGAAATGCAACCTTGACGGAGGAGGCGACGCAATCCTTGCGCAGGATGACCCACCCCCGAACAATGGTAACGGGAATATCAAAACGCCTCCCAAGCAGACAACCACAAACAAAACTAATTACACAAAACGCCACAATGCAGCTTTAATCATTGGACTTCCATCCCCCGCGAGCTACACCCATTGCCTCTCAGCTCGCGAGGAATCAAGCCTGGTCCATTCGGTTCGGCCCCTCGCCATCTGTCCTGAGCTGGGGCTTCCAAAAAATTTCACAATCACAAAAATGCCACTCGACCAAAACAACCCAAAATGCGTAAGCCAAAAAAGCCACCCAATGTATTCGCCAAGATCTCTCAATAGACCTTTTACCCGTACAGTTCATCGTAAGATGGGACCATCTCCTGTGCTCGTGGAAGCTCCTGCTTAGATCGTCGGCTAGCCCTCCGCTCTGCCAGCGTAGAAGATGGTGGGATAATGCCCGGAATTCGCTGGTCCTCGGACGGATTTGAGGGAACTGAGGAAGTATAGCTGTTATGTCTCGACCCGACCGTCCCTGGCATCGACACTGGAGACTCTGCCAAATACCCCTGGACACTACATCCGCGCATACGCGACGTGACAGACAATGGGGGCGACTTGGACGCTCGCGAGTAGAGCTCAGAATCATCGTACATACTAGGCCGACCGGAGGAGGGCTGATGTCGCCCGTTCGATCCATTGTGCGGTGATGGTACGGTTGCCCCTTCTGTCTCCTCCATCGAGCCATCGTCGGAGTACGAATGATACCATGCACTCGGCGGATGGACAACGGTTGATTCATACGAATGTTGCTTCTTCCGGGAGCGATTACCCACTCGCGCATCGTAATGTCCCGTAGGAATGGTCATGGCTGAATCAACGGATTGTGCTCGCTCATCTCTGCTGGCTGGTGGTCCAGAAACTCCTATGCGAGGCGAACTGGCGCATCTACCAGGCTCGAGTGAGTTCTGTCGCCGTTCGCGGTCTCCATCAGATGTGCGGGCGCCCGTACTCGCTTGATCCCACTGGTTCCAAGAGCCGCCGTTGGGATAGGTGATGGATATGTCGCCCCATCGTGAGTGCAATTCGGATGATAGCTTTCGCTTCCTTCGTAGTTTCTGCATGAGGTTCGTCATAATCGCAAGAGGACTTTTCATGGAATGAAGCCTGAAGAGGCTGAGATGGGATTAGCATCAACGGCCGAGCCACGGAGGATCGAAAGGTTAAGGGCCAAGGAAGGAAGAGCCGAGACATCCACGGTACCTTTCAAGGATGGGGTCCCCCCAATGTGTAGCCGTTCCCCTTTTCTTACCCAAGATTCCCTCCACTACAGCGTAGTCCCTGAAGCTGTCTCAAAGAGGAAGGTAGTCAAAGGAACGGTGACCACTATGCGACGCCGCAGGCTTCGAGACCCGTCTCTATCAAGCCGGTACACTCTACTCGATGACAGAAAAATCACGCCGGCCGAAGGGCTCATGCATATCGCTCAAAAGGTTGGTAGATGGGTCCCAGTCTGAGGGACCGACAATTGGGTTTCCTTCAGACAAGTCCTTCAGCAGCGGCAGGTTGTCATCCTGGGCCAGACGAGTCAGTGACGGTAGCACGGAAGTGCAAGGCATTCACACACGACCCGACAGTCTGGTTCGCACACCCTCATCGCAGTCATTTTGTCCGGGTGGAGTGGGGGAAGATGGTCGAGAGAGGGTCACTTTTATCCGAACACAAATCACTTTTATGAAAGCGGCACGGAGGTTGGCCGCCCACCGGCCATTGACAAGTGCTTGGGGTAGGAAGGGGGTCCGGTCCGCGTAACTGCTGAGCAGGGGTGAGGAGGTCACTCGCGAGGATGTGGACGCGGCGCAGTCAACTCGCTTTTGCAACCTGCTAGCTGCGTGCAGCTACTGGGATGGCAGACAGCAATGCGCCTAATAATTGGTCGTCGTCTTGGCATGGCGCATCTAGTGACCTCGGCATCAACCAGCACTGGAAGACTGGGAAATATCCTTGTCAAGGCTAGCAGGTTGGTAGTATCGATTTGAGACATGCCATGATGAAAGACGGATGAGGCGATATTAACCGCCGGCGGTGATAGCTGGAGGCCTCGTAATAGCTGAAGCAAGGACGCGAGATTTGCGCAATTCACTGGTCAGCGAGGAATTAGTGCGAAGCCAGTGGTTCGGTCGGCGTCAGCAAACCATTTGGCTGTTCGTCTGGGATGCCAGGGTCTGGCGACGAGAAAAGAGGGGAAGCCGCACAGGACAACCACCGGTTTGATCGTCGCGGCTGAACCCGAACCACCCGCAGAGCTTATCTACGCGCCTGGATGGATCCCCTCCAGCAGACGAGGAGTCATTGTCACATCTCGTCGTCACTCCGCAGCTTGTCGGCTCCGAGAAATCCTCCTTCGTTCTCTAGCTGCAGGACGGCGACCATGACCCCCTCTCTGGTGACCCCAGCAAGAGCGGGAATTCTCGAGATACCAGACCATATGGCCCGGCCATTGATCGTAGCTTTTTCTCCTTTGGGTTAATGCACGCAGACTGGGCCCTGCAAAAGTCGTCGTCTTGTCGGCTCGCAAACGTTATGGCGTGTCGCACTTGTTGCCGAGTGAACACAACCAACCCCCAATCTCCACACATTATGGAGTAGACTATCTGTTCCCGATGTTCTAGCCGCCGGACGTAACCATTCGAGGAACCAATGCACCTCCCTCCGCGATGGACGAAGTACTAAGGCGACCCCAGATGAGCTGTCGTGCATCAGTAGAGTCGAAAGACTTCTCACAACGAGAACGGGAAGGAACAGCGAGGCGTGAGGGGAGAGCAGAGGGGTAAGGGGAGCTTGACAAAGTACCAACCTGGAGTTGAGTGACACCCGCTCATGGAAGACCTGCTCCGGTCTAGCTCATGTAACAGCATCTGCCATCGGACCCTTCGAGTTAGTTCGCCAATAACATTGGTAGATGCTGAGCCTGTAGGTCTTTTGGCGGAGTAGCTCCAACCACGAGCTCATACCATCTCTTCCCTGTACTCCGTAGTCGATGGGCTGGGTCAACCTCTCATCCTCTCTTCCTTCTCGTAATCATCGAAGTCATGAGCATCAACATCACAGAACATAATCATCGTCATCATCATGATGCATCACTCCAGCTTTATCCTCCATGCGTTCAGTCAAACACAAGTCGACCCGATCCTGACAGAAATGAACGCCTCCCCTAGAAATGATAAGCAGAAAGACAAGAGAGCTATCAATCTATAAGCGAGCGACAGAAAAGTCTGAGAAGAAGAAAGAAAGAAACCCCCTCACGATCATCGAAGATCCGTCACCAGTCTCGACAGCACAGGTCTAGGACGTCGCGGCATCTGCTGTGCTGTGCCATCTAAGTTATGAGACGAAGAAAGAGAGACATCCTCATTCAAGTCCCGCAAGGGACCTATCGTGGGTGAAGGCTGAAAGGAGAATCTAGGAGTAATGAACGAGTCCCGCTGAGCCATGATGGGAGCTGGTGGACTCAAGATCGACGACGGGGGTCTTTCCTCCTGAAGACCCAGTGTAGGATAGTGATGGTAGGGGATAGCGAGTCCAACAACCGGAGGAGGAGGAGGAGGAGGAGGAGGGACATCGACCCTCTGATATCGAGAAGGGTCATAGGTGGGTAAGGGTTGAGGTTGATAGGCTGGGGGTGGATCGCGAAGGAAGTCATCTACCGGGCTGTGGTAATGAGCTGAGAGGCGCGACATGGGCTGGGTTGGGGGAGGGAAGGCTGTTGTTATTCCTCCTGTTGCTACTCCTTCTTCAAGCTGCTGCTCCTTTTGGTTGGCGTCGAGATCGCGCAGAGTGGGATAGTAGCCCAGGGCGAAGGAGATGTGATGGTCGATGAGGAATTGTCGGTCCTCGCGACGTTGCATGGAGCGTTTCTTGTGGCAGAGGAAGACAAGGATTCCGGTCACTGTTGTTGGGGCCGATGGTCAGTTTGGCCGAGTTTGTCTTCTCGGATCCAGTCCCTTTCCTTTCCACGTTGGTAGTGTGTTGAAGGCAACAACAACAGCAGCAGCAACAACAACACAAGAACAAGACACAAGACACAAGACAAGGCAACCCCAAAGGAAGAAGGACGAAGGGAAAAGTCAAGGCTCACCAGCCACCAGCACGACACTCCCAAGGACCACTCCAATGATCATCCCATCCATACTCGACGATGAGAGTCCGGTTGATCGGACCCCGAGAATCCGTGGCTTCATCTTGTATGTGCTCTCTGATGTCTGTCTATCCAAGCCCAAATGATTGACTAACCGACGACCAGACATACACCCAATTGAGCAATGGAATAAAACTCCAGTACACTGTGTCCTGTGCTCTTCAATTCACTCTGAGGAACCTAGGGCACAGTGACAACATGCACACAGACACACACACACACGCACACACACATATACACACACACGCACACGCACGCACGCACACAATGCAATTCAAACCAGCAACAAGCAAAAAGAAAGGGCAGAAGGGAAGAGCAAAAGCAGCAAAGAGCAAAGAAGAGAAACCGCAACACAGGGCAGACGAAACCGGCCCACCTATCTTAAAGTAAGAAAAAAACCCAGATAATGTCAAAGCACACACCTCAGCATCCCCTGGGCCGTTCCTCTCTCCCCGCCTGGTTCCCTTCAAAAAGCTATTTTAATCTCAACGGACATGGTGGTGGTAGTTGCTGCATGAATCCCTTAGCCCTTACAGATGTCACACACTCCTCCCGCGTTTACTTTGGCCCTTGATCCCAGGGCTGAAGAAAACAAGCATAGGGTAGCGTGGGTCTCAATTGCCGTCGGGGAGTTTAAAAATAGTATGCCTGGGCGAGGAGAACGGTCCTGCAAGAGGCGGGGGAACACACGAAAGAGCAGATTGATTGGATAGCGAGGGTGGTTGATCTCCTCTCCCATCATGCCCTGAGCGCATGTGGTCCTCTCGTATCGGCCGGCGGCTATTTTGCTTGTCGGGTTTGCTGGGATGCGCGCGGACCAAAATAGAATCAAGCTATCGTTCTAGTCTGGGTTCTATAATTATACTTTTTGATAGCTGTTGATGTCTTGTAGATGACTATATAGCAGGATGATATATGCGATTGGTTGTCACAAAGTTTGATTAGATTATATGTCTTCGCGTGAGCTGTGATCTCGGTTTCGGTATTTGGCGATGTTGCCGTGTCCCGAAGGGTACAGCACTATATATTCTTCTCTTCAGGGCAACACAAAAACATAATATATTCTCGCAGTAGCATATCATGATCGCTAATATAAATATCGACACATCTCCGCTCTTCTAACTCCGCTATTCGTTCAATCTACTCCGCATACGGGCGGTATACCGCGATGCCTTTCTCCGTGCTCAGGTCCAAGGCCACACCCGCCCCGATAAAGTACGTATAGCCCTCGCGCAAGTCAAACGTCTTGCCGTCGCCACCGGCCACGCTCATTGTGCCGTTGCCCTTGGTCACGATCAGGAGACTGGGCCCGCCGACTGGCTTGTACGTCTCCTTCTCGCCGGCCCCCAGGCTGGTGCCCAGGACGTTGAACTCACTGAACGGCGGGGCATACACTTCCGTCTTGAAGTGCTCGCCCTTGTCGCTCTTCCGTCGCGGCAAGATCGCCTCGTCCGGGCCGTGCGGCTTGAACGACAGCGCTCGCGTGAAGAGGTCGACGCTGTCCTTCTCGGCCTTGGGGCAGAAGCCCGTGTTGAGCACGTTGTCCGACCGAGCCATGCACTCCATGATATCGCCGTGCAGGTACGCGTGAATACTATCCGCCGGAACGCAAACCGCCTCCCCGGGCCCCAGTGTCATGTAGTTCATAAGTAGCACGGCCACTAAGCTTCCGTTGTCGGTCTCGGGGTATTGTTTGCGTAATCGGTCGAGTAGACCAGGGATGTACCGCTGGTTGGGCCCAAAGCGCGACTCGGGAATTTCCAGCAGCTCCTTGACGGTCTCGGCTACAATGGAGGGGGGCAGCGTCAACAGGATCCGGCAGATCTCGCGGAGCAGCTCATCATCAAGGCCTGACGTTTGACCCGGGGGCACAAACTGATCGAGTGGCTTGACTTTCAGAAGCTGCTCGATCTCGGCCAAGGGCTTGAAGCCTGCAAAGAGCTCAAACTTCGACAACGCGATGGCAATCTCCGGCTTGTGGTTCGGGTCACCGAACTTGTCCGGGTCCTCCTTGTGAAGCTTCTCGGATAGAGCCTTGTCTGGGTGTAGCTGTAGGGGGAGCGCCTTGGAGAAAGATAGGATCTGTGCTTGGGTTAGACTGCTTACCATATCACGGCATTAATTTGAGAGTTTGCTTCATACCTTAGGTAGATAAGGCACCTCGGGGCCCCATTTGTCCAACGCGGACTTGCCCACAACCTCGGGGTTCTCTTTCAGGTAGTCGCTCAGGAGCTGTCCTGTGGACAAGATTTTGGAGGGCACTGTAGGGTATGTGCCCATCCACATCTGTAACCCGTCAGTAGCTGAAGCGCTGAGAGCGGTGCGATTGTTGAGCTCACTTCCGAATAGGTCTTAGAATCATCAACCTCTCCCGCTCCGGGTGTTTTAGACCAGAGCACACCGGCAAGGGAATCCTTGCCCTTCTTGCCCCACGGGTCATTCTAAAAGCTTATTAGCACGGGCTGAAGAGATCGAAAGGACTCAAGTGATCGGCCATACCTTAACACCACATAGCAACTGAACTACTGAATCTGGCATGGTGGGCAACGTTGTAATGGTATATGTATACTAGGTAGGCTCAAGCACAAATGTCGAATAAATGGCGATCCAGGGGATAGAACACATCCCTCTGAACAATATAAATCAATCTCCGTAGTTATTCAGCTGCTTATCTGATGTGCCCTTGAAGTGCGTTAACATGGCGTCATGTTGTGGAGGTCGACTTGATTCGAGGCCTGGGTTTCATGGCGTCATGTCCTTATCATTGTCAGGGTTGTTCCTTTCGGATTTTCCACGAGAGGTAGTTTCAGGTACCACGGCAAGATGTCGCATTCGATTGACAGCTCCCAAGCCGAGAGTCAGCAGAGATACTGAGTATTAGTGAGGGAGAGGATGAGATCCCGCCAATTGGGAGCGGAAATTGAATTCCAGCATTTGCGGGAGTCGCAGGAAAGACTCGTCAGGTTGACGTCAGCCACTCGCCTTCCAGGGTTAGTAATTTGGATTAAATCCGAATGAATAATCAAGCAATTCCAAAATACAATGCTTGTGCACGCATGCTAACAACAATGTACGATTGATTATATTATGAATATATACAGTGATCAGCAGGACTAAGTTACCGGCTTCTACCGGCACTTTCAAAAAAAAAAAAAAAAAAAAAGGCACTGCAGTCACCAAACGCCATGCCAAGAGCAATGCTATGCAAGATTTTAATTGGTCTGGTTCCGTAGGCCGTCACGGCATTACCGAACGTTGATGCTCATGTCTCGTTGAAGTCATTCGTATAGCTGGTCTGGATCAGGTACCATGGCTGTGGTCATATACTTCCCCAGCCGGGTAGCCCTTTTGTCGAAGGTCGAGAGCTTGAGACTCCTTTCCACCGAAGCGCTGGTGCGGCGGCTACTGCTCGCCTCGCTTCGGCGCGGGGAGGCCAAAGATCGTGATTGTCTGGAGGAATGATGGCCCCCCTCGATCAGGTGGTCTCCGAATGCATCCTCGAACTGGTCAAAACGACTCCGAGGTCGCGCACGCCGTTCCAGAGATCCCTCATCGTGAGGAATGTAAGAGCTTGCACGACGGCTGGAATGAAGCTCTGGTGATATCGCTCTAAGCTCTTCTGCAAATGGAGCGCCAGCGGGGATATATGTGAATCGTGGAGAACGGGGCTCTGGGAATGCCGTCTTCTCAGCGATTTCGGTGGGGTAGTCTTGCTGAATGGGTCTATAGGCGAACTGAGACCGTCTGCGTTCGGCTTTAGTGGTGAACTGTTGGTCCTTCTCCTGTGGGTAGTCGGTTGGGGTCTTGGATCGTGGATTAAGCCGCACAGATAGTCGGCGCGGGTTTAAAGCTTTGACGGACAATGAGCTGGGCCTGGCAGTTCGATGGTCATATTCTGTTGATGGGGTCGTCTCATCGTCGTGGCCGCGACTCATGGCGGCAGGCACGAAGCCCGTGCTGCAGGTCCCCTTTCGGAGCGAGGTCTGGCGAGGATTCTCATATTGGTTCCAGGACCCCTCAGTGGGAACGGTGATCCTCACGTCACCCCATCGCTCATGGAGTGGTGAGTAAGAGTCGTGTTTCCGGAATCGTCCCAGAGGACCTTTCACGGCGCTTGCCATCACGAGGGATGTTGGAGTTATTGGGCACCTCGAAACAGAACCGAACAAAGAACTCAACAGCGAAAGACAGAAAGCACCTCAATAGCCTGAGCACAAGGAAAGAGGAAGCTGCATGCTAAGGTTTGGGAGAAGCAGTCGAGCACCACCCGAATTTCAAGTTGGTGTTGGTGGCTGTCGGCTTTGGCTGGACAGCTGAAGACTGGGCAAGCGCTTGTAGAAACACCAAAGAACAGAGCTGAAGAATGTGAGGATAGCCCAATCGAATCTTTGTTTCAGGCAGTTCTTGGAAGCACAGACCCAAACAAGGCTATAGAGTGAATCCTTTGTGGACCGGGGGAGATGATGGATATAAAAGCTTGTCCATAGGATAGCAGTCGGTTAGGATGAAGCGATATTTGTGTCATGGTGCTATAGTTCATAAGCAAACAAGCGACATCCGATGCTGCATAATAATGCCACTAGGAGGTACTAGGTAGGAAGTGTATGTTTCCAACATTAGAAGCACATAGCATACGAGGTAGAGATTAGCCGCGGATGTCTCTGTAGATTGGAAGTGGAGAGCGGGGTTAGCCTGTTAGCCTAAGGCACCTGGCAAAGGATTTAATTGTGTGCTGTATCATGGAACTATATTAAACTCACCTAATTAGTAGCACTGCAGCGGGTGCAACCCAGATTTGGGGCAATCGATTGGATCCTTGGACCGCCAGACATTTAGCGACGCGCCCCGAAAGAGGGGAAATCGAGTCGCCTCCAAGATCAGTGCAGTAAAGCGATTCGCAGCAGGTTAGCGCCGGTCATTACAACCAAGTATAGTATGCATATTATGTACCTATTAAGCATTTAGTCGCACAGTCCAAGCCAATTGTGAGACCTCCTCATGCGCCCATAAACCTGTTCTATTTTTATTGTATGCATCATGCATGTCATCATGGGTCTGCCAGCACAAATACAACTCACCTAGGAAGTTCAAAATAGTAAATTGTCGAGTCAGCAAATCACGAAGCTCCATTTATCTGATGCAACTCTATGGCTAGTGCTCTCTAATCTAGGCCCATGCAATTGATCTGCTACACTGAACGCCGGCTCCTTACATCTAGGCTGCTCATGAACTCGGGTTATACACACTCTTAAGGCCTTGGGGAAAGACATGCACCAGATAAACAAATGTATGGGCAATGCAAAAAAGACTTGGAAACGTGGAAAGAGAACCCTTGTCATGCCAGAGCAACGACAAGGATGTTTGTTTAAAGTGTTAAAGAGGACTTGCTGGGGTTTTTGGCATGGGTTGTTGGTGTCATTTGCAGCAGTTGGCGGGACGGGGACAAGGACGTCTCGTGCAGGCCACAGGATACATATTCTGGAGAACGAATGGCGAATCCGTGAAGTGGCGGTCGCACAGACTGACCGGAGGAGGACGAGGAACCCGGCGTAGATTGTGAGGATAGCGAACCGCCTTTGAGGGCCATCCAGGAATAGGGGTGATCTTGAGAGCCCGGCTCCCAGGTTCGCCAGGGAGTGCTCATCTGCGGCCGCTTGGGAGACAGAGCTTGTGTTTCTTCCCCGGTGTCAGATTCCGTGGAATAAGGTCCGTCACTAACATTGGAGGAGTCCTCCTGCTCCTCTTGCGTGCGTTGCTGATGATCGTGATCCCCGCGCGCAGAGACCACGGAGCCAAAGTTCTGTGATTGTTCGGATGAGAAGACGCTTCGAGACCTCGGCAAGTGTGGGGTGTTTTGGCGGGTATTCTGATGTTTGGCAGACTTTCTTCGTTCCAGTTCATGGTTGTATGAGCTTCGTCTATTCAGCCTGCGCCCACGGCCACCGCTGCTATCTAGCGACTCGAGCGAGTACCTGTTGAGACTATTATCTGACCTGACGCTGAGCTTGCCAGGACAAAATGCCACTCGAGCTCGCATTTTCTGTACCGCTATGTCCAAGGCCAATTCAATGGCACAATGGTTTCGAATGCGCCCGAGCTTTGGCCATGTTGCACGTTCGCCACTCAGGCATGCTTGAAGCATGAAGTCGGTCGTCGGGTTCCTCAGCATCACCGGGAAGTTGCTATACAGTATTTCTGGATAGATATTGATATCGCCGGAATATTTCTGGTTCACTATAGACATGGTCTTCGTCAAAGCTGTTGGACAGATCCCCATTTCGGAGAGAACTGTCAAGCGATACATTATTTCGTCTTTGGCCAGATGAGTGGCAGTATGAAGCCACTGAGGGGCATTGAAGAACGATTTTCCACGCTGATGCGGACCATCATCCTTTGGCAAGAATGGGACGACATGAGGATTGACCTGCGAGACGATAAAGTGATTGACATTGAACATTTCCGAAAGCCGATTCATGGGCAGGTCGCCATCCACCGATCCATCGATATACTGTTTGTGTAAGTCGTGCCAGGGCGCCGGCTCTCCGGTCAGAGGGTCTTTAGCCATGAGCTCGGATGGTGAAAAGACGAAAGGCACTGAGCAGGAAACAGCACTGCTGACGTTAGTCCCGAGATCCATACGAAGGATGTAAGACTAAGGAAATCTTACACAGCAGACCAGATCAGCACATTCGGAGCAGTGATATAGTTCAACAACTTGGGCAGTTCGTAGACTCCCGCACTAGAGACGCAGATATTGAGTATTCGTCGTGTCCGATTGTATGCTTCCTGAAATGTTATATCGCCAAGCCAGCTTCTCATGGATTTCGCCAGATGTGAGATATCCAGAAATGAACCATACTTCAGGAACCGCGCGGTCTTTTGTAGTATATTATCAGTGTCGCTCTCTTCGCCAAAGACTGCAAAATCGCCATATGCATAGGATTCCAAAAGGGCCGGGAGCTCGTCCTCCGTTCGTGTGCAGAACACTGCGCATACAATGCTGCCGGCCGAAGCACCGGAGATGATTCGAGGTAAAAGATTCGCTTCGTATAGAGCTTTCAGCACGCCGATATGATTCATGCCAAAGGTCGCACCCCCGGAGAACAGCAACGCGCTGCGGCCGAATGCCTGTCTCGCTGCAAGTAATTGATCGAGTATATACTTGGTTTCCAGACCATCACACCGGTTTTGTCCTGATAACTCGACCAGCGAGGATATTGTGTCTAGCGCGGTGGTGATATATTTGTCTATCAAATCTTTTGTGCCCAGGTGGGAATACCGATAAAGCGAGGCATTACTCATGTTCCCCAGGTCTCGACTCAAAGACGTACGAATTAGGAACAGCATCCGGCTGACATCACAACTAATTCGGGCGTCTTCCAGCTGCTGGAGACGTTCTTGAACCAGACGCACGTCGTAGTCTGGTGACTCGAGGATTTGCTTCCAAACGGTGTGCTCTTCCAGATCATCCAATTCACTGGCACAAATCCGCCATTCATCATATGTCACTGCCTGTACCAAGGTGTTAGATGGTTGCGGATTCCTTCTGGTTGCCTGAGAAATCGCCAGCAGTACACCTCGTAACTCACATTCCGCTTTTTCAAGTAGAGAACCTGTTTTCGGTCTTCTATGTCGATGCGCGCCGGGTGTTGCTCGGCGCATGGGCCATCTTTGCGGTAGCTCAATGCATCTCCAGCCCATGTCAAAGAGCTCGTAACAAAGGATGACAGAGAGGGAACTGAGATGGACTTGAGCAGAGAACGCCGCGAGCCGCCGATTGCGCCTTGAATCGCACCCTGAGTTGGACGACGCTTGGATTTACTATTGCACTGGGGGCGCACGACGGTAGGATCAGG